GGTTGCTTGTTGTCTTGCGTTCTTTGTGTCCCACCTTCCCTTTTACCCCCTACCTCTCCCTTGTTTCTCTCTCCGCCCCCCCGCCCCCCCCCCCTTCTTTTTTCCCCCCCCCCCCCCCCCCCCACCAAGTGTGTCGTGATCAGCAGCCCAGGCCATTCAAACCGACTCTCGGCTCGGGCTAACACTTAAAATTTCTATTCAACCTGTTTACTCGCGACTTGAGACGATTTTCACCCTAGCTTCATAGCGCATCGTCGCGCCGGTCCACCCAGAGCGACACGAGAATCGGACCGACAAAACAAGCCATGCTTATACTCGGAGAGTGCGAGAAACTCCTCGGCGATGGTCTCCTACGTTTGCCCAAGAAACACAATTACCGATATGGCCCCGCAGCAGAGAAGGAATTACTAGAGCTTCTATTCCGATCGCTCGTGGGATATGACAGTGAGCTCATCCGAGGGCTTTTCCCGGAAGGTCTCCCGGCAGGGCCATGGAAATTGGCAGAAGCACAGGGTGCCCGGGAAGGTGCCGAATACAGCGAGGCGGCACGAGGCAAGCGTTGCGGTCATATCTTCCGAGCTGGTGAAGCCACATACCGATGTGTGACATGCGCTGCAGACGATACGTGTGTGCTGTGCAGCCGGTGTTTCGATTCCTCTGATCACACCGATCACCAATATCAGATTTCACTTTCATCTGGGAACTGCGGCTGCTGTGATTGTGGTGACGACGAGGCGTGGAGGCTTCCGCTCTTCTGTGCGATCCATACCGATAGCGGCAATGCTAAGGGCAAGGAACGCGCGCAGCGAGAACTGCCCCCTGATCTCGTTGCTTCGATACGTCTAACTATATCGCGTGCATTGAACTATTTCTGTGATGTCATTTCTTGCTCGCCAGAGCAATTGCGCCTGCCAAAGACCATTGAAGCTATCAAGCAGGATGAGGTCGAATCCCGCTTGCGACCTGGATGGTATGGCGCTGGCGATGAAGTTCAAGAAGATCCTGAATTCGCAGTCATGTTGTGGAATGACGAGAAACATACCATGCGTGACGTTTCGCACCAGGTAACCCGGGCTTGTCGTGAAAGAGATAGCTTCGGCATTGCCCGTGCTCACGAAACGAACGATTTTGGTCGCAGTGTGATCAAGTACTCCAAGGATCTGGAAAGATTGTTGAACGTTTCAAAGATCATCGAAGATATCAAAGTCACTGTTACGGTGCGATCTGCGCGTGACACTTTTCGCGAACAGATGTGTGCTACGATTGTCGAGTGGTTTGCTGATATCGCCGGGTGCGAGATTCTTGAGGACAACGAGATTTTCCGACAGATAATCTGCGAGGAAATGCTTTCTCCCTGGCAGAAGGGCAGCGGCGGGTATAATGAAGATATTGGCATGCAGGGCATCGACGACCACCAGAAAACCGAAAACCTTCCCGGTCGTACTTTATTGATCAACCTTCCTACTCATGGCCAGGTCATCGTGACTGCCGATGAGGACGATCTTCTTGAGGACGATGTGATCGACCAAGACGAAGACGAGGATGAGGACTATGTCGAGGCTCAAGACGCTGATGATGAGGAAGACGATGAGATGGAAATGGAACTCAGCCGTCTGCAGGCCGAGCAGGATGGCCAGGACGACGACGACGAAATGGACTTGGAGGGCGCCGAGGATGAACTTGCTTTGGCTGAGCGGATTCTTGCCAGCCTGAATGGTCAACCACCACCAGCTCCTCGTCCAGCGCCTGCTGAGTCTGCAGATCGGCCACTGGCTGACCGTGAAGACTCAGTACCCGGGAGCCCTGCGCCTGAGTCAGGCCCCCCTGGTTATATACCAATTCCCAAAACGCCCGGTCCTGCCTACAGCAGGCTTAAGCGATCCTCCACAGAGAGCCACTGGAAGTCTCAACCACCCATGCCCGCAGCAGGTGAAAGTGTACCACCCTATGAAGATCTGTGGAAACGCACCCGTCTAGACTGGCTGGTGCTTTACGACCTGCGGCTGTGGAAGAAGACACGCACTGATCTGCGTGATCTTTACATTAGTACAGTTGTCAATGTTCCTCAATTCAAACGCATCATGGGACTGCGTTTGTCTGCGCTTTACACAGCTTTGGCACAATTGTATCTCATTGCAGACAGAGAGCCGGATCATTCAATCGTCAATCTGTCATTGCAGCTTCTTACCACACCCTCGATCACCGAAGAGATTGTCCTGCGAGGGAACTTCTTGACGAAGGTGATGTCAATTCTTTATACCTTCTTGACAACAAGACAGGTTAGCGAACCCTCAGAGGTCGATCCTCAGGCTACATTGGCCTTTGATGCCGGCTCAGTTACAAACAGACGTCTCTATCACTTCTTCCTTGACCTTCGTTATCTCCTCCAGTCTGAATATGTCCAGCACCGTGTTAGGACTGAGGAACAATACCTTCCTCAGTTCCTTGACCTCGTCAAGCTGTCACAGGGAATATGTCCTAACGTTCGTGCCGTCGGTGAACACGTTGAGTACGAAACGGATGCTTGGATTAGTGCCTCTATCCTCATGCGTGAGATCAACCGCTTGTGTCGCCAATTCTGCGAGGCCTTCCGCAACCCCGAGATCGACAATGGCGTAAACCTCCTTAGAGCGATTGAAACCACCGCCGCCACCGCCATTGTGCACTCCACTGGTCTCGAACGCCAGCGATTCGATCAGGCAGAAATCAAGGACGACTTGAAATTCAGAGTTTTGCCCCCATTCGACTTTGAATATTCTTCTTCTGGTCCCGCCATCTGTCACCGAGTAGTCGAATTTGTGGTTGAACGAGGATCCATCAGTTTCCACCATGCGCTTCACTACACATTGTCGTGGCTTGTTGAGTGCGGGCGAAACATCAGCAGTGAGACGATGCGCACTGCTCTCTTGAATGCTGGAGCCCATGCACAAGAACACATCCGCACAGTCAAGGCTAACTTTACCAGCCCCTCGGACGCTATGCTCGTTTCCCAAGGACCTGAAGATCTCCTGCTCATCATGTTTGACTATCCTCTTAGGGTTTGCGCTTGGTTAGCCCAAATGAAGGCTGGAATGTGGGTTCGCAATGGTCTCAGTCTTCGTCACCAAATGTCCCAGTATCGTGGTGTCTCATCTCGTGACTTTGCCTACTACAGGGACATTTTCCTTCTCCAGACTGCCCTTGTGGTCTGTGATCCTAGCAGAGTTCTCGCCACCATCGCTCACCGTTTCGGCATGGTTGAATGGATGGCTCGGAACTACATGCCTCGGGCTGGATATGAAGACTCGCAACTTGTGGACGTTGCGGAAGAATTTGTCCATTTATTGGTCATTTTGCTGACTGATCGGACATCTTTGACGGCCATCGATGATAGCACACATCTGACCCACGAGAACATCAAACGTGACATTGCTCACGTCCTGTGCTTCAAGCCCCTTTCTTTCTCAGACCTCTCTACTCGTCTCAGTGACAAGCTATTGGATTCCGACATGTTCCAAGATGTGCTCGAAGATGTTGCGAACTTCCGTCCTCCTGAGGGTCTGAGTGACTCCGGAACTTTCGAATTGAAGCCTGAACATTTGGATCTCATTGATCCTTACAGCGCACACTATACAAAGAACCAAAGAGATGAAGCAGAGAATATCTACAAGGAATGGATGGCGAAGAAGACAGGCAAGAATGCCTCTGATATTGTATTCGAGCCAAAACTTCAACCTATCAGTTCCGGCATGTTCTCCGATCTTCCCAGATTTGCTGGAACTATGCTCTTCGCGCAGATTGTACACCAATGCCTGGAATATGTCGTTTCATCCAAAGAGTGCACACCGAGCATCCCGCCCACTCGTGTTGAAACTTTCCTTCAAGTGATCTTGCATCTCATCTTGGCTGCAGTGCTGGAAGATAACTCCGAGGAAACTGATATGGTAGAGGATCATTCCAATTCTTTCAATTGGAATGCTTTGTCCAAGGCCCGCCAGATCAAGGCAGGTAATCTGACCATCGTCGGACTGCTGGAGAAGATTTCTGTCACGAACGAATTCTCAGGCTCTGGTCCTAAGATCCGTCACATTCTGAAACGTCTGTGGCAAAAGCGCCCTCGCACCTATTCTTCCGCAACAGCGTCTCTTCGATTCCCCTTCGATCGCATTGACACCAACTCCCCTGCGATCGATCTGGACAATGATAAAGACACCAAGAAGAAACAGGCACTAGAGAGACAAGCCAAGGTCATGGCTCAGTTCCAGGCTCAACAACAACAATTCTTGACGAACCAGCAGGGTAGCTTTGATTGGGGCGAGGAGGATTTCAGCGACATGGAGTCAGACACAGATGCTACTCCAGAGAAGAAGACATGGAAATACCCCAGTGGAACCTGCATTCTGTGTCAAGAAGAGACAAATGATTCCAGGCTATATGGTACATTTGCGTTGGTCCAGGATAGCACAATCCTCAGGCAGACCGACATCCGGGATTCTGATAGAATCCGAGAGGTTCTCAAGACACCCTCAAGTCTGGATCGATCGGCGGACGAACTGCGGCCATTCGGTATCTCCGGGGAGAATCGCACCACGATCAAGCGTCTGGATTCTTCGGGCAGTGAAGTCATCAGTGAGAAGATTGGCCTTAGCAAAGGATTCAATGCAAAGAGCACACTGCGTGGGCCTGTAACCACTGGCTGTGGACACATCATGCATTATTCTTGCTTTGAGCAATACTATTCAGCAACCCAAAAGCGCCACACTCAACAAATTGCGCGTCAACACCCTGAAAACACTGCCCTAAAAGAGTTTGTGTGTCCTTTGTGCAAGGCACTTGGAAATACGTTTTTACCCATCACCTGGAAGGGCAAGGAAGAGTCTCCCATGGTTCCACTCAGCCCAGCCGACTCATTTGATCAGTGGATCAGTTCTGGTTTGAAGTATGCACTGAACCAACCGCAAAATCTCACTGTCCTTATGGAAAAGGACAAGGTCAATTCTCAGCCATACACAGACCTTTTCATTGAGTACCTTGCCAAAAACTTGGTTCCTCCTCTCTCAACAAAGATTGATCAACTGATGGCATCATCTTTCCCGGCAAGTGCTGCCGCACAGTATATAGCATCTGCACGCATGCCTATGCCAGGTATATTCCCTCCTTCTGAGGACATGACGCCTTCTAGCCCTCTGCAGCAGGCGTCGAGCCCCTCGGATAGCTCTATGGCGGAGTTGCTACAGATCTACAGGCGTATGAAGAAAACCCTGAAGATGAACAGCGTCGGCTCTGCGTTTAACAACACCACCGAAGCTAACAATGGGGAGGATCTTGTGCATACTGATTCTTTGATCCGCAGCTTTGGCTTCAGTATTGCTGCTGTTGAGATTGCGCAGCGTGGTATTGAGTCAGAGCCTGGCTCCACCTTGCTAGATAAAATCCCTCCATTGATACTGACGCATCTGCGCGTTCTATCAGAGACTGCATTGACATACGCTGCTGTTGGATGTCTTCACTCAACGGCACAATCAAAGACTCGCCCAACCAGCGAGTTCCAAGAGATGCATCGCCAGAAGATCTGCCAGCTGCTTGTCGGCCACCCCTGCTTGAGTGGAACAGCATTGCTCAACGATGTCCGTAACATCGAGCCATTGCTCGCTGTTGATCCATTCGTTTTCCTTGCAGAATCTTCGTTGTCTTTGCTTCCCGTTCTTCACATTGACATTCGCCATCTTGTACAAATGTGCTTCGTAGCCGAAATTGTCAAGGTTGCTGTCACCTTCATTCTTTGGCCACTTGGATTGAAGGAAGAGCTTGCAAATCACCCGGACGATCATTATTCCAATAATCTTACCGAAGAAAAGTTCGGAGTAACCAAGCAGTTCTTTGATTCCATCGTGACTGAACTCAAGGCAAACTCCGTCGGTCGCGCCGAAGGCTCCTCTTTCCCTGCTGAGAGTGGCTATGTCAAGGATGGCGAGGAAACCGCGACCCCAGTCGTTATTGCCGGCTTCCGCCGACTCGTCACAAGCTACGGCTTGACCTTCTTGCGCAAGGCAGTCATTCTTCTTCACGTCCAGCACGGCGTGGAGTTCCCGAATACTGGCTTTGACGTCGAATCACCCGAGCTGGAGCGCCTCACCAAGGCTCTCCAACTGCCATCCATTGACGAGATTCTCATGTCCGTCAAGCCCGCCCGCAAGAGCAACAGTCCCTTTGATGCAGTTATCTCCGGATGGATCTTCCACTGGAATGCTTCTCGTTCCGGAATCCGCTTCGAAGACCACAGGCTCTGGCCGAGCCTGTCCCACCCCGCTATCTTCGAGCTCGTCGGGTTGCCGAAGAACTTTGATAGCCTGATCGAAGAGGCGAATCGTCGACGTTGCCCGACGACCAAAAAGGAAATCACCGATCCCAGTATCTGTCTGTTCTGTGGAGACATTTTCTGCTCCCAGGCCGTATGTTGCATGACGAACAAACTTGGTGGTTGTAACCAGCATCTCCAAAAGTCAGTAATTCCCTTTCCGATAGCCGTCCAAGACTAACCTCTTTCACAGATGTGGCAAGAACATTGGTCTGTTCATCAATATCCGCAAATGCACAGTCCTTTACCTTCACAACTCAATTGGATCATGGCACTACGCCCCCTACCTCGACCGCCACGGCGAGGTCGACCCTGGTCTCCGCCGCAACCGCCAGCTTATCCTCAACCAGAAGCGATATGACCGGCTCCTGCGCGACGTCTGGCTGTCTCACTCTATCCCAGCTACGATCAGTCGTAAATTGGAGTCAGAGATCAACAATGGTGGTTGGGAAACTATCTAACGAACTAAAAGAGTATGTTTTGCGCACACACATTAGATTTTTTTTTTTTCCCCGAAAGGGCGCCCATATTGAATTCCTCGCATCGCATTTTTACCTGAAATTTATCACCTTTCCCTTTTCCATGTCTATAGAACCCTTGGCTCATCAACATATGACTTACTGGCTCTTCAAGCCGGCTTTAAGGTCTGCTGTAAACATACTTTCGACAAATTCCACCTGACTGGTAACTTTCACGTCGGGCATGGTGATGCTCTGTAGGGAATTTATTAAAACCTGCAACTCGCTTCCAATGAGCTCCCATTTAACACACGAAAATATCTCTTCTAGACCTCGGGTTCCGTCATTTTTTTAGACTCGCCCGGGTGACTTGGTATCCAGCAGCAGCTTTATTAGGTAGGTAGGGCAACTTTGGGGCCTGGCGATAAGTCTTATCAGTGCCAAGCCTGATCTCCGCCCTCTGACAGCCTTTCTTGACCTCAATCCAACATTCGAGCTCATAGCCATGAACAACGAGCAGTTCCGACGGTTGCTTGTCGACCAAGCGGCTGCAAAGCCCAAAGAACAGGGTGCAAGTCCCGCAGCCAATGCTCCCCGAGGGGGCGCAACCCCAGGTGGGTTGCTTGGTTCGCGAATGCGGTCCAACATCCCCATGACTCCGTGCGTATTCGCGATTGCAGACTCGTTACATTGAAACCGAAGCTGACATCATGATTCTATTACAGACGTTCCGTAGGAGGCGTGGACTTTGCGCGCCAGCTCGCCGAGAAAACCCGCGAAGCCGATGGCCGACCCTCCAAGCGCTTCAAGTCATCTGCTGCCCCCAAAGGTACTGCAATGCCGACCGGCTACCAAGATCGTGCAAAATTGCGCAGCACAAAAGAAGAAGATGAGAAGAATGAAACCATCGAGACCCGAATCAAAGCACTAGAAGACATGGTGAAACTGGGGCAGATCGACCAATCTACATTCGATAACTTGCGTCGGGAGCTGGGTGTTGGCGGTGACCTAGGAAGTACACATATGGTTAAAGGATTGGACATGGATCTGCTACGAAGAATCCGAGCGGGAGAAGATGTGTCGCAAACAGCCGAGAAACCCGCTCCGCCCCAACAGCAAGAGGATGTAGACGATGAATTCGAGCGTCTGATGGAGGAAAAAGGACAAGAGGAAATTATCGCTGCACCAAAAGAACAGAAGGAGAAGAAGAAGGGAATCATGGCACCACCGCCTGCAAGGCCAAAGACTCGTGATGAAATCCTGCGGGAGCTAAAAGCAAAGCGCGCTGCTGCTGCTGCGCCTCCGCCACCACCAGAGTCGACACTTGGGTCCAGATTCAAGAAACTGAGTGATGGCAAGCCCGAAAAGAAGCGATTCGAGGAGAGAGATGAGACAGGCCGTCGACGAGAGGTTCTCCTTATCACTGACGCGGACGGAAACACCAAGCGGAAGACTCGATGGCTTGAACCACCAGTTCAAACACCAGCTGAAACACCAGCTGCCGCAGAGGGAGAACTCCTTATGCCCGACAAGACTGCCAAGCCCCTCGGTATGGAGGTTCCTGCCGATATTGCCGCCCGTGCTGTCCAAGCAGCACCAGAAGACGAAGATGACGATATCTTCGCCGGCGTTGGAGATGACTATAACCCGCTTGCTGGAATCGAGGACGATGGCTCATCAGATGATGAAGATGGTGAGGTGAAAGATTCGACTCGCAAATTGGAGAAAGAACCCGTCAGTGAAGACCAGTCTGATCCGACAGCACCCACCAAACGCAGAAACTATTTCGGGGACGAGCTACCAACCGAAACGGAAAGAGATCGCTCCAACCCGTTCACCAAAGACCCTACCATTCTCGCTACACTTAAGCGAGCTGCCGCTCTCCGACAAACCTCTCCCTCTGAAGGTGAGGAGGGCCAGTCATCTGAGGCTGCCATGCGACAGAAGCGATTCATTGAAGAGGCCCGTCGTCGTGATGCGATGGATGCAGCTGATATGGATATGGGCTTCGGTGGAAGTCGCAACGAGGATGGAGCCGAAGAAGACGACGGCCCTTTGCTAGATTTCGATGACGACGAAAAGCGAGGTGGTCAAAAGAGAAAACGCGGTCCCAAAAAGAAGAAGGGGGACAAAGATAGTGTTACAGATGTTATGCGTGTCGTTGAGGGCCGCAAGAAAAACGCTTAGCGGCTGTCCGGCTATAGCCTATTAGCTCCTTTACAGATCGATCTTCTTCAGTACTACTTGATACCCTGCAATGATTCTCAATATCTGGCTCTTTCATAACTATGTCTAGGTACTCCATATTCGTGATAGTTTTTCAGCGGATCATGGCATAAGTCAGTCCATCAGTCAGCTTAATTCTTAGACAGTCCGGTGACACACTATCTAGATATTGATCCATGCAAATAAAAGATGAGAGTTCTGTTTTATTCTCCGAGAGCTGCGGTTGATACAAGGTTGCCTGCCGCATGGTCCGTGCATGTGATACTCCACTTCTACATAAGCTGCCACTTCTCACATCTGACGGAACACTCCGCTCTCCGTTCTTCATATGCAATCTCTCTGGAAGCAGGCAACCTCCCACAGGTCTACGTCAAAATTACTGTCTCGTCCACTGAATTCCAGGCCCATCATGACAGAAAACGACCGACCAAGGCCGCCTGCAAATAAGTCACCTCCTCTGACTCATTTCCTGTGTTTGCCTCTGGTAAACTCAGTATCTATATCTCAACTAGAGAAGTCGATTGCAAAATTCAAAGAGCTCCACCAGTCAAGTCATGGCCCACCCGAAGTCAATGGCCAAATAAGTACAGCCCGCCTAGGTCTACCCAGCACGGCTTTCCGACCACTGGGGACACTTCATCTTACTTTAGGGGTGATGAGTCTTACAAAGGAGCGTCTTGAAGAAGCATCTGCTTTCCTACAGTCTCTCGATCTGGAAAGTCTGATGCATGAAGCTCAGAAAGTAGCCACAAGCTCACATCGCCAAAGTCAGGCACATTCGCCACATATCTCACAGACATCCACATCAAACACACCATTCAGCATATCGTTGAAGTCATTACACGCACTGCCACGTAATGATTCTGCAACTATCTTGCATGCTTCACCAGTGGACCCTACTGGTCGTTTGTATCCATTCTGTGTGATGCTGAGGGATAAGTTCATCGAGGCCGGCTTCATTCTAAACGAAGGTGGGAAGAAAGATAAAAAGCCCTTGAGCCAAAATCCCAAAATCAACTCCACACAGAGTGCTCATGCCATCTTGTCTCCACTTAACGCATCTTCACACCGACAAGTCTCGTCAAAGAACCTGGATCCATACACAATCGCCATTACTCGAGAACCAAAGCCACGGCCACTTCTTTTGCACGCAACCCTGGTTAACACAATCTACGTCAAGGGGCGAAAGCAAAACCAAGACAAGCAACAGAAAGGAAAAAGTTCATCCAAACGGATGACATTTGATGCCCGGAATTTGGTCTCCCAGTCCCTTGACAACCAATCTCTGGTCGTAGCCACTTCCCCTAAACCGGCATCCCATCGATCTTACATATGGGCCAGAAACTTTCCAATAAATTCAATCTGCATTTGCGAAATGGGGGCTAAAAAATTGCATCCAGACGCTGACAAGCGCGGCCTGAATGAGCGTTTGGGCGAGCAATACCTGGCTGTTGCGCAGCGGACACTGAACCCCTCAGAGCGATCTTCACGACACCCGCGGTGACAACAGTGACTAATGCGATTTGGTGGTCAACGACTGCATACTGAGATCTAGCATAGCATCTGTGATGAAGAAATACAAAATTCATCTTTTTGAATATTGTCCAAACGTTGGTTCCATTGTTTCATGATAGTATTAAATAGACTAGATCCCAAGCCCGCTCGGGATACCATTAAAGACTCTCATGTAGACACGTGTGCGCAGCTCTGCGACAATATGACAGAATAGCTTTATCGGGACATGTTGGCAACATGGTAGGAAAGTTTCCCGAGGGGCCTTGCATGGGCCTTGCGCAGGAAACCGAATTCCACCAGGGCATGAGAATGCGAACGATTGAGCCAGGGTGCGGCACATCATACGCTAAACAAATATCTTCAGCCATCCAATGCACAGGCGCGTAAGACTGATCAGTATTGTGGCAGCTCCAGCAAATTTTCCAATCAATCATCGAACCCGACTCATAATAGTCTCCATGCCACGTTCAATGGATAGATCGGCAGCCTTGGCCTTAATAGAAGTAATCATGCTCCGCTCGAAATCGTCACGAGTGCGCAGCACAGCCTCAACCCACGAGAGTTGCAGATCCCAGTACTCAAGTTTGAAGCCTTCATAGACAAGCACGAGGGCAGGACCCTTGTCCGTATCAAGAAGCTGGACGAGCCATTCAACAAGCCTCCACTTTTGTTTGATTGTGCCTTCGAAGGAATCGGGATAGTTTTCGAAGAAGGCAAAGACTGTGAGGACGTCGTCTTTGAATTTCTCGGTGAAGGGATCGACATTGCGGCGGAATTTGACACCCTTATTCCGTACTGATGAGAGGTATCGTACCAAAAGCTCGTCAGAGAGTTCCTCGACCAAGATTTCTGCGAGGGACGGGTGAAGCACTGGTGTGTAATCGGCCATGTAATCCTCAAAGGTGGAGGTTATGCGTTTCATGGCATATTCACCGTACCATTTTGAGGTGAAGATGTCCGGCAGCACTGTATCAAGATCGACTGTGAAGACAAGATTAACGAACTGCGCCAGGCAGTGCGTGCTTAGATCGACGTATCCATCGCGCAAGGCGTCTAGTTCAATGCTGGCTGTTGTACCCATGTACTTGGGTGTGACGAGAGGCTCAATGTCATTCTTGAACCGTGAGAGATAGCCAAATACTCCCGTCTCCTCGTTGTCGTCGATGCATGAAATCTGGTCGTTTGCAACGCCGATCAGCCAGTCTTGCAAGAGTTGAACACCTTCCTGATCTGCGCTTCCGTTCTGGTGTTTTGTGCATTCTTCATCAACCAATGCTTGCCAGGCACTTTGTCTGTTCTTAAGAGCACGGAACATGGCGTCGATGACACCTTCCACTAGATCCGCTCGATCAGAGCTTCCCGATGCCATGACTTGTTCGTGCAACATGCGCCACATATCGGCCAATGTTTTTGTGCGGAAGTGGCCTTCTGCATTGTTGTCCAAAGCATCTGCGGCACGCTCGACAAGAGACTTTTTGTCCGCGTTGAATATTCTGTCCATCCATTCTTCGACGGCGTTGATGATAACGCTCTGCCACTTGTGGACGAGCTCTGGCTCTCGATCGTCCAGGATATTAGGCTGGAGGTCTGTCGGTGCACATCCTAGCTTCTTCATCTTTTTGTAGTACTTGTCGCTCCAGTGGATGATAGTGAGGAGATTGCTGGCTGGGAGTTCGGGGTCGTCAATCATGCTGAGTAGGAAATCATGCATCATGCGGTGGTAGATGTCGGTGTATGTTTTGAAGATCTTCCATTTCTTCGGGACCAGACTTTCCATGCCCTGCTTGACCGTGAACAGATCGTTGAAGTACCAGCGGAACTTCTTCTCTAGGTTGTCGGGATCCCCGAGGAATCCCTCGAGTGTCTCTTCAAACTGGCCCTGGGCGTATAGCTCAATAGCTTGGATGAACTTGTCCTTGTAACCGCGAACAGTCTTCGGGCCAATATTCATAGACTTGAACCGACTCGCCAGATCCTTGTGGTCCTTTTGGGCCTCCTGTAGAGCTCTGACGGTATCATCGTTCTTCTCCTCGTTCATTACAATCACCGCAAGTCGGACGACCATGCTCCTGTTATCCGCCTGCACCAAAGGAATGAGATTCATACAAGCCGTGCCAAGGTGATCATCAAACCACTCAATAACAGAATCCAAGCCTTCAAAGTATTCTTCCAGCGTCTCTTCACTGCTTTGATCCTGGGCCTTACCAATCTGATCCATGGCCTCATCGCGGAAATCTCGCAATCGCGAGATCTGCATATGAGCACGAAGAATATTGGGCTGGTTCTCCATATCGTCATCGTCGTCCCTGAGCAAGTCTTCCACCTCCTGGATATCTGCGCCAAAATTCTCCAGTCCGCGCTTCATCATGAGTGTAGCATCGAAGTGCCGTTGGATCCGCGCAAGCCGATCGATCTGCGCGAAGTCCTCCACGCTATCCTGCGACTCGGCGCACAATTTATCAATTCCCGAAAGCTCATCTTTCGTTTTGGACACTTGGCGCTGACCCTCCGTTAGAGCGCCGATGCTGCGTTGTACCGCCTCGAGCTGGTCTCGGAGGCCTTCGCGGAGCTGCGAATCAACAGCGGCCTTCTTTCGTAGGTATTCGGCCTTCAGACCACTGATCTTGTCTAGATCTTCTGGGTGGCGGAGTAGGTCTTCGAGGCGCGGCAAAGCAACCGTCGTGTCCATGTTGCTGGCTTGCGCCATTCTCGCGGGTGGATCTCCAGATGTCGTGTTGTGACGGGTCAATGGCTCGGTGTCGGCGGATTTGGAGTCGTAGATATGGGTATGAGATGTGTTATCGAGGCAGGTATACAGTGTGAAGCTACCAGAGACACAGGTCTCGTCACATTTAGCAAGATGCAGCGCGTGGGCTCAATTGGAAGTCCAACAAGTATATCCCGCCATCAAGCTGCTGGCAGAATCCACACGTGACCCACCGCCTTGAATTTGCGGGATCTCCAAGTCCGCGATTCTCCAGTCGATCAAGTCGATTGCTACGGGTCTTGCAATTCGTGCTCACCGACACACCTGTCTCCGTTCAAAACTACCAATTTTACTCCGTGCCCCTGAGCCGATTCGGACAACACCATCCCAAACCCACCCAAACCCGAATCTCGGATCTCAAACTACAGCCAAAATGGCCTTTTTCCGCATCACCCTCCTCCGCTCCGCAATTGGACTCCCCCGTCGTTCAACAGATGTCCTCAAGGCCCTCGGCTTGAAAAAGCGTATGGCGACCGTCTTCCACGCCGTCTCCCCCTCCGTCGCCGGTCAGATCATGAAAGTCAAGGAGCTTGTTCAGGTCGAAGAATGTCAATACCGTCTCACAAAGCAAGAAGTGCATCTGGAGCGCAAGCCTGACCCTGGATATTATCTTGAGAAGAGCTCTTCCGAGCAGCGCAGCGATACAAGCCTGTGATTCCCATACAAATCGGAATTAGCGGAGCTGTGATTACCTTTTCTCCGGAGGACTTGGGCGATTGACTCGCGTCTTTCATCTTCTATTTTGGTTTCCTTGCATGGAGCGGATTGCTTTTTTTTATCTCTTATGTACTCTATGTCCCCTGGGATCTGTGAATTGTATTATATGCGTCAATGAAGGAATTGACTGGAATAAATATGTGCAATTTGAAATAATAATAACGCCACTGCTCCAGTACAAATAAAGACAGCTAGGGGGGATTAAATCATGGGATCACAATAGCGGCAAACTGAGACTTATGCTTTGTACAAAGTGTCCAAGAAGCCCTCGGCAAGACGGCTGACAATGCTCTTGTCGGGGATACTGCCAGCGACACCATACAGCGCGGAGGTGTCACCACGTTTGAGAATGTAAGCCTTGCCCTCGCGCTTGCGTTGCTCGGCCTTCTCAAGTTCTTTCCCAATGACCTCGCTTAAATCAGTGATGAGCTGGTCGACGGCCTTGGCGGTGGGGATAGTGAAAGCACAGTGGATGGCAGCAGGGGACTGCAAAGCATTGAGGTGCCATCCCTTAGCGGACAGGTCATCGGCGATGTCATAGATGTCGATGGCACCGTTCTTGCTGCGGAAAGCGACAACGCTGACAATTGGATTTCCAATGACTTCCATGTGCAGGGAGATGGTGGCTTCATTGCGAACAGCTGTTTCAAACTTGCGTGCTGCGTTGATGATCTCAGTGCAGCTATTAATGTAGCCGGTTTCACCGACGCTCATCAAACTGGCCCAGCATCCGGCGATCAGGGCACCGGGGCGGGAACCAGCGACAGATGGGGAGGCGTAGACACCGCCGGACCAGTCGGGGTAAATAAAGTATTGGTTGTTGCGGTAAGACTTGTTACGGTAGATCAAGACGGAGTTACCCTTGGGTGCGAAGCCATACTTGTGGGTATCGACACTGATACTGGTCACACCAGGTTGGCGGAAATCGAAGCCACCTTCCTCTTCGTAGGGCGAAGGGAAGCCAGCCTTCTTGAGGAGTGCGACGACGAAAGAGCCCAAGCAGCAGTCGACGTGGAGAGGGATTTTGTACTTAGTGGCCAGATGGGAGAGAGCAGGGATATCATCCACGATGCCGTGTGGGAAGTTAGGGGCAGAACCAACGAGTAGGACAGTGTTAGGGTTGATCAAGCGGCGAACAGCGTGCACGTCAACCTTAAATTCAGGCTCGGGGCAAGGCACGCGGTGCAACTTAATCTTAAAGTAATTGCAAGCCTTGATGAACGCCGCATGAGCAGTGTCAGGAATGATCCTGGGAATGTTAGCAACTTTCAATCACCGTATGTGCCATCACTCACATCTCAGGCTCGGTGACACCGCGCTCCAAGAAAGCCTTCTGCCGCGCAGCCAAGCAGGCCATCAAGATTGACTCGGTACCACCGCTAGTAGTAACACCGGCGCCATCAGATGGCGCATTGAACAAAGCAAGAACCTAAACCATTAGCGACACTTTCATAAAAACTTTGGACCACCACATACCATAGCAACAACCTCCGCCTCCATCTTTCGCACACCAGGGAAAACATCTGGATGGATGGGATTCGCCACGCCGAACTGACCAAAAGCCTCAGCCTGCAGCTTCAGCAATTCATCGCCACCATGGTAGACAGCGCCGCTAACGCGTCCGTCCTCCCAACGTGTGTGCTCAAGTCCAGCCAACTTGGTCAATTCCGCGCGCACCGCGTCGCCGGACCATCCATCCTTCGGCAAAGACAGATAGCGCACGACATCCGGACCAGACTTTACGAGCTTCGATTCCAGATTCGTAATGGCCGTGCTCACTTGTCTATCGACTTGTCCGCGGACACCGGGCGTGCGCAGGAATAGACCATAGCAGAATAGACGCAGGGAGATATAGAGGTTGCGGATGCTACCGAAGATGCCGTAGCCACGGACCGAGTAAAAGGTTTTGCGAACGTATCGCAGGACGAACAGGATGAAGACTATGTTGCGGAGACTGCTGGGGTATTAGGTGTGGTCTGATGTGGAATTCCGCGGGGAAGTACTTACAGGTCGAAGTTGAGGGCGGATAGCTGGGCGCTGGATACGCGGCTGTAGCCCGCCAGCTTGTGCTGTAGGGCTACGGGTAGTAATGAGGATTTCATCGCGAGGAGTTTGGGGAGGAAAGTGGCGATGGAGAGGTTGCGTTCAACTTGGAAGTTGAGCCGGGCCTCGGCTTCCACATGGATCCGTGTCCGTACGTACAATTGTGACTCCGGGGTTCTCTACTACATCACCTCTGATCAAATATGGTATTTTTTCTAAAGTTTTTTTTTTTTCGCTGAATGCACCCTTGGATGTTTTGCTACATTTACTTACTTGCTTCTACATATGATCTGTATTTTTCGCTCGTTTTCCTTCCCTTTCCCAATCTGACGTAATGAGTCTAGAGCTCCAGATCTTCTCAGGCACACTGCCAACAATATGTCAAGTATTTCTAAAGTTCAGTATTGAAATGCGATTGTCAAACAAAGGATTTTGATGATGCATGCTCTATTGACATGCCGCGAAGTCTAATTGTTACTTGTAGAGGCTTGAAAGTCATGGAGTATAAGTCATTTGGCTTCTGCTGCGCTTATATACAAATTAGAGAGGAATCTCTCCTAACACCAGTTCTTTTGAGTCTCCGAAAAAGGGAGAACTGTCAAACCCATGGAAAAAAAATCCCAAACATATGAAAAACAAAACAAAACATCAAATCATCAAGTATTCCACGCAATATGTGCGGAAAAGATGTGGGAATCGGTTATAGGCACGACAATGTGTTGGACACGGATCGCCTATGCGGCGATACCGGCAGCCTGGGCCTCAAGGAGCTCCTTCTCCTTGGCGGCGAAGGCCTCCTGCTCCTCAGCAGTCAGGTCGAGAAGGGGCTTGTTCTCGCCAGACTTGAGGTTGCGGTGGTAAGCACGGATGATGCTGTCGGCGTCATCGACAGCGATGGGACGAATGTCAGCCATGGCCTTGATCTTGGCAGTGCACTCCTTGTATTGAGCATCGGTCATCTCAAGCTTGAGCTGCTGAGCACGAGACTTGATGGCGTTCCAGCCAGTAAGACGGGAAGCGAAGTGGACGTAACGGGTCATGCCGAAGTCGGCGGGGTTGATGATCTCGTAGGTGCTGGGGTTGTTGAGGATAGCCTTGGCGTGGATACCAGCCTTGTGAGTGAAGGCACAGAAACCGGTGATGTAGTTGTTGAAGGGAATGTTGACCTCGACGGCCTCGGCAACAAGATCCTCAATCTCCTTGAGCTTCTCGAGGCGGTACTTGCCCTTGACGTACTCGGGGTCCGCGACCATCATGCGGGCCATCAGACCACCGAGAGGGGTGATACCGTTACGCTCACCGATTCCGAGAACGGAGGTATCGATGTGGGTGGCACCAGCCTCGAGGGCACAGTAAGCGTTGGCAATGGCACAACCAGTGTCGTTGTGGAAGTGAGTCTCGATGTCACAGCCAACAACACCACGCAGGACACGGACGAGCTCGTAGACCTGGCGGGGAGAGGCGCAACCGACGGTGTCGGCGATACCAACACGGTTCACGCCAACCTTGTCGACGGCGGAGTAGATAGACAAAAGGTCAACCAGGTCGGAACGGAAGGAGTCCTCACTGGAGAAACGGATCTCAATGCCCTTGGACTTGACAAACTCAATGACCTCGATGGCGGCGTTCTTGATGTAGGTCATGTCCTTACCGTGAGAGTGCTCACGGAGGTAGGAAGAGGTACCAATGACAACATCGCTGCAACAGGTCAGTCAGGATTCGATTTTGGAGAATAATCATGACTCACACTCCGTCAACACCGGTCTCAACGGCGATGCGGGCATCGTCCATGTGGCAACGAATGTGAGTGAGGATCTAAAGATACCATTAGACATCAATTCATTCGAACTCGTTGTACGCCACCTCGTATAGAACATACCTTAGCCTTCAGGCCGAGCTTGCAGATGGCCTCGCAGTCGGCGCGGGACTGCTCAGAAGCACAGGGGGAAGTGAGCTCGATCTGTTACAGACCAGTCAGCCTCTAATCATTATCATTATGCCTATATTTCCAATGACTCACGTAGTCCACACCGAACTCATCGAGAGCCTTGGCGATCTCGATCTTCTTCTCGGTGTCGAAGAAGGCATTGGCAAACTGCTCACCCTCACGCAGAGTAGACTCGATGATCTGGAAACGGGAAACGTTGCTCAGGAAATCGGTGACGCCGACGTTGTGGCCGTAGGGGTTGCGGGAGGCGGAGGGGTGGGGGTTCTGACGAGTCTCAATGCCAGTGAAACCTTCGTGGTCTGGAGATATGTTAGATTATATCGTTTATTGCTGATGCTTTTCACACTCACTTTCACCGTTAGCACCATTGGCTTGCCCATTGGGCTCGGGGTCGGCACCGGGGCACATATTGTGTGGTGGGGTTGTGTGTGGTGGGGGGGTGGTCGGGGAGGATTTGGAAGACAGAGAGGTGAATTGACAAGAACTATGGATCAGAAAGTGGGATCCAAAGAGAATAGATATTTATGATTGTTTTCTTAAGAGGAAAAGAAGCGAAAGAGTCATAATCCCATTGCAGTGGGCGGTGTGGTGTGTAGTAATCGGTCCTCGTTCGCTCGGCGGCAAAAAACGAAAAAAATTCAGCTGCGGAGGTGGGGGGCACGATGTCATAGGGTGGTGCCTCGTCTGCAACTTTGCCTTTTGGCGACGCCCTTCATTGATTCGATGGATGCTGACTTAATATGTATATCCTTGCCATTTACTGATTGATACAGCATCTTTTGAATACCAAAAAAAGTATACGAGTACACAGATGCACTTGGCATTCTCTATACAATGTACACCCGACATCGGACTTCCCAGTGTCGACCCGCGGGGTCTGAGTCATGTCTCCCTGAGGGACAAAGTCCCACTTTCTCCTGCTCCATTTCACATTGCTAATGGCTTTTCCCGTGATTATTCTCTGATAAGAGATCTCGCGCTGATTAAGTCGATCATTCTCGCCTCCAGGGAAGTTCCAATGGTTGCCCTTTTATTGATGTCATCACATTTTTCAGGCTCATCAACTAACCACAGCGCAGTAATATAAGCATTCTTTCAAATTCCCGACATGATCTACATCGGCTTCAATTAAACTCGCGTCTCAAATTTGCAGACTAATGCTGTGAAACGCGTGTACAACGCTCAGGGATGTCCTTGGTTCTTATTGACACAGCCCTTCAGAGACCAAGACCACAACCGCTGCCAACTCACTTACATCGATCTGCTCGTTCCTCCACATGTGCAAATGTCGACTTCAATCCATCATGTGTAAGCTGCCGAGGTGCTGCTCCTGTCTAGGTGGGGTCTAGGCCCGCAGTGTGGATAGCTCCGCTCTCTCTTGCTCTGCAGTGTGTCTTCACTGCCAGAGCGCCCAGATATTCAGCATTTGAGTAGTTACTCGGCGGTATCATTGCTTGATTTCTGGATGTACACAGCGCCAGCAGCTGGGTATCAGATAGTATATTTTGCGTAGCTTGAAAACTCCTGCCATGGCGTCCAGTGTTTGCTTCGATAAACGAACAGCGTTCCCGTTCATGGCATAGCTTCCACTTGGAATATGGAGCACCGCTCGGTTCTAAAACACAGCTTTGCTTCCCAAGAAAGATCAAAACAGCCCAAACTCTCATTATTTGCGAAAGAAGCGATAGAATATTGCTCGCTTAGGATCCTTGCTGGGCCGAGGAGCTTTCTCGGAGGCCTTTGCTAAGACGAAATGGGGTTCGTTCTGACACCTCGTTTCAGAAGAACCACCGATCGGGGCTTTGGTACTCACGGAAGAAAGTGACTTGTTCTTCTGATGCCACCTTTTCAAAGTCCTAGTCGAACCAATAGTAAATGGATGCTCAGGGCCAAACACTCCAGCGGAAAGTCGAGTACATTCAGTCATCAAGATCAAAGCCGAGTCATATTGACCCCGCGATCTCAGGGTACGCGCATATGCTTTCATACTAGCCAGTGTATCAGGATGTTCTGGTCCGAATATCCGCTGGTGAGTCTTCAACAAGAAGCTCTCAAGCTCTTCGGCCTTGTTGTCTTGACCTTGGGCATGGTAGACTGATGCTAAATTATTCATGCAGCTCAATGTGTGCGGGTGCTCGGGTCCACGTATCCGCTTCAACATGTCAAACGCTTGCAGGCCAATTCTCTCGGCTTCCGTATGTCGGCCTTGACTCTGGTAAATTGAGGCTAGGTTGCTCATACTGATCGCAGTGTCAGGGTATTCTGACCCAAGTGTCCGCCTGCGTGTCTCAAGCACCTGCATCCCAATCTCTTCAGCCTCATTGTATCGACCTTGGGCCCAGTAAATTGATGATAGGTTGCCCATACTGCTCATCGTATGGAGGTGTTCGAGGCCAAGTATCCGCTTTTGTATCTCAAGCACACGTAGGACGACCCTTTCAGCCTCCATGTATCGACCTTGGTCATAATAAAACGATGACAGGTTATTCATATTGAGCATCGTTGCAGGGTGTTCTATCCCGAGTTTCTGTTTTCGGATGTCAAGCGATCGAAGTGAGATATTTTCAGCTTCTTGGCATCGACCTTGTCGTGATAACGCCGTTCCAAGCACCCCAAGACTGTCTAGCGTTCTTTCGTTATTTGCACCAAACAATCCGCTTCGTGTTCTCGAAGCTAGTCTTGCGAGATCTTCACATCCGGCATAATCGCCGTTTTCGAGGGCAAAGATAGCGGCTTGGTGTATCACCTGAGCCCATTTCTCCAATGCCCGTTGCTCAGTTGGTGGCTGCGCGAGCGAAGACAATACGTGGGGAATGAGTGATCTACAAACAGACCAATTCTCGAAGGTCACGTATGGGAACTCGAAATAAAGAGTGTCGATGAAGCACTGTTTCCACCATTCAGTCTGTCCGTGTGCATCGAGCCACTGGCGCATGGCAAGTTGAACAAGCCGATGCATCTCAAAGGTTGTTCCATCTACGTCGGTAGATATTAGAGAATAGTCTCTCAATGTAGATATGCTTTCCTCGAATTCACAGAGAAGAGCATGCTCCGATGAAGTATCAAAGTCCACCTCACTGGCGTAAGCTTCGCTTGTTGGTGAGACTTGCCCATGATCATCGCCAGATTGTGTCGTACTCTCGCACTTTTCATAGACACCAGGGTCTTCTTCTGATCTTTGACTGATCTCGTCGCCGTCATAGACTCTTTGCCATCGAAGCAATGATTCCGGGATCCCTTGTCGGTCAAAGAAACACATGAATGAGAGAAGATCCGCTGCTGCGGGGTGAGTTTGCTGGATATGATCAAAGGAAATCTGCCAAGTAACGAGAATAGTATTCTTTGCCTCTTTGTCGCGACGGAGCTGCTTCTGGTCGTGAGTCAAGAACCGTATCTTCTGCCAGTCGTTCATTTGGAATTGTTCGAGATATTGCGACACCGAGAGACGTGGTTCCCTGTGTTTGATAAGGGCCGCAGCCTGTGCTATTGCAAGTGGCATATAATCAAGTTCATTAGCAAGCCGGCCGACGTCCTCCGTGACTTGTACTCCTAGTTTCTTTCCAAAAAGGTTCGTCGCCTCTTTTGCATCCATCGGTCCAATCATGATCATGTCGCTAGGCTCCACGATGCCACCAACTGCCTCCCTGCTGCGTGAAGTGATAATGATAGATCCATTCTGGCTTATAGGCAGATACTCCAGGAGTGATCTTCTGAGTGCTGTATCTCCGCTATCTTGTGTGCTTTGCCCTGCTGGAATTTTGTGGAGGAACCGACTATCATCCAAGTTATCAAGAATGATTACCCATTTTCCATTTCGCTTGTCGGCAAGCCAGTTGTGAAGAAGTTGAGATACCTTCGCCGTAGGGTCGTTCCGCCCGGGAATCTTGATTCGATTGGCAATATCGCGACAACTCTTCTCGAAGCGCTCAGCATTGGCTGCATGGATCCAGAACACCCATGTCTGGGGAGATCGATCTTCAATTTGATAACAGCATTCTATTGCGAGTTGGGATTTTCTCCGGCACCATTAGCGATGCATGATCGACCGGTAGACTTCACCTACCCGACACCCCCAAGGCCCACCAGAGCGATCCGAGCCGCCGGGGCGCATCCCCGCTCGTATATCTCCCCGAGCAGCGTCCCACGGTCGACAAAATCCGGGTCACGACGAAATGGACAGGTCGAGAGTGGAGGTGGAGGAGTCTCTATTCGTTCTATGATGCGATCAGTTAACTGACTACCTTGAAATTCACCGATGCCTTGGGCTGTTACCTATTGGCGGATAGATGGGCCCATAGTTGGCCCCTATTTGGTTGCCACGGTTGAGTCCGTGAAAGGAACTAGAAATGGATGCCATTCGTAAGTGGACTAAGATTCGCCCTTAAGTCTTGGTCGGGGGGCTCTCCAGAGATGTGAGGATCTTCCAAGGTTGAAATCCCAGCTTCGCTGTCGTCTTACTCAACAGCGCTAATTCTTCAGCCATCACAGCCCCGCGTTTTCAGCCCCCACTGTATGGCATGTCTTGATAAGAACGCGCAAGAGTCCACATTCGTACCTGAGTATCACCGACTGTTCCATTTTCTAAGACTGATAATGAGCAATCCAGAGGAATATACCATTGGATGGATCTCCGCCATCACCACCGAGTACGTTGCTGCTCAAGCACTGCTCGACGAAAGGCACGATGCCCCCACCCATTTATCACCCCAAAACAGAAACGACTACACCCTGGGTAGAATAGGGAAGCATAATGTGGCCATTGCAACTTTACCGATGGGAGAGTATGGTACAATCTCAGCAGCCCTGGTTGCCGACAGTATGATGCAAAGCTTCCCCAATATTCGCATTGTCCTAATGGTCGGCATCGGGGGCGGCGTCCCAAGCCGAAAACACGATATTCGGCTTGGGGACGTTGTGGTCAGCGTCCCTAGCGACGGCAGAGGTGGTGTTGTTCAGTACGACTTCGGCAAGGCAATTCAGGGTCAGAAATTCAAACCCACAGGGTTCCTTGGTCAACCTCCCACGGTTCTCCGTACTGCGCTCAACGGACTTAAAGCTTACTACGAAGCCGAAGGACATCAAATTAAAGATACAATCAACGCTATTCTTGAGAAGAAACCCCGCCTACGGAAGAACTATCGAGAACCAGATCTAGCCAGCGATCGCTTATATCAAAGCCACATCCTTCACCCAGTCGACGGGGACCTGCCCTGCGATTCAAATTGCAGTAATGACCTCTTAGTCTCTCGGCCTCCGCGAACAGAAGAGGATGATAATCCCGAAATTCATTATGGCCTCATCGCATCAGCAAATCGTCTGATGAAGGATGCGTTGGTTCGCGACCAGCTAGCTGCGCAAATGGATGTTCTCTGTTTTGAGATGGAAGCAGCTGGATTGATGAACAACTTCCCTTGTCTTGTCATCCGTGGCATTTGCGATTATTCTGATTCGCATAAAAACAAAGTCTGGCAAGGGTATGCGGCCATGACAGCCGCAGCGTATGCCAAAGATCTTTTGAATCGAATTGCCCCGTGGCATGTGGAGCAGGAGGCTAAGATTGTCAACATCATCAAAGAGGGGGATCACCACACAAATGTTCAATTTTCAGGGGCAAATCATGGACTTCAGGTTGGCCTGAATTATGGCGAGGTTAACTCTCGCTTCGGACAATCGAATTAGGCTTTTGTATACATAAATCCAATTTAACTGCCAAGAAAAAGCCACTGCCCAGTTGAGGGTTAAAGTGTTTCTGGGCAAACTTTCCTGTATATATGCTCAAGTGCCTGAGTGTTGTGCGGAAGTCCATAGCTTGAGTTGACAAGTAATATAAAGTAGCGGGCATCTTCCTCGCTTTCTGAGCTCCGTCAATGCCCGTACTTAAGTAGGATCCAAACCCCACGTCTTTTTCTCTGAACCCCCGCTTGTCACAAGTTCCCGCGGTCCGCCAAAATGCCAATGAATTCAGTCCCCCAGCCACAGTGAGTACCAATACGTCCCGAAGTCGTATAACGTTGCATTGACTATAATATCCTCCATAATAGGACCGATGACGGTGCCAGCGCTTACCCATTATCAAATAGCGTAAGGACAAATTCATGAGTACCCGGACTAGTTCGCTCACCCAATGTCAACAGTCAAGCATTGAAACGAGCCGCTTGGGTATGTAAACATGTCCTCAGTTGAGCATACACCTTGACCCAAAGACTGATTCCATCGTAGATGCTCAGCATGCGGTCTTCACGATTCGGACTCGTGGACTCCACCGTGCTTCGTTCTCCGAATCCCCATCTTGCGTACTCGATCTTGGATGTGGAACAGGGATTTGGACTCGCCAATTTGCCGCCGAGCATCCCGACTCGATCGTTACAGGAGTCGATGTCAATCTAGCATTGGCAGATAATGCCGGGCGGAACAAGATACCTGAGAATTGCTCCTTCGTTACAGCAGACATTGAGCAAGAATGGGAATTTTGTTCTCGGTCCGACTATATCTATATGAGAATGTTGATGATCGCCGTCAAAGACTGGCCTACACTTCTTCAACGAATGTTTGCTAATCTCAATCCCGGGGGTCAACTTGAAGTATTCGACGGATTGATGCATCTCACGGCAGAGGACGGCAGCACCGCTGCCAACTCATCAGCCATTCGCTGGTTTGAGCTTTCAAAAGAATATCTCGCCAAGCATAACATTGCCTGGGATCTTTCCGCAAGTTTGCCAGAGCAGATGGCGGATGCTGGATTCGAGATTGTCGAAAGTGAAACTCTCAAAATGCGCTTGTCTTCCGAGCCCCGAGACCCAGAAGCCGATCGTGATTGGGTCGGTGCGCACTACCGTCAGGATATAGCTGATATTGTTCACGGAATGACCAAGCGCATGCAAAAAGATCTCGCTAGTCAAATGTCGCCCGGGGAGTGGGAGTCATTGGAACAGCATGCTAAACGTGAGATTTTGGAGGAATCTGAGCAGCGAGGCTTCCATACAACTTTGTAAGTTGCCATTTCATTGTTCGGGAGCCCCTGTCAGTGGAATCTGCCTAATTTATTGGCATTTAACATCGAACAGATACGTTCGAGTTGCACGCAAACCAAGCCTGGGCTAGAGTGAAGAAACAGGTTTGGCCGGGTTTACCTGCAAAGGATGGATGTTTGATGTTGATCTCTCATTCGAGTACAGAAGGAGTTCAAGGCAGTGATATATGCACGAATTTGGCTCGGGGTGTCCTAACTCGTTGGAATAACCACACCACTGGGACGTATACATGCGATTGAAGATATGATTTCATCGTACACAGTAATGGGAGTGGGTCTATATGCAGGTCAAAATCCACACTTCATCACCAATATCACCAAGGGACCGTGGCATTGAGTCATGATATGCGCAGGATATAGCCAGAAATAGAAGAAAATATAGATTCAAAATCGACGTGAGAAACAACAAGAAGAGAGCAATGCGAAAGGAAAAAAACAATCAAAGGAAGTCGAAGTCGGAAACATCGAGCCCGTGCAAGGAGTAAATTCCCGAGACGTGGTTGGCTGACGCTCAGGCCAGCTGTCGTTCCACCACCTGTCTTCTGCGCTCTTCTTCTTCTTCTCGACTGTGTCAATTCCTTTGCCATCGCGCCTTTCAGTCAGTAAGTCATCCATTTTCCATCTATTCTGATGGGAATCATTCCATCCTATACATCCTCGAAACACGCTTTACTAAATAGTGCTAGCTTTCAAGATGCGTTTCACGTCGCTGGTCACTCTCCTCCCTGCCCTGGCCATGGCCCAGGAGCAAGTCCCTCTTGCCGACCGTGTGCAGGGCTGGTTCAACCAGGTCAAGTCCTACGTGCCGACCGCTGCCCCCGTCGCTCCCGTCGAGAAGCTCGCAGAGAAGATCTCCGAGAAGAGTGTCACCCAGGTCTCCATGAACAACTGGCAATCCATCCTCACCCCGGGTCCCAAGGAAGAGGACTGGTTGATCTTCACCACCGGCGGTAACAAGACCTGCTTCGGTCGTTGCGCCCACGCCGAGACGGCCTTCAAGGTATGTTGACGCGACGCGTCTTTCGTCCCTCGGAAAAACTAATCCACGTTCAGGAATCCGTGCTCCTCTTCTCTGCCGACCCTACCTCCCCCAACCTCGGATACTTGGACTGCGAGTCCAACCAGGTTCTCTGTGCCGCTTGGTCTGCCAGTGCCCCCTCCGTTCAGTACTACCAGGTTCCCAAGGAGCAGGCCGGCGAGCGCGCTCCTACTCCCCTCCGCAACGTCTACTTGAACTCCACCACTGTCACCCCCGAGACCATCTACGAGATCCACTCCAAGAAGACCTATGAGAACGTTGAGCCTTACGAGGGTATTCTCCACCCCGTCGACGGTCTGCTTGCTCAGTACCAGCTCAACATCCCTCTTGGCTACGTCATCTGGGGTCTCGGTGCTGTCCCCAGCTGGTTGTTCATGATTGGTATCAGTTTCTTCAGCCGTACCATGATGGGTCGTCGCGCCGGTCCTACTGGCAACGCTCCCCGTGCTGCCCCTGCCGGCAGCGCCAACTAACTGATTAGTCTTTTCTTGGATGTATATAATAAGTGATAGTATATTCATGCAATATACTGCGATTGGCTTGCGTTCTTTGATGGGCAAATATCTCTCAGGTCCACAGCCTTTTCGATTTTAGGCTTGAGTTCAGCCACTTTTTTTAATCTACTTGTTCTAGACTTTTCGAGCGTTCAGAATCCTCAGTGGAGTGCAATTGATAATATTTCCATTTTGGTCCAACGTCTGGGTATATTTACATCTTTTCTCCGCCTGTTATTTGGTGCCAGAACTCTTAGAATGTCTGTCTAAAGTTCTGATGGTGTTTCCTGGTATATCCCCATTGATCCCTAAGCGGACTTCACCAGATTTGGGAGCAAACACGCCTCTAATGCGTTGACACAACTAGGTAGTTCTGTCCCAACTTCAGCAGACATTCAAGTGTTCGAATGTTGGGTGTTCCGCTCGTTCGGTAGTTTCGGGCGGCTATTGCCCCGAGAAAGCGGGGAATATCTCAATTCCATACATCACGAGCCCGGCTTCTTCTGCCTACGACTGATTGATGAAAGCTCGGTTGATCTCATCTACAGATCCCCTGTTCAGTGTCGCATTCAACCTTCTGAGGGACTCGGGCGTGAGCCATGAATGTTCCACATGCCAACCCGCCTGGCTCAGAGCAACGACGTACTAATGTAGCCTGTCGCAGATGCCATCTGAAAAAGGTCAAATGCGATGGAAAGGGGGGACTCCCTTGTACGGGATGTAGGTCAACCAACACTGACTGCGTTCACATTGAATCACAGCGAGGGCGGTATTGATCGATCACCAAACGAACACATCCATTGAGTTCTAACTGACAGTCAATTCCTAGGTACATCAGAAAGAGACCCCAAGGACAAAAGACAAAACGGAAGTCTCTCTCTCAGGCAAACCAACCAGACATGGAAGTGGTCCTCCCACCAAGTTCCGTCTCACAACCCAGCTCCCAGCCTGGCTTTCCTCCAACTCCGAAGAAGACATTCGACTTCTTCCAAAAGCCCATCGAGAGAGCAGACCCAGAAGCAGATGATGTTTCCAGTCAGGACGATGGCCTCAAGCTCTACCTGCATATCGCAGATCAAGGTGTTAGCTCAATGCCTCAACCGATCTCGCGTGAAAAAGAAACTTTGTTCCTTGGTGAATCCTTTAGCTTGACGTATGTCGTCCACGATGTTTTGGCACCCTTTCTCGGGACCGAGTATGCTCCCCACTACCGCAAGCGTCTCCATTTCCCTGTCGACGAAGCACTTGATTCGTCCCTCGAGGCTCAACGGGACATGGTAAAGCAGCAAAAGCGGTTGCTTCAAGACAGGAATATCTGGGTCCAGCCAGATCCGACTGTTGTAGACCGGCTTCTGGTGGGTTACTTCAAGTGGTTTCATCCAGCGTATCCGGTGCTTGAAAAAAGCTCCATTCTCTGCGAACTCAGCAAAAACCAGCTCTCCTTGCTCATACTCAACGCCGTGCTCATGATTGCGGTCACGGTCTGTGATGAGGCGGACTTGAGTCTTCTTGGAGTTGAGAATCGTCATCAAGGGCGTGAGCTTTTTTACCGTCAAGCTAGGGTACTATACGAGACCGACTCCGATCCTGATAAACTACATAATGTAGTGGCTGCCTTCCTGATCAGTTTTTGGTGGGGCGGTCCCAACGATCAAAAGGACTCATGGCACTGGCTAGGGATTGCAGTCAGCTCGGCACAGAATCTAGGCATGCACCGTTCGTTAGTCAATCTTTTCATCATTATGATCAATATCAGTATTAATACTTCTCTTGTTCCAGTACAGCAGAATCCCACATGTCTAGCAATCGTGTCAAGATGTGGAGACGTATTTGGTGGTCCGTACGAGTGGGTTCTTCTCTTCCTTTGCATGTCCACCCTCTGACCTCGTCGAATTCAGATAAGAGATGCTCTGGTTAGTAGCTCGATTGGACGTCCGCAGCACTTTTCAATATATGATTGTGATGTGGAGATCCTATCATTGCATGATCTAGAAGGGGAGTTTCAAACCGAGTCAGAACTTCATTATGCCTGCCAGATGGCTCGTCTTTGCAGCATATGTGCGTCAGTCCGAATTGTCCTGTCCTCAAATCGATCCGTTGACCAGCAATATTCTAGTCAGCGACATTATAACCTCACGGTATTCAGTGGTCAAACCAAATAATCCCACAGAGAAAAGAATGCACCTTGAAGAGGAACTCGAAACCTTTCGCTTGGAAATGCCCAAGCCTCTCAAATATGATGGGATCGGGGCAGACGGCGATCTTAGCCTGTGGGCAGCAATGTTACTGTTGGCACATAAGTCAGTTCCATACCAGAGGGATAATCCCATTACGCTAATTCAAGGAATATGTAGCTTTGGGGTCATTCTGCTTAGTCGCCCTCCGCATACGAGCTGTTTGGAGGCTCCTCAGCCTTGGGGCAACCATTCAAAAGCCTTGGCAGCAGCAAACGAAGTTACTCGAGTAACAGAAGATATTCTCTCACTCTCTTTGGGAAGAATATGTCAAATTCACACGTATGTGAGGTTACACTGATGTACGGAGCCCTCCAAGCTAATCCCAAGAAACAAGAATTCCCGCACTCTTCAATTCCCTCGCAATGCATGTTTTCACAATATGTACCTCGCACGCTATTGAGCGACAATTGGCCGAAAATCGAGCTCGCACGTGCATGCTCGGCCTAATGTCCTTGCAGGAATCCTGGCCTGTCAGTGGATGGATTCTGCGGCTGTTTGTTTATATTATGGAGCGATTGAAGACTCGACCAAACACACTGAACCCGGGATCATCTTCGTCAGCTAATCTCCACGCCCGGGCCAATCCTCCCTTTGATATGGGCTCGGGTGGCTCTCTGGTTACACAGATTGGTGCGGCGGACACAGATACTACAGTGCAAGTGCACTGTGATGGAAATTCATACAACCAGCAATCACATTCAGACTCGGGAGTCACGGGTTCTCTGCTCGAAGATGGGAATTTATTCCCAGACTTATTTCTCATCAATGAGTTTGGTGTTGGGCTGGAGGCGTGCAACGTTGATTTCTTTGATCTGTTGCGGTTTCCATCCGAGACAATGTGACTGTTTCAATTCTTTTGAGGAATTGAAAACCCGGATGAATGTAGAGCATCCGCCTAAATCATTTACCTATTGCTACGAGCTTAGCTCCTCACATCGATTTACACCTTTTACCAGAGTCCCGTGGCCATTTAAGCCCACGGAATGTGAGCCAAAGTGACAACAATCAAAAGAAAGATTCTGACGTCGTTCGCCTAGTCTGAAACATTGAGGATGACCTTTCTCGCCCTCCTCTCCTCAAATATCTCATAACCCTTAGCAACATCATTCAATGAAAACTCATGTGATATGTAGCTTTGCATATTCTCCTGATTGGCCGCCAAACATTGCAAAGAGTCTTCGAAGACTGTGCGCACTGGTACACGACCAAAATTGACACTGGAGTATGAAGTTAGACCAGAAGATTAACAAAGGGCGGTAGGGGACAAACGTGATGTTCTTTTGATAACATTCAAGGGCCGTGAAAGGCAGCTCTCCTTGATGAAAGCCCACAGATGACAAGATACCACATGGTCGGAGCAGATCAAAGGCAGAGCGGAGGGCTGCCTTGTTTCCTACAACTTCGACAACTGCATCAGCACCTCTACCATCGGTTTCCTCCATCACTCGAACTTGGACATCGTCTCGACCCAACATTATCGGTATAGCACCGAAGCTGGCGGCCTCAGCTAGACGATCCTGAACGCTATCAATTGCAAAGACAGTCTCGACTCCCTGTGATCGAGCAGCAGCGATGGCACATATTCCCACTGGCCCACAACCAAGAACCGCAATAGTTGATTGCTGGAGCTTCTCAGTCGAATTGATTGAGGTGAAATTTTTGCCCTGGTCATTGCGTCCAATTTTCTCAGAGGGTGAAAAGCTGGTGAGTCTCGAGGTATACTGTGTCAGAAGCCCTTCGATAGCCCTTAGTGCTCCATAGTATCCAGTTGGAAAGATATCGCACATCATGATCAGGAGCCGACTATCCAAATTGCCTGGAACATGCTGCAAAGTACCATCGGCGAAGGGGACACGGACGTATTCGGCTTGGCCTCCGTCGAGCAATTGGGTTCCAAAGGCCGAGCCATTAACGCAACGGTTGGTCAGGCCTTGCAGACAAAACCAACATTTCAAACTTTGAATCATCCAGATGAGAAACCAGTACCGATCATGTAGACTTTTACTCACCAAACCGTGGAAAAAATAGATACAACTTCATCTCCCTCATGAAACAGTGTGACCTCAGTACCCGTCTCTTGAACAACACCGGTAAATTCATGGCCCTTCATACTCGTTAATAGACTGCTTTGATGTTTGAAGTGTCGATACGTTTAGAACGTCAAAGCACATACCATAATGTGTCCAGCTGCGGTTTTTTGGTGTCCTCTGTACATGTGAAGCTCGCTGTTTGCTTGTCAGCACCTTAATTTGGCTGATTATTCGGGCTTCATACCTTCCACATATGCCAGCTAACTTCACTCTGACGATGGCATCTGAAGCGTCTTGAATCCGAGGTTTTGTTCTTTCTTCGATGCCAATATCGAATGGCCCTCGAAAAACAACGGCTTTCATAGACATGATTCACGATTTTGAAGCTTATGATTAGAGTACCTCGAAATCTCATCTCAGCAGGAATCTCTCATCCATTTAAATTCTTTGAAAACAGCGGGATCATTCCGTTTCGGCCTCTTCTCATAGTTCAGGCCCGGACAGAACTGGGAGTATAAGATGCCGGGGGGTCAAGATACCGAAACGCCAAGATTCCGAAACACCGAACACACTGGAGTCATTGTTCGAGGGCCTGAATTGTATAAATATTAACATTGGGTCACTTTGATCCAGAGAAGCACATTTCAGTCAATATTCCAAGCTTCTCTTCACCACTCTTTATTTTCATATTCGAAGCAAGGCCACAAAGTATCTCAACAATATTCCCAGCAATATCTAAAGACCAAAGCTATGTCAGATCAATTCGACGACCAAAACGGCCTGCTCAGCTCCCCAATTCCAGTCACCTTTAGTAAAATTTACTTGAATGGAGCTTACAGTACTCCCCATTCCCCCAACACCTTCTCCCTTCTGAACCCGAAAGACAATACGCTGGTTGCGAACCGAATTCCCGTCGCGGACAATGTCGATGTTGACATTGCGGTGGCCGCCGCTGAGGCCGCATTCAAAGGTCCTTGGGCAAACTTTAGCGCTGCGGAGCGTTCTAGTTGCTTCTACCGATTGGTTGACCTGCTGGAGGATGAGTTGCCTAGTATTCTGCACCTCGACTCATTGACGACGGGAAATCCAGTCTCACTCATTCCAACAAGAGAGAGAAATTATATCCGAAATTGCCTCCTTTACTACGGTATGTCTTCCACAAACAACCCTCCTATATCAAAGTTCACTTAACAAGGCTCATTTTTTATCTTTTTGCAGCGGGATGGACGGACAAGCAACGCGGAGACTACTTTCCAGACGATGATGGGTTTGTCAAGCTTGTCAGACACGAACCTCTTGGGTATGATTTCCCCTCTCCCTAGCTTACAGGGACTTTTTGGAACATTTTTTAAACCTTGAATAGTGTTTGTGTTGCAATCAATCCATACAACTCACCTGTGGCCTCGCTTTTCATCAAAGCCGCCCCGTGTCTGGCAACCGGAAATGTGCTCATTGTGAAGCCGTCAGAGAAGAGCCCACTAGGATCACTTGCAGTTGCCCCTTTGTTCGAAAAAGCGGGATTTCCCCCTGGTGTTATCCAGGTCTTGACTGGCGACGGAAGTACAGGCGCACTGCTTGCGAGTCATATGCGAGTGAGAAAGGTAAGAACCATATTACAATTTTCAAATGTTAATGAGGAGATGTCCTGACTGCTTGAAAAGATTAGCTTCACTGGTAGTGTTGCCACAGGCAAGAAAATCCAAGTCGCCGCTGCTCAAAGCAATCTGAAGAGAGTTACATTGGAACTCGGTAAGCTCAAATACGCACCTGGGCATTGTACCCTTGGGCTAATCAGCTATTAACGTCATCTCCAGGAGGCAAAAGTCCCGCGATAATATTCGACGATGCAGATATTGAGAACGCAGTGACATGGTATTTTACCCAAATCTCCAGTATACCTGTGGCTCGAGTTGTTCGTCTGACGACATTTAGGGCTGTGAACGGAATTCTGGCGCGCACCGGACAGGTTTGTGTTGCAGCATCCCGTGTCTATGTCCAACGCGCAATAAGTTCGAGGTTTATCGAACTTTACTGCGCGGCAATGAGAAACGCAGTAAATGATATCGGGGACCCGCAGAGTTTCAAGTACAAGTTTGGCCCTCTTGTGGATTCTGCGTCTTACGAAAAAGTGCAAGAAATGATTGCACGCGCGAAGACCGAGTCTGAACTGGTTGTTGGAGGGGGTCGCATCGGCGAGCAGGGTCTTTTCCTGGAGCCAACTGTGTTTCTGAACCCCAAACCTGACGCCCAAATATACAAAGATGAAGTTTTTGGGCCCGTCTCGGTTATCAAGACGTTTGATACCGAGGAAGAGGCCGTTGAGTTGTCTAATGATACGGAGTATGGGCTAATGGCAGGTATCTTCACTCGCGATATCAGCCGTGCTATGCGATTATCCGTGGCGATAGAATCGGGAGTTGTCGGTATTAACTGCGTGAGCATGGTACGTTGAATCCCGACTGAATTATTGTTGCAGTTACTGAAGGGAGCCAGATGAATATTCAAGTACCCTTTGGGGGGAAGAAGCAATCGGGAACTGGAAGAGAGTTCGGTGAATATGTGAGACATCCCGCCATCCAATTTCCCAAGACTGTAGAACCCTAATTCTTCCAGGCTTTACGGGCTTTCACGGAACCAAAGACGATATTGATAAAGTGAGCTCCTCAAAAGACTTGGAAGACCAATATACTGATGTTCTCTAGTATGAACTGCTGATGTCCCTCATTATGAACTTCGCGTACCTCGAAATAAATTCCACTCCAGATTGCTCATTCCTGTGTGTAGGTCATTGGTATGGGCAGTAAGCTTTTAGAATTGCTGATAGTGCGTCCCTGCGTCTATGTGGCTCTAAACAATGAATTAGAAGAGATTAGAGATGTTGAGGAAGTTACATATCAAACAGACAAAAATCAAGGGACTTTTCTACGAAAAACCATCCCCAGCAAGCTATTTCGTGAGCGCGTCGTAAAAAGGCCACCATTCCCCGAACTGAACTCAACTTCACTTCACTCTGCAGCATCCAGTGGTAATCCTCCTTGAGGGCTCTGTCATTGTTTCTGTGCCCCATTCTTCTTGAAGCTCCCATATTTCGAATATACTCTTCCAGATGGGCTCTACAGGAACAAAAGAGGCAACTGGCGCCGCCAGTACGTCTATCGGCATACCACTTGTGTCCACAGCCACTCAATGCATCGATCTGCCCGAAATACGACACATCAAGCTCCACGATGTACGTGTTCTGAAGCAGGCAGACAGGAACTTCTCGACGTGGATCTCTCAAGTCAGCGCCCAACTCTCCGCTTTTCGCCTCGATCGACTTACCTCTTCGCGCTGCTCACGCCCAACCGAAAACGATCCAAAGTATGAAGCATGGCGGTACTACTCACTTATTGTGGGAGGATGGCTGGTCATGCAGGTCGAAGAGAATATCCACAACACCATAGTCCTTCACCGTCAGATGCCTGTCCAGACTGACTCGGAAGAAGATGCGCCTCCCCTCTACGCCGACGAGATAATGGAAGAAATCGAGAACATCATGAATGCTGGTGATCGGATTTACCAAATCCGAGTTGATGCGTGCAAATTTCACAAATACTGAAGGGATCAGTACGACACCGCACGGGCTTACGTGGAAGATATGATGAAGCAGTACATCATTCTGTACAACATGGATGTCGTTCTTCCTCCAATTTACGCTCTTGCTCAAATCCTGGATGAGCTGGAGAATGAATTGCCAGAAGCCAGGTTCATCATCCACAAACTAAGCGACAAGGAAGCCGGATTTGTTGACATTTGCCGCTTCACTGAGTACTGCAATCAGCTCAAGATCGCCGGGGATCGCGCCGAAGCTCAGATCCGTCTTACCCAAGTCCACATTTTCTGATTTCGAAAGCAGAATCGTTCCTCACTTCTGATGTAGCCGCGTGCTTGCTCTGTCTGCTTCTCTCTCCGGACCACGAATCAACCATTTCCCGTCAGCTTACGCTTTTTCGAGTCTTCCGGGTGAAAGCAATCATTTTTTGATAGCGTTGGCAAAGGGAAAACCATCAGATAGAAAATCAATCATACCAAGAGATATTCCAGATGTCCCCCAAGGCCCCGGGCCTGATCCACTGAGCATTTCCTAGTTGGGATAAGCCGCCAAGTTTAAGGCAGAAAGGCATGTATCAGACATCAGTCGAGCATGGTTTCAGACACCCAAGCCTGGGATTTCAATATTCTCTGTGACCTTGAATTCCCCTGGGCCGTAGTGCTTGAGGTTTCACTCCCAACATGGTGAATGCCAAGTGGAACAGAGGCTCGAAAACCGGTTGGTTACCAAGCCAATCGCTGCTCAAGTGTTTAGCCCTACTTAAGTAGTTCACTTGCCAAGTCCCAGCAATTCCATCAGTTCCATCAAGCTCAAGCAATTCTTCTTTCTATTGAAATATATACATCTCTCTTTCTCTCAAGGTCCATATTTTTGCCTTGTAGAACCTGCCCCGGTTTCTGTCCTTGGCTCGATGCATGCTCGACAGCCCAAGGAAGTCGTTATGCGGGTGTTCTAAGGATTGATGAGAACTCTCTTATACACATAAAGATTGCTGCGATGATAGTGCCTCTCGAATTCAAGGAACTTATCGAAGTAAGGTGGCCCAGACGGGAAACTCGGGTGGTAAATTCTCTCGATCTCGATATGCTTGACGGGTTGGTCTGGATGATAAGGGTCAAATGAACTCGTGGGCTCCCGAGCCAGAAAGAGCATTCCATCAAACGGGTTGATCCCTTGTTGCGGATGCAAGTATTGGTGATTCTCGTTTCTGAAAATCGAGTTTTCATCGAAGGTTTCGTAATCAATTTCGCTTATGCGTGACCCTATGTGACGTTGCCCAATGTCTGGGCAATAAATATCCCTTGGTCGAGATGAGTGTCCTTGTCTAGATGGCGATTTCCATAGAACCCTGTGGATGGATTTTCTGGGGGGGAAGGACCATGAAGAAATCGGAGATGGGCCGTATGTATCGAATGATAGGCTCTTTCTGCCATCTTCGACATCTCGAAGAAACATCACCGTGTTATATAACAGTGAATTCACTTCTCCTGGTGAGAAATGCCCTTCCGCCGTGAGGCAATTGTTCTGTACGGCGAAGTCGATGTTGTTTTCTTTGAGTATCTCTGGGCGAATCTCATAGGGTGACAGGGACCATTGACTACTCAACCCCGTCGACGTGACTATGGTGAACACACAGGTCTGATATGGCGGCAGAGTGTATTTCAAGACTTGAGCACCACACCAGTACACAGGTTCAAGTTCGTACTTGTATGTGGGGTGAGTTGACCGCCCATTTGTGGGTATAGACTCGAATTTGATTATGGTGCGTCCTGATAGGCAGCTAGTAGTGCGAGAGCCTACGTCACCGATTGTTCGAACACATTGCCTAGTCGCTAAAACGTGACTGTCAGCTTCATTCATCGTTTCAATTGCACCTGTTCTGGAAAATGTATACTGACAGCGCATCTCCAGGGTCAATCGTCGAAGGAGTAGGTAGAAATCATTGCTGAAGGTGCCATATGCCAGAATTTCCGAACTATTCTCAAGGTTCACAGTGTGGTATATTCCCAGCTCGTAGAAAGCATCTTCGCTATAACACTTCCTGTCAAGTTGGGTATATCCATCTGGCCTGACAATGTTCTGAATTTGCATTGGGGGAATTCCGATTTGAAAATCCTCGGACTTCTCTGTCTCTGATATGCTTCTAGATCGAGAATTGCGGTGAAATTCCACAGGTGCCGATGAATCTGCCTTTTCATGGTGGCTAGTACCTCTGTAATTCACCCATACTGGATCATGCAACAGAATCTTGGAAGAATCTTGGGAAGGGGTTCTTTCAACATAACGCATACGCCTTGGCTCTCGAGGGGGTGATTCACGAGAGTGTCCTCTCGCTGGAAAGTCGTTTCGTGAGGAAGCTTTCGTAACTTCATGTGGAATTCTGGTGGGCAGAGTAGTAGGCACCTCTTGGGGATCAAGACTTGAAGTCGGAGGTATCCGGATGTGGAGTCGTTTCAAGATGGCGTCAAAACTCGAACCCTCGTCTGAATCCACTTCGATGCTTGGAGCTGGAGCAACGTATGCGGTATTGATGGGCCTTGATGGACCTGACGAAGTCTGTATGTGATTGCGTGGAGGCACGACTGTGGAAACCCTATCTTTGAGAGACGACACTTTGGGGGGAGGCGTGTCGGGGCGTTTGGGCCGTGATATTGACACCGCTGACTTTTCAGGAGGTTGCACAGGATAAGTTGCATATGGGTCGATTTGAAAGCTCGTATACGGATCGTATGTTTTGTGGAGGCTGGCATGATCAGTTTCACTGTAACGCAATGGGGCACTTTGGGGGGGAGGTGGCGTGTCAGGGCGCTTGGGCTTTGAGCTCGATTTATCTGGCCAGTTTCGTCTCACAAATTTTTGAATGGTTGATGTTTTGGGCCAAGAGAGGGCCGGTTCCCGAAGTGTATTTGGAAGTTGAACCTCACACAAGGGTCGAGGGGGGGCCGAGGCCTGCGAACCTTCTGGCCGCGACGAAACCTCCTTGATAGTAGATCCAGGCGCGGGTTTCGATATCCGGCTAAGGTTACCCCGCGGTTTTTCATCTTCCAATTGAACCGATGCTCCTCTGCGGTCATTTGAAGCATCGACTTCGGATTGCACGGTTTCGGGTATTCCGGTCTCAGCCTCGAGGGGCTCATGCATGACAGAGGCAGAACAGTATCTCACCGTGGTGGGATCTGCTGGACTTTCGGGCCCAGTGTCAATGGATTTCTCGGATTGACGAGATTGACGATTCAAATGCGTAGTGTGACTCTTTGTGGTAAGTCCCGTGTCTTCAAGCTCAGATTCACTCGAACTGCCATCCTGATGAGGGGGTAGAGTAGCGGACTTCACTGTGGTGAACGTGGAGACCTCAGGTTCAGACTCACTCGAGCTATCGGTGGTTGTTGCAATGCGGGCCTTGATCAATGTTGAAGTGTTGTGTTGAGGGGACCCTGGCGGGGAATCCTCGTCTTTCGGTAGCCAGGTGTGTTGGAGCGCCTCCTGGGCTGTACCGCGATCCTTGGCCTTTGGTGCCATGAGAAGTCCCAAAAACGATGATGTCCCTTCATTGATCACTTTGTAGTTTGAACAAAGCTCTTGTATAGTCAACTCTCCTCTGGAATATGACAGGAAGCCCTCAAGCTTGAGAAATGGAAGCTTCGTAGTCAACATGTAGAATGCAATCACGCCCAGTGACCACAGGTCCACCGTGAAGTCGTAGCTAGATTCATCAACCTCGACCTCAAAAAGCCGTCTCAATGCGACTTCAGGTGCAATGAAGCCTGGAGTTCCGTTGATGGTTCTGAGCGCCGTTGCGCCTCCCTCGACCCGCTTGCTGATTCCGAAATCGCCAATTTTCACCCACCACTTGTCTGGGGGCTTGCTGACCACGAAGATATTCTGTACATCCAAAGGGTTAGTTCGCATTCATCTGGAGTCTCTCAAGACCGACCTCCGGCTTCAAGTCTCGGTGCGCGAACCCATTCTCGTGCATACACTCCAATCCCTCCAGCACTTGCCGCACGACCTGACCAGCCTGGTCTTCTGGCAAAGCCTGTTTCAGATGTTTGCGCAGATCTCCATGCAAGATGTATTCCATGGCAATAAACACCGAGTCCGGGCTCTCATACCAGCCAAACGACCGCACAAAAAAGCCATCGTACTAGACTCGCGTCAGCGCTAAGTGCTCTCCCCACTCGAGGCACGGACATACCCTCGGATGAGAGAATTTCACAATAGCCTCCAACTCTCGATGGTAGGTCTTCTCTTGGATTTCCTTTTTGGCAATCTCCTTGACTGCCCGCACTCTATCTTCTTGGTCGCACTGTTCCAACCACACGATACCGAATGTGCCTCGACCCAGTTCCCGCGATCGGACCCATTGTTCGACGCGTTTTTGTCGCCTGGCTCGTCGGTTGAGTACAGTCTTCGACTCAAAGTAAGTATGGATCGTGTTATTGGAAAGAAATTGAGTTTCCAGTCGGGAGTCGCGGACGAGGTCGGATATTTGCGACATGCGGGGCAGCGAGATGACACCGGAGCAGCTATGTGCACATTTTCACCTCCCACCGGTGGTTGACAGGTTTACATGCAATAGAGAGGAGAAATGAGTATTTCAACGTGCTGGTCAGGCGTTTTCAGCCACAAGGCGCAGCTGTACTTTTGGCCCCCAGTTGGCGCTTCAGAGCCACTTGTGCTTACGACCTCCACAGCCTATTTTCGTATCGGCCCTGTCCTGCACTGCATGTTTCGTTCAATCTACGGCTAGTACCCACATCGACTGAATCGCATCCTCAGCTGCTCTTATTCATCTAATCATCACTAGCAAAAGATCCTCACGTCCCAGAACAGTCACAGCCCCAGTGAGGCATCTCGCAGTTCATGTTCTTCTGGTAACTCTTGCAAAAGAACATCAGCCATAATCTGGCAACAACATTTCCTGACCATGACAACGCAGTCCTCAGATCCGGTTTTTGAGTTGGCTAGTGATCCGACTGTCATTGAACAACTGCTGTCTGGTTTTGAAAGAGGCATGGAGTAGAAACAGAGTAGCCGCTGCCGGATCTGTACTCGGATTTCCTCCAATCGCAGCCTCAGTATTGATAGACACAGTCGTAGTTGTACGGGGTTGATGGGCGGCGTGGCAGAGGCTCACGGGCTCACGTTCAGACAGATAGCGATCGAGGATGAGACTCAAGGATATGGGTGCAGTTCATGCGGATCAGCAAGACTTCCGTCGTTTCCAGTTCGAGCTTCACTGGGCTGTTGAGTTGATGACATGCTGATGGCGACTGGGTTTTCGTGGGTTTGAATATTGACTAAATAGTACTGAGTACGCTATTTGACCTCGGTGGATCTACATGGCTCAATCACAACAGCCACCAAAACACGCTGGGTACATACTCTTCTCAATCTTCTCACGCGTTGCTTGTTTAATATCTTGCGGTATTCTGATACGCGTTGTTGGGATTCTATCCCGCATAAACAATACGGAATAAAAGTCTTCTTCTTCTAAGACGTGATCGTTGGCCTAGATGCTTTCACGGTTAGCTTCCACATCTGTATTTAATGTACATTGCACTTGAGCCGAGAGCACATAATAGCCCTCAATGTAAAATGGCATGCCTGTAGCTTCTATTGAAACAAACACGATAGCGTCAGCGTATTGCATCAGTCACAGCTTGCGAAATTATTCCCTTTTCTGCCTCTCAAAAGCCCTTCTAAGACGACAGCCATTCGTTGTTCCGGGCTCGCTCCATTGGAACCTCTGCTTCTATAAATTCAGAACTCCCTCACTTCTTCCCTCTTCTCTTTTCTTTCTCCTCCATCCCTCTTCGCTTTTCATACATCTCCCGCATACCACTCTTCTCTTGTCATACATCTCCTGCATTCTTGCTCCAGCTTTGCATTCGGTCAATACCTACGCGTGCTCGCTCGCTCGTGGTATCTCTTCGCACATTGCGTGCAGACGTGCATTCATTCTTCTAATTTTGGCAACTTACTGTTCGCCTGTGAGCCACCCCGTTAAGTTTGAGGTTGAGCTGTATCGTCATACTAGGCCTCGCCGCAGTACCATACACCCACACCTTCTTCTACTTTCCCCTTTCTACTTTTCTTCCTCCTCCAACCCCTACCTCTACTCCTCTCCTCTGGATCCGGGATTGATCCACCCTTATTTCTTGTTGCTCAACTATCCTGAGACGCAACAACACTCGAAAATTCCACACATTCTTATTCAGACATCCTCTGCTCTACTCTTTGGTCAGTTCTTTTCCATTGGTTCGAGTTCTACCCCACCATGGTCTTCTACTAACGCCCGAAGATAGATCAATTAATCTTTCTACGAACAACTTGAGAAATCATCTCCTACTCTCGACCTACGAACAACTCGATTACTCTCATCACGCAACTATCCCACAACCATGGGCAGATTCGGCTGGGACCATCCTCGTGAGTCAGCCCTTTGGATACACTCTGCCTGCGTGCAGATATACTACATGGTTCTAACATAAAGCAGTTTCGAGGCAAACAACCCTCCAGCAGTCAATGCAGTATGTGGATTTCTGGGCCGACGTTTACATGAGCACTCGAGATGAAAGAGAGACAATCGATGCCAAAATCCTGACTCTTCGGGAAGAAGTGGATGAGGCACATATGCTTGCCGAACAAAAAATCTACATTGGGATCACTTACTGTGATGCGCTTTCGGAAGCCAACCGTCTGGACGTTCGACGCACCCGTTTGAATAGCTTTTTTCACTTTTTCCGCGACCCAGATAACTTCCTGGACGGGCCACGCAACCCACTGGGTAGAATGTTGGAGCATGTTGGTCTCGAATTGGAGAACATCCCCGTTCGAGAGGGTTATTATGCGAGCCTGCGGTTCCTTCGTGAAGTCATGCTCGAAGTCAAAGCCCGGGATCCCAAATACGAAGTCCAATTTGGGAAACCATACAATCTTCTGGGAGCTTTTGAGTACATCACAGAGGATGAAGATGAATTTAACGAGCAACGTCGCCAACGCGAGGCCACCAAAAAGGCACAGGCTTCCAAAAAGACCACCAATGCCAAGGCAGGAAAGTCCAGGCCTACTCCAAAGGATACCGCGCAACTCAAGGCTTCCGGCAACGGTCAAGGATCATCGGGCACAAACCGTGACAAGGAAATTACACCCCCAAAGCCCAGTGTCTGGGATAGGCCACTGAGAGATGATGAATGGAGCATTTCCGACTCACTCACGGTGGAGGAATTCTGGCATTCGTGCGGCATTGATCCTTCCAAATTCAATGCCGGCAAGGCAGACGCCAGCACGTCAACTACTGGAATTTCTTCTCCTGCAGCCGATACGGAGCAAGCTTGCGACAATCTTACGGCTCTGACAATTGGTTCGGAATCTGACTCGAAACTTAACAGCTGTACCAGCTGCATGGAGGATGTGATCGGTCGAGATATGGTTTGGAGCGCATGTGACCACCCGTACTGTGCCAAATGTGCTCTCTACATGTTGGAAGAGTCCTTCAAGAAGGGCATAATCTTCCCTCCACGTTGCTGCGATGGGTTTCTACTCTTTGAGACTAAAAAGCATCTGTTTAGTACTGAGATCTGGGCCCGATTCGAGCTGGAAACAACCAAGTCAAACGACCCGTCGCCTCTTTATTGTTATGATCCCCGATGCTCGGCTTACATTCCACCGGAACGCCGCGGTGCATGCCAAAACTGCACCAAAAAGACCTGCGTCAAGTGCATCAGGGCCAAGCACCGTGGTCCGTGCGATCTGCGCGGCACCGACCAAGATCGGCAACTCAAAGAGCTGGCTCTTGAGAATTCCTGGAGGCGCTGTGAAGGATGTGGCCATATGGTGGAGTTAAAATTTGGATGCAATCACATGACGTATGTACCCTATCCATCTTCTTCGTTGATACAAGCTAACCAGACCAGTTGCGTGTGCGGGCATCAGTTCTGCTACAAATGTGGGTGGGAGTGGAAGACCTGCGGCTGTCCCCAGTACGGGGACAGCTTCGTTCCTGAACGAGTGGATCCTCGTCGTGATCCCAATGATCCACTTTTTGATCCCCGACGCGTTTGCCCACATTCGGAGGGCTGGACTCGACGGCCCGAAGATACATCATGCGCCGGCTGTCAACGCACCAAGACATATGCCGTTCTTGAGTGCAAGAAGTGCGGCCTCGTCATGTGCGGACCATGCCGCAAAAACGTTGCGGATTCCAGGGATGCAGGACATGTCATTGATGGGTTCTGAGTGGCGCTGTGAGCCTCTGGCACGTCAAAGCATTTGGGGGTGTTGATGGAAGAAGATTGTTTGGGGTGTGGGGCGCCCGCAGATGAAGCCTTCTAGAGAAGAGTTGGCAGAGATAAAATTGGGGAAACGAAGAAAAATCACCGAAAAGACCAAAAAAAAGACAACGGCAACGAATAGAGGGGATGGAAGAAAAAGAAAGATAAACCAAAAAAAGGGGGACGAGAAAATGAAGAAACTTTCAATTAGAATCACTGTGCACATAGGTAACTAGCTTTCCTATCTTAGCTGCTGCTTTTACGAGCTCAGAGTCAGGCTGAGTAAACTTCAGTCCCTCCGACTCAGCTGCTCAAAGACATCTGGTAAAGCCGTGAGGTCTAATGCTCACTGATTGCTAATTACTTAGACTGATCAGATTCAAGGGCTGGTTGTGGCTGTCAATTGCTATTTGAACTGGGTGAGAGATACCATTCTGCTATCCAATAGAAAAAAGAGAAAGAGCTCAGGCAGGGAGAGCACGCATCAGCCCAGCTTTCTTGCTTGCAACGTAGAGGTTGCGATTTCCAGGCCCAGTTGCGAAGAACAAATGGTTCCTCATGCCGTTTCCTGATAGGCGTGCGTCTGTTGAACTATTTGTTTTGACAACGGCAACCTCTTCGAACCATGGAGTCATAGGTACCGAGGCAGAAGTGAGAACTTGCACGTCAACAATGTCACCCCCGAAATCATCGATCATCCTTACGTCGGCTCTGGAACCGAAGAAGATCCTTTTGTAGTCGAATAGATTCCCGATAATCCACGCAACCCAATGGAGTTTGATACACGCCTTAAATGGATATACACAGTCATTGTCGCCTTCGCCACCTTCGCAGTGTCACTGGCCTCTTCGGCTTACGCCGGCAGTATCAGGGAGGTGATCAAAGACTTCAGCGTGAGCGAGGAGGTGGCAACGCTCGGTGTGTTTCTGTTTGTACTTGGATTTGCGGTTGGGCCACTCCTTTGGACACCGTTGTGTGAGCTCATGGGCTGTCAGACATCTGAGTGTGCCACGCAAAGCCATTTGCAGTACTGACTTGATAAGAGATACCATTCGAAAAAACTCAGGCAGGGAGAACACGCATCAGCCCAGCTTTCCTGGTTGAAACGTAGAGATTGCGGTTTCCTGGCGAGGTTGCGAAGAACAGATGATCTCTCATGCCATCTCCTGATAAGCGTGCCTCGTTTGGACCCCATTGCTTGACTACAGCAAGTTGTTCGAACCAGGGAGTAAGGGGCACCGATGCAGAAGTGAGAACTTGCATCTCGATAGAAACATGAGCTAGCCACACAAGGCCATTTGCACTTGAGCAGTAGTGACTTGAGCTGTGCCCTATATAGCTTGAACATGAGCAACAAATCTCGATGCTCACATCGCGGGAGTGAGATTGGGCAGATACAAGGACCACAATCTTTGTTCTGTGGCCGGAGTTTGCGTACCACCATTTGGGGTCGAAACCAAGTGCTGTGAGATCCGAGTTGAATATGCTGAGCGTCGAGCTCCCTGTGTCATTACAGACCCAGATTTCCTGTGTGACATCCGGGTCGCCGCCATATCGTTGAGGGATTCGGATTTGCCCATGTATCTATCTTATGTTAGTAAAGAAGCTCAAGTGATCATCGATATAGCTTAGGTTGACATACAATGTGCATCTCAAAGCTCTCGTGTAGTGTCAGTACATCGGACACAGACTGCGCAAATTGTTGTGTCTGATAGTCAAAAAAAACACGATAAATGATTAGCTCAAGCTCTTCATAGCATCATATACTCAGGGCGTCTAACATACCTCACACCATTTCAATGCGTGAGCCGGCAACCATTTATCTTTCCATGGGGTTCTTTTCAACGCGAACCCCATCAACCAGGAAAACAGGGGGATCAGTTTGCTGGCGTGGTCCGAGATCGCCAATTTCGTATAGGTAAATGAGGGCTTTGCAAAATGTTCACTCTCTGAGCTTGTCCAAAATCCGTGTCCAAAACGACTTGCAGTTGTTTCACTCGCTCCCGAGGTCTTCGGGTTGGAGGATGTAAGGGATAGGAGACGCGGGGTTGTTGTTGTTGTTTTTGTTACTTTAACGTCCTGAGAGGGCAGGAGCGAAGCTCTTGCTCCCGTGCGACCTCTCTAGGGGTATGAGGACGGGCTAAGCTGAGCTTTGAATACATAAAGATGCCCAGAAAACTACTTAAAGATGTGGAGAGGCCGCTAAAGCAGCCTTTTGCAGTTGTATTCTTTTCGATATGTAAGGTAGTTACAATAGTGTGTTCTACTAAGAAGAGTATGCGATCAGTCAAAAATGTGTGTGATTAGGTAGTTAACATAGTCATTTTACTTTTTTTTACTTGTTTTTGGTTTCTCTAAGTTATAATTATTTTTTGTAGTTCACAGCAAATGCTATCTATAGTAGTCTATATGCATAATATACTTGTAGATAAAGAAAGGTAAAGAACTTTAGAGCATAGGGTGGTAGATAAGGGGAAGAGAGAGAGGAAGAGAGAGAGGAAGAGAGAGAGGAAGAGAGAGAGGAAGAGAGAGAGGAAGAGAGAGAGGAAGAGAGAGAGAGAGAGAGTAAATAAGAGGTGTATACCTTTCAGCGAATGTAGATTCTAGTATAGAATTCTGTTACTCGAAGTAGTTCTGCGAATGTCTCCGAAGACAGTTTCCGGAGGTATTCCGAGGATTTATTCCGCCTACAGAAGCAGGTAAGTTCAGCATCCTCATGGTTGAATCGTCGATGATACCAGTCCAAGTCTCCGTGGGAGGAGTGTAGTGCAAACCACCGGTGAAAGGTGGTCCTCGGTAGTTCCAGCTCAGGTAATGGTTTGACCTCGTAAATCTGTCCCCAAGCCTGATACCACGTAGATAACTTCTAGGAGACCTTTTCCCACCAAGCAGCTCGGGCTTCGCCCCGTAGTGCTCTGTAGTTGGATCTGATGCCACTGACTGTGGGAAGTGAGGCAAGGCCAAAAGCCGCTCCCCACTGCGCACCGAGGTCTGCTTCGATGTCTGCTGCTTCGTTGCCCTCGATACCCATATGCCCTGTGACCAGCGAATGCCTAAAGGGGACACGCGGGGCTAAACTCGGGAAGCGGATTAGGCATGTTGACAAGCGCAGGGTGGATGTGGTAGGTGGAAAAGGTAAAATATGTGGAGCGCTAGCCCTGGAAGTGATGCTCAGTGAGTAGGTATAGATAGGACTTTGGAGTAGAGTAGGTAGACTTACTAGAGATGACTTAAGTACCGGAGTAGACAGTAAACAAAGACCTGCGCACCAAGTCATTCCGATGTCACACCCCTTACAAAAGTATCCCTTGACCCAAACTCCATCTCACATCTACATCATGGCATTGCGGCTCGGCATATTGGGCAACATCCAGCCCTATCTTCGGATTCTAGCATCTCTAGGATCCCACTTCACTCCCATCGCCATCTACGATCCAAACACAGAACCAACATGCGCCATCCCCAACGCGTCCATCGAGGAAATCCTCAAGAACCCTGAAATCGACCTCATCCTCAACCTTCTTCCAAACCATGAAAAACACACCCTGGCAGCCCTCCAATCCGGCAAACACGTCATGGTTCAAGTCCCACTATCAATGAGCATCCCAAGCCTACGACGAGTGCGCGACGCCATCAAAAAGGGTAAAGAACACAACCCATCCGGATCAAAGGTCTTCATCGGATGTGCCCGCCGCCACGCCCCCGCATTCCAATTATTCCAATCTGAGCTCGCCGCCCTGGACAGGATCTACTATGCGCGCTGTCGCAATATCGCCGGACCCTCGACGCCACCTTTCGAACTAGATCCTGAGACCTTGGTCGATATATTCGGTGACGATATCACCTCGGATCGAATTGCCTTGGTTCGGTACCTGGGTACACTGGGTTGTCATGATATGACGGTGATGCGGGAGGCATTGGGGTTCCCGAATGCGGTGTCTAGCGTTGCGATTACGGATCCGTTTTACTCTGCTGTTTTTCACTACACGGATGGCAAGGGACATCCGTTTACGTTGCTTTATGAAGCCGGTGTGGATGGGGTGCCGCGAAGTGATGCGCATCTAATGGTTTATGGTGCTGAGAAGACAGTGAGTCTGCAGTATGACTTCCCGCGGGCTGGGGATGGAACGGGCAGTTTCGTGAGGGTCGTCGTTGAAGAGGGTGGGGAGGCGGGAGGCGTGAAGCGGACTGAGATGATGAGTTCCTGCGAGGAAGCTTATGAGCGCGAGTTTATGGCGTTGCATGCGCATATTTCTGGGTCTGAGACTGGCGAGGAGGCCGTGGTGGATTTGAGGCTTTTGCTGATGATCTTTGAGCAATACAATCGGCAGTGCGGAACTATCAGGGCACCGCTGTGATCTGCGGGTATCAATGCGTGAGATCGGGGTTTCGTTTTTCGATATGCCAGCATTGATCTGATTGAATCATTATTGAAAATCTGAATGTTTCCGGGATAGTTGTTTTATCTCGAGCACATCTCTAAATCATTGAAGGTACAATTTGAATCCATCAATCGATACAATTACACTACCGCTTTCCCTTCTTCTTAGGCTTCTTGGCGTTGGATCCACCAGTCTTCTGCTGAGCAGGCGATTCCTCAACCTTCTCACTAACAGGTCCACCTTGGGTAAGCGCCGCAGCGCGTTGCTTGCCCTTCTTACCCTTGGGGCGGTAAGAGGAGCGATCGCGGATGGGTAGCCAACGCTCGGGGTCAGGCTTCTTAGCCGGATCGAAGTCCTTCGGCAGACGGGATTTGCGTACACGCTTGTGGGCCCGGTCGTCGGGACCAGCGGCGCGCTTGCGAGCTCCCGCGAAGGCGGCAGCCGCCGCAGCCGCCGAAGACGCGGATGGGGAGACACCCGCGGATTCAAGAGCCGAGACATCGATATCGCCAACCAAGTCGCTAGCCTCTGGTAGGCGGTCAAGTTGAGATTCGACCTGCTCATAGTTGAGGGTTGCCTGGGAGGCAACGTAGCCGGCAATAGCAACTCGGTCGTTGGCGTCTTGCTGGTGAAGGGCACGGAAGATCTCGCCGGCAGTAGTAAGGTCGGCGCGATCTTCGGAATGCAGGAGGGAGGCTGCTGCGGCACGCAGAAGAGACACAGGTGGCTCGGACTTTACGCGCCAGTGGGCTGCGGCTTGGGCCAGAACTGTGCGGATCTGGACCTTGCGGCCTTCAAGTTGGTAGAGAGAGACCAGAACGCTGAGGAGGCCGGGGTTGAAGCGGGTAGACTGATCCGTTTCGGAAATTGACTCTTCAAGGCTGTGGAGAGTTCGCTCAATGGCTGTGATGGCTGAGGTGGTGTTGCCGCTGTTGACGTAGAGCTGAACCACGGTGAGAAGCAGACCAAGGTCTGTGGGGCGGCGCTCCAGCAAGGGTGCGATCTTGGAGAGGGCCTTTTGTCCTGTTTGGCCTTCTGCCTGGGCTGCAGCATTGTAGACGGAAAGGAGGTTGGTTGAAGCATCGGTAGAGGGCGTTGGGCGTTTGGACAGCGATTTGCTCGTAGAGCGGATTATTCCCTCGTATTTCTGAACAAGCAGATCCGCGGCATGTGAGTTGCCAACAAGATCACGATCCTGGAACTCGAACAACCGGTCGTTATTGATGGCATCAGGAGTGTCATGGAGGGCCTTGTATAAGATGAAAGGATTCACTGTGGTCTGGCGGGCAAGGACAATGTTGTTGCGCGCAATCTTCTTCGTTGATAGTTCGGAAATCCTGGAACGGGTTAGTCAATTCGATGTGTTTGTATCCATGGATGATCGTGCGACCTACTTATCAACGGAGATATCTTGAAGGAGCACTTCGGCCTCTTCCAACTTTCCAAGTCGAATCAACACGTATAGTTGCTGCACCATGATTGGCAAGAGTTCTGCGTCCTTGTCTTCAGCCGAAAGGTCCTCCGACGTGCGACAAATATCTTCATAAAACAGTTAGTTAAGTTTATGTGTCGGTGAAACATGGGGTTCTGACTTTGAGCGCGGTTCAGCAAAATTTCGCTCTGTTTGAATGCTCCCTTTGCCATGTTCAGGCAAGCCGCGTTATACGTTGTCTCAAATGATTCCAGATCCTCTCTCGACAACCGGTCGTGGCGCACATATTCGGGCTGTCCTTTCCATTGTAGCTGTGCATCGGTGGCCCACGAATTGATATTCAGATCGTTGACCTCATGGCTGTGAGATGTTGTGTCCTGGGACAGTTGTTCATATAGCTCGGCTGCCCGCTTGAAGTTTTCAGCACGATAGAGCTAAAGAATGTAAGAATTAGTGCTGATCCAATATGAAAAGACAGGTTCAGCGCATACCACTTGTGCCTCTAGATGACTGGCACCACGTCCAGCTGCCACATTAGTTACCGCTTCGGTAGCTTCTTCCAGTTTGCCGCATTTGTACGACGCATAAGCATATTCCAATCCCGCGCGCTTCTTCAATGTGTCCCCTCCGGCCTCGAACGTCTTGAGTGCCTCCTCGTAGCGATCAAGTTTTATTAAAGCAACAACCTTGATGTGCTGCGCTTTCAAATCGGACTTGGATTTGGCGAGGACAGCATTGCATGACTGGATGACTTCTTCGTGATCGTCAATCGACGCCCGCTGCAACAGCGAGGCCAGCGATTGCGCAACCATAGCGGGGTTGGGTTGGGCTTCAGGAGATAGAAATGGCGATTCTGAATCTCCGACAGTGGTTCAAGTCGTGAGCTTCGTCCAATGTGACACGGTTGCAAGTTTCCCCAGATCAACTGATATCAACCCGCCAATGTGCGGAACTGGTCTTTCCCGATCGGGGGAGTTCTGCGCCGAAGGCCGTCTGCCCCGCCGTAGCGATCACGTGTTGAGCTATACACGTAAAGTCCTCCGTTTGATGAAGGCAATGCGAGCAGCAGCTTCGGATGATGAGGAATAACAGTAGTTACGGTCTCGCGGGTATATTTTAGAAACACAATCCCCCAAAGAAGGAGAAGTACACAAATAGGGGAAGTAGGGAAAGCACTTTCTACAGAAGGTTGGGTCAGTCACCTGACCATTTTCCAGATGACACTGTGGGTTACAACTACACCATGTTGCTTAAACCGAAAGCGAAAAGTCCATCACTGAGATCTTCCGCCTCAATAAAATTACCGGATCTTTTTTCCGGTGAATTGCGACCTGGGGCGGATGAACTATGCGCATCGGCAATGTGGGGAAGGCTCATGACACGAAACACTCCTACGGGGGACAATACAGGCAGTTCACAAGGGATACGAGGCATTTGGAGGGTCTTTGATACCAAAACTTCAAATCAAGCCACGTACAAGATGTCCAATGATCCGAAAAAGGGCTACGATAGTATGCTTCAAATCAGCCCAAAAATGTTTATAGTTATGGCTCCTAAGCATGACTGAACCCCATAGCAACGGACCGGAGTATAATTGATCGTGGAGACGAAAACAAACCTCCCAATCGGTCAAAAGCTACAAGTAAACAAGTTACTATAGCCGTCCAACTCTTGGAAGAGACTCTGGAGATGCAGGAAGATGAGAAAAATTGTGATAAATCGCTGCATGCGGGCTGGTAGCATTAAAAACTAGACGAGAGACGCATGGCGGTCCTTACTACTCGTAGTTCAGGGCAGCGCTATTTATACTTCCTTAAGACTCAAACAAGTTTGTCTCTGTGAGAGATTAAAGCGTTAAGTCCCTGATCAGCGGGTTGATCCCTGTTTCTGGGGGCTGTGTCGTGTACAAGTACTTGCACGAAGGACGGAGTACAGCGCAACTGACAGATCCTGCGCCTTGAATTGGCCCCCAAAAGCCCCGAAGATGATCCAATAAAAATGGCTCTTCGGGTCACAACGGGCATTTGACATCGCGGAACGCATTCATATCAGAAGCGGACCGGATCTATTATTTCATTGAATCTACATGCAGATTGTTGACCACGCCTTCTAAAGAACCCCCCCTCAGACCTTACCCGCAATATCCAATATTATATCGACAGGGGCCGATCGGCACAGGGATCGCCTAAAGAAACCTTTAGACGGGAGACGCAACTGTCCGAGCTTTTATACAGAATCCAGCTTGTTCCGGAGGAAAGGATCTACATAGAAAGATGAATTGGGATGAGGCACGCAGCCATGCAGTTCCAGGTATTGTTAGCGCTTACGGACGACTGTAAGGCAGATTAGGGCCTTGGTTTTTTTTTTTTTTTTTGCATGCACCACGCGAGCACACTCCGACAGTAGCAAGGCAGTGGACGCGCGGATGTGGGGACCGGAGCGATCGGTGACGAGTGAAAAGCGGAAGCGTTGGTTGAGGTGGGCTTGGCATTGACAGGGTCGTAGATGATCTTTCGAGACACTGTGAACATTGGGAGATTTGAGAGACAATGGATGGGATAAGAGGGTGTCACTAGGGGAGATATTATAGACCAATAGCTCACTGTAACCCCCGCATCTGGAAACTTGACCGAAGTTGTCCTCCGTAGAGTCGAGCGGAAACGATACGAGAACACGTGACCTGCACGTCATGATCATCCCTCAGACCCCTTGAGAGGAGAATTGGCCTTTGCCCATTTTCATACCATGGAACCATGATCGTCCCTTAACCCGTCTTCGATATTTTCTCTCTTCTCTCTACCTCTCACTCTCTTGCACTGCTGGTGATTCCCTGCTTTCAATCGCGGGCCATCGATTGTGCTCTAGATCCTTGTCTCCGCAATGCGGTAGAACCCCGAACACAATTACACTACACACAATGCTCTTCAGCGCACGAGATGGGTCGTTCCCGGGAGCTTCATGGGCATGGAAAAAGTTGCTGCGATTTGGCGTCGCCTTTTTGGTTATCATAGGATTTATTACCATGCTATGGCCATCGGCAGAACCAATCAAATTGCCACTGACAACCGTTTCCAACATCACCATTTCTCCAGATGTTGCATGTGAATTGGATTCCGATCTTCTGACCCGACTAGACGTTCTCAAAGTCGCCCAATATACTCGTCGGGAAATTGTGATCGATATGACGGACGATCCAGTGCCCTACACCCGGCGCCTCCAAGAGCCGCTCCTGGGCTTGAAAAAAGGCACCGAAGGGGCCGCGGACGGATGCTCAATCCCGATTCCTGTTGCTCTCACGGTTCCCAGACCACCGAAAATGCCTGTCGCCTCGCACATCGATTTTGGAGTCGCAACTAGTGTCGAGCGACTGAACGACTCCCTCGATGCATTCGCACACTGGGCTGGATACACGAAAACCCGCATCTTTGCGCTGATCGAAACCGATCGAACAGAAAACGGGATCCGCGACGTCAAGGCCAAAGCCGAAAACATGGGTGTAGACTTGTTCATCACAGAGTCGGATGATGACTACCTGCACCGATACTTCGCCCTCATCCCTCTCCTGGAAGCAAATGCCCGGGAATCTACCCGCTGGGGTTGTGTCATTGACGATGACACATTCTTTCTGTCTATGGCAAGCCTGGTCGAAGCGCTCGACCAGTACGACCACACCAAGTCCATGTATATTGGCGGAATATCAGAGTCTATTCCGCAAATCGCGAATTTCGGAATGATCGGGTTTGGAGGCGCAGGCGTCTTCCTATCCCGACCTCTCCTGAAAGAAATCACCAACGTCTATGATGAATGCTCCGCCATGGATTTCACTGGTGACCGCCGCATTGCCATCTGCGTCTACCGCTACACCCAAACCCGATTAACAGTCGACCACCGCCTCCGCCAGCTCGACCTGATGGATGATGCATCAGGCTTCTTCGAGTCTGGTCGCGAGCCCCCACTCACGGTCCATCATTGGAAATCTTGGTTCCACGCTGACATGCCCAAATTGTCTGTCATTGCCGAGCTGTGCGGCGATACCTGTCTCCTTCGCCAATGGCACTTCGGTGATGGTTGGATCCTCACCAACGGCTTCTCCGTCATCAAGTATCACTATGATCCCAACGAGGGTGATCTTGCCATGGAGCAGACATGGGCTCCGCACAATGGCGCCAACGATGAATCGTATCTGCATGAACTCGGTCCTCTCCGTCGCAAGGACGAAGACAAGAAGAGTTTCCAATTGATGGATGCCGTTATTGAAGAGAACGGCCGGGTCACGCAATGGTATGTTCTGCGTGACTCGAAGAAGGGTGATGAGATCTTGGAGTTGTCATGGCGCAAGAGGTAAATAGTTGCTATATTTCTTGCCTTGTACAGAATGTTTGGCCTCCGGCCCAGGTGGTCCAGATCAGCTTCCGGCGCAAGGGTTTAGGAAAGTCACTTGCATGGAGTTTGTTTATAGATCAGAGATACACACTAACTATCAACTCTATTATAATGAGTCCCTTGAGATGAGTCAAATAATGTGACATGTTTTGGATTTCCTATGCTCCAATTTACTTCTTCGTAGGATCAAAGTCCATTCCTGCAATCGCTCCCGTGTCTATTACGTGCTCCATATCACCTCCTCTCGGGGTATCTTCTCCGCGGAGGACCTCCAGCAATTCAGCCGTCTCTCTCGCTAACCATTTTCCTCGGCATCATCTAACGGGGATCCTACATCAAGTGTGAGATCGTATTGTTAACCAACACACCAAACAATCAATGCGAGACGTCCTTGGCTCTAGGAACTCTGGATGATAGTCCTGTTGACTCCACATAGTTCTGGCTCGGTGTTGAATACCACAACCAGCTTAAACCGAACTCCACAGCAACTCGGCGATAACGACCGAGTTGACTTATAAAAGAACAACCACAGTCCTCAACCAAGTGTCCTTCAAGCAAAATTCTTGTCAATTCGTCAAAGATTCAAGTTCAGGCATGCGTTTTCTTACTTTACCAGCACTAGCTACCTTAATTGCGTCTGTCCAGAATGCCTCGGCCTCTTTTGTGAACAGCACTGCGTGTGTAGATGTACACTTTGTACTAGCTCGTGGAACTACAGAGTCTTATCCTGGTTCTACATATTCACTTGCTTCACAGGTTGCTCAAAACACTACCCTACGCACGAACTACGAAAACATCATCTACCCTGCTGTCAGTGAGGATTCATCTGATAGCTACTTCATCGGACGTGCTGCTGTCGGCAGACAAGTCACAGCGTATGCCCGAGATTGTCCGCAATCCCAAATTGTGATATTGTCCTATTCCCAGGGGGCTCTGATCGTAGGGGATGCACTTGCTGGTGGTGGTGGCAACTCGACCCTTGGAAAGCCGACTCAAGCACTCATTTCCAGAGATGTCGGGAAACAGAGTAAGGCACAATCAACCGATATGAACCAGGTTTGAATCACTAGCTGACGTTTCATGAATCACAGTCACTGCAAATGTCTTCTACGGCAACCCTCGTCATATCGCGCAACAGCCCTACGATTTCGGTACCACAGGTGTGAAACTCGTCGAAGGAGTATGGAACCCTGCTTGATTCCATATGACTTGACTGACTGTGTCTTTCTTCAGAAATATCCTCGGCTGGCATATCAAGTCCGAACATTCAATGAGCGATATAGTGAGATCACTGGGGATTGGTGTAACGTTGGGGACGGCGTCTGCTCGCCCTCCGAAGGCGCCAATGCTCTGAACCTCCACATGGCGTATGCGAAGGATTATGATACCGTTGCTGCAGATTGGGTGTTACAGAAAATCAACGCAGCCCGCTCGCGATGAGTGTTATGGCAGAAGCTTGGTAGCTTCTAAAGTTCTCGTGATTTGAGGTTTTCTCTGGCCGAAGAGATGGAAAACAGCCAAAAGCGCCGCTACGGGAAAATTTGGCAGATCTCAGGAATTGTGACTCCCCTATGCCTTGTATGCAACTTAGAAACTCGTCGTCTGTCAAAGTTTGAGTAGTACTCGAATATTTTCTAGATGAGATGGTAAGTAGGACTTGATTTATGCCAATAAGATTCTGTCGTGCGCGGATATATATCGGCATGTTCTCTCTGCAGGTCCGCGGTGTTATCCACGCTTGGGCAGCACGTCAAGATATTTTCAATAAATGATAACATGCAAATACCTAAATACTGCTTAAGCCACCAAGGTAAAGAGCACTCTAAATTTGTTGAGTTTGTCCATTGATAGCTACTTAGAGGGTCTAGAGATGAAGATTCCAGCCCTGGGGCTTTACTTCCAAGATTAAGCTGCAGTAATGATACCTAGGTATACACCTAGGCTATCATCGAACCTTGAAAATGCCCAGGTGTAAGTAAGTACCACTTATTTGAGTAAGCATCCCCCTTACTACTAAGGACAACCATGACAGACCTCTTCAAATCAGGAATTCTTACCTAAGTTCAATTTAGAAGTTCCAACCTTGGAAGTCAAACTCCTACCACCTGGGCAACAGTTCTAAAGTCGAAAGCTTTTTTGGTTAGTGGGATTCTAAAGTTGCTTTTTTGTTTGCCAGCCCTCCAGGTCTACGGTGGAGGTTAGATAATTTGGATCAATTGACCAAAGCTCGATTGATTCGGTATAATGCCAATGCTACTTGGGCACGGAGTTGAACGCCAATTTATCGATCGGAGCAGGAACTTGAAGTCAAAGCGCCTGGGATGAGAACGATTCTCCTGGAAAAAGGCACCATCGGCTGGCTTGACCTTCAATGCAAATCCCAAAAGCCCCACGAATCCCAGAAATTGGCGAAACCCAAACGAAATTACCTGTGATCAATTACGCCCCAAAATCAGACCTTGAAGCAATCTTTATGGGAAATCACCATCAAAGGTCTGCCATGGAAATGGATATGGTAACTTGGCCCGAAGATCGAGCCTGAGAAACGAGCCTGACGCGGATCAAACGCCCGACTCCGCAAGGACACAGACAAAAACGACCTTCAACGATCCTCAACGACTCCTAACGATTTCGAGTAGCATCTCCGTCTTAGCGCCAGTCCACATCAAAGCGCAGATCCTATGGAACCCCTGAAGATCGATCAACGTTGGCTGACGATCGGGATATCGATGTGAGACCTTGTGGAGAGGGCAGTTAGACGCCATCTGAAGAGGGGCCTTCATCTCGAGCTGTGAGACATTGCGTGTCAGTGGTAGGATAGTCTAGACCAGCCTCTGTCTGATAGAACGCAAAAATGAGGGTGCTAGGAAGGTAATTAAGATTGCGAAACCAAAGATATCAGACGAGGACGACGAGAATGTGTCGTTTCAGTTCAAATCGCAAGAGTGAGCGTACGCATGATTCTCCTGAGTGGATCGTGGATCAGAGTGATTCGCATTAGCTGACACTCCACAGAATCGAGGGAGATGAGCCGATTTTCCTGATCCGCGTTTGGAGGCTAGTGTTGACTTGTGAAGGACTATTTATTTTGGCGTGACTTAGGCACATCAGTGGGCCAAAGCTCAATTTCCCCAAAGAGTGACATCAGAGGATCAGACACGGCATTAAAATTGGGCCTTTGGTCATAGCTTCGGCGGCTGTTGTTGGATCTGTGGATATCGGATTAACCGCCTTAAGAAGGACTCTCTCTGTCTGTACGGAGTATTTATGGGCTAGTGTTAATTCCCTTGAAGGCCATTCACTTTCTCGATTATCTCGTGAGTTCTGCAGGAACCGAAGGCACCAAAGCCCCTAAACCCAAAACCGACCTGTATGCCACATACGAAGTACTCCGTACATGCCTAACATACATACACCAGGGGCAGCCTGATGTTCTACTAATAGAAATATGGAGCCTAGCGTGGATATGATACAAAGACACGTCTCAGCCACAACCATGTGGAGATCGCCCCGTGTCGAGGGGAATATGTGTCGGCCTGACCCGCGATAATCCGACGTTCTCGCAAAAAACAAGGCAATAGTTCAAACTAAAACAAATCGTATGGTTGGTGATTGGCAGAGGGACCCTGATACGCAAGCCATTTCCAATTTCTCATTGGGCTCTGGGTATGTTTTCAGTATCTTCTAAGGAGATAATCTCCGCAACCCCCCGCAGGACCTGGCCCGATGTGCGTCACTTTCGTCAAGGGGGTGCACTTCGGTCTGCGACTAGTGAGGGGAAGAACATACAAAGTACATTGTAAGGTGATCTCACGACAATGAATAGGGAATATGAGCCAGTGAGCTTGTTGCCCAGCCCCCCTATTCTAAAGTTCCTAACCATTATTTTTTTTCGTCTTAAAACAAAAGAGAAAGTAACCGAAAATAACAAAATAAACCTCTATTATCCCACTATGTACTCCGTACACAGTACTTACGGAGGACTCGTAAAGGGTAAAGTGCACCGTGCAGGATGGGGGCCGCGCAGACCATGTTTTTAATTTCGATTCGGCTTTTCACGGCTTCCACGGCTTCCACGTCTGTTCCAAAATCCTTCTGGTGGCCTTCTGGAAGGTCAGGAGAAGGCTTGGCAGAGCCGTGCCGTGCAGTGGGTTCGAGGCTGAAGCCAGCCGGTGCCCACTAGTGTCCCCGGAAGAGAAAAAGGGGCGAGATGTAATGATTACCGATGCGCACTGGATTGGCTCCACTGGATCAGAAGTTCGTGAAGGTCAGAGTAGCAAAGGACCGATGCCTTGTGCTACATAGTGTAACAGGAGTGCTCGCTTTGGCCCAATGCTGTCCAAGAATAATGGGTGTGTATTGACTTTGTTAGCCCCTCAGATGGTAGAAGCATATCGAGCACTAGACAGAAGACGCCATACTGTACGCAAGGAGGAAGATCTGGGGTTGTAGAAGTTAGCTTCACAGAGTAACTCGTACAGAAACGGTGATATCAAGTTGTTTTACCATTACCCGAATGGGTAAGGTAGGGGGAAAACCAAATTGGATGACACTTGACACTTACGTACTTGGAAGTAAGTGGATGCCATCAAGCCTTCTAGAAGCCATGGAATCCCCCATTTAGCCTTCCGCGGTCAGTCGGCTAGTAATAGTTGGAACAGACTATCGAGATGGTGAGGCAACCTCCTGCCCTGAACTGTATGGATAATAATATACTCGCCTGTCGCACCATAAGGAACATGCAGCTCAGGGTACCGAATTCTCCCGCTTCCTCTTGTCATTGGTTTCTCTACTTGAGGCTGTACTCCGTACTCTCGTACCCGAGTATTTTATTTCGACTTTGGTTTTATTTTTGTTTTCTGATATCGCAAAATCCGAAGGGGAATATGTTTTCTTTTTTTCCCAGCGTCAGGGGCCATAGTTCCCCCTAAAACAAGAATGCCCTAGTCCGATCTCACCTAAAGGGCGCTAGGGTGTAATTTCAGGAGTATGAGCCTTCGAATTAATCGAGATAAATTCTGCAGATCGGCGTACCTTTTCGTATCCACCATTTTTCGGGGAGAAGGGCACGTTGTGGAGCCAATGCTGACGGGGGGCTTCTGGTGCGGCCAGGTTTCCTTCTAGCGGGCTTCGCTGGGTCCAACTAGGATAATTAGCATGGGTCCAAGCAAAAAGGGAGTTGGGTATAGGAGTTGGGTTGTGATGTATTGTGATAGTGATCAATAGATCACATATGTACATAGAAGATATCTAGAAGGATTTCTTTTGCAAAAAGTTCAGCCTCGATGGCTTTAGATTTGATATCTTCCAACCTACAGAAAGCAGAGATTACGGAGTACACAGGACAGGAAATAAAAAAATAGAATAATCTAAAATAAAAAACCAATTTTAAAAAAAAAAAAAACGCGAAGTAAAAAGAAGTAAATAATGATGTAGTTGATGCAGACGGCACCTACCACACCTAATATATCCCCTCCCCTTTCTCTTCTTAAACTCCCTTTACCTTCCTTTATTTCCCTCCCCACCCGCACGAATTCTCTACTCTCGCGTTCATCTTTCGACTTCCAGTTTCCACAGGTCCGTATTTCCGCGCATATCCCATATCCCTGCCCAACGCGCATACCATTCCATCGATCTTTGGGCTTTCCTTTGTGAACCTTAAGCGCGTGACTTGGTATCTGACAGGAAGTCACGGGACATCCAAACAGCGCGAAATGAGCCGGGATCGCAACACATCACCCCGGGAGAACCATTATACTGACCATCGATCTTTTTCCGCGCAGGCTTTCTAGCTGGAGTGCCGTATATTTGACCCCCACTTACACCGCGATCAACAACCGCGCGTTCCGCCTTAGGCCGACCACAAATATCATTCTTTGAGCTCGGTTTTCGTCCGCCGTTTCGACACATCTTACACACCCTTGCATTCCTCTGCAGGAAAGTGGATAGTCCGCTTCGTCTCATCTTCTGCAAAGCAGACTGAGGCGCAGAGCGTAACACTGGTTCACACAGGGTGAGTTTCTTGTCTCCGTCGAGGTCCGAAGCGTCGCGTCACGAAAGATTGCCACACCGGGCTTCATTCATCATCTTGAGGGTGTTCTAATCAGATTCCAGTCCTGTGTTCGAACGAATTTCCTGCTTGTGACGGCATTGGTCGATCTGTGAACCCGCGAACCATCCGATCTCCGACGAAAAATTTAGAGAAACCGAGGTCTCGATTCCACAAGGAATCACTAGTCGCGCTATCAAGGCTGTCGGGTCTGCTGAAGGACGTCGTTGAAGGCAGTCCTTGACCGCGGTCCCGTCTTGACTTTTGGGTCGGGTCATGGACTTCACAACCATCCTGAACAGGAAAAATTCCGCCGCTGCAGCCGCTGCCGCCGCCGAAGCGCAGTTACAACACCAGTACTTTCAGCAGAGTGCACAGTTACACACCGGAGCTTCGCCAACAATGAAGAGCGAATCAGGTGGCTCGGACAACCCAGTGAACGCATACCCCCCTCACGGCCCTCCGATGCAAATGGACGCGGGACTTGCCGATGGTTTCTACTACGCGCAGCCCACAGGGTCTACTCCCCGAAACATGGCTTATGCTCCAGCGGGATACGCGGGCGACCCCCAGATGCAGCAGGAGCCTATGCCCCAGGGAAGGACTGGCGTGGATCCTCCACCAAAGACTTTCCACTGCTCAACCTGCAACAAGGGATTTGCTCGGCGTAGTGATCTCGCTCGGCATGGTAGGTTTCCCCGACATTTCAATCATGGATTGCGACTAACGCTCACTATAGAACGTATTCATACCGGCGTTAGACCCCATGCTTGTGACTGGCCCGGATGTGGGAAACAATTCATCCAACGTTCGGCATTAACAGTGCACTCCCGTGTGCACACTGGAGAGAAGCCACACATGTGTGAGCGATGTGGAAAGGTATGCCCCAGAAGTCGCTTCATGTGTATTTTTTTTCTAACACGAGATCCAACTAGCCCTTCAGCGATTCTTCTTCGTTGGCTAGACATCGCCGCATACACTCCGGTAAACGGCCCTACAAGTGCCCATACGCCAACTGCCAGAAGACTTTCACGCGCCGGACTACGTTGACTCGCCACCAAAACCACCATACTGGAACAATCGAGGAAGCTGCTGCGGAGACAGAGGCCCAGCTGCGACAAAACAAAGATCGTGGACGCCCCGGCGAAGGAATGTTTTCGGAGCACGGTTCTATTCACTCCACCCCGTCACCCGGCCAACATCCCTCTATGTCACCCGGTGGTGAATTGCCCCCATTGAACATGCATCGATCCGCTGGCGACTACTACATGGGCACTGGGCCCATTCCGCCTCACGTGCGCGGGGATTTCCCCCAAGGCAGCCCCCGAGCTTCCCCGACTGCGACATCTCCCTCGCTTTCGAGCTATGGCAGTGCCCCCCATGTTCGCCCATCTATGACCTCGCATCCCTATGCCCCACCGCAGCCTTTGGAGCCTCCGGCTACCAGCGATCATCGCCCCAACAGCGTCAACGGAAGCCCCCACATGACAAGCCTCGGATGGGCCTCCCCGTCTCATGGCAGCATGCCCTCGCCTGGGTCTGCCAATGATTTCACTTACCCGGAGCCCACTGGCCCAGCGTACCCAACCTCCATGCCGCCACACATGTACTTCCCCAACTCTACCATTCGCCGGCCCACCAGCACCGAGCCTGATAACTACGAGATGAAGGCTCGAGGCGACCACTCCTGGTCCACTGCTGTATGATGCTCATGTAGCATTCGCAATATCTACATTTCCTTTGTTTCTTTTCATTTGTCACTCATTGCATAAGCCTTGATTCCCACGAGAGAAATCTCTCGATATTTCTTATCTCCTTTGTTGTTCATGCATTTTCTTGATTTGTACTTATACAGGAAACCACGGGTAGGAGTCGGGTCTGATCGTGTTTCCGCCGTTATTTGCTTTTATTGCCATTTTTAGGATGGCACTTCCCGAGACACGATCAGATGAGGAACTGCATCCATGGAATAGATTGGTGGCATTGGGATCAATGGATGGGTTCGGGGTTTTTTTTCTTTGTTTTGTGACTGCGGTGTTTGGGATCTGGCTTTTATAATCTTTTTCCTTGTCTTCATCTATACATCTAATATCGCTTTTTGTTTTGCTGTACCCTTGTGGGCTTGCTGTCACGAATAACCGTTTACCAGGGGCTTGAAGCTGACCTCATCACAACGTTTTCGAATAGATAGTGTTTATGAGTAGCTTTCTCCATCGATCATTCTTGGTTTGTCCAGCAGAAGGCCCAGAATATCTGTCGAAAGCCTCCTCCCTCAGCTCGCAGGATGGATCTATGGCGGTCGAGCCCCCTGGATTAACAGCGTACGGGGGTTGCATGAGCTCTTTCCAAGCTTGTTCAAGGTCACACCTGCGCAGTATCCTCAGGTCTAGCTGTCAGACCAACACCTACGGGGTGCTTCCAAGGTTTTGGATGGTATTCTGCAAGGGAAGAGGGGATGGGACCACCAAGGGCTAGGAGCTAGCTAAGGCACCATTGACAATAATTCCAAACTGCCTCATTACTCAAGTACTCCCAGGGATATCAACCTTGAACGTCAACAGACGCCCCCATTCCCGGTAACGCAAAGTTCTGATACATAACACGTCTCACATGCAATCAAACTTGCATCCATACGTAGCCCTGGAGACACTCGCTTCCAGAAGTACCAATAGAGGGGCTGTACTACCTTCCATCTGGAAAGCTACTCGTATCAATCGAAGTTACAATTACATACAGCAGCAAGATACTGTAGGTATTCGTGGATGTGATTTCTTTCTCAAGTCTCTCATACCGTTTGCCACCGGTCCCACCCGTTATTCTGGGATCTATACACTCCTTGGTAATGGCGAGTTTACCGTGTGACGTTGTGTTGGTATGGAAAATCTGATGCATGACATTAGTGGTATCCTGGTAATTGTTGGAGCTCGCATTGTACATTCAGTTCGGTGGCAATGTAGATTCAACATACAGAGTACGGAGTATGTATTCGGTAGTTGCGGTTCGATGTGCTCTTGTCTGATGGTGTGGATTGAAGCAAGTGTCCTGCATGCCCAGGCGTTAGCCTTGATTGGCTTTCAATCTCATGTGGCGTGATGTGATGCTTTGACTGGATCATTATTTCTAAGTTACAAGACATTTTGAAATCAGACAGTTGTTTAGCCTCTTCTTTCGGTTCCATGTCCATTCCTGTTGAGAAATAAACCGTAGTAAACCTGAACAACATGATTCTTCCTAGCAAGGTTTCGATTGATATCATTGTGGGTTTACCGGAAGACAGTACTTAATAGTAAAAGCGAATTATGTCTCACATGGAGACCAATTACATTTTGTGATGATCTAAGTTCTCGTGTTGAAGTTCGTATTTACGTCCCGGGGATCACCGTGGGTGGTAAAGGTCTGGGGAAACCACCAGCGCTTTAGGTTTGAAACATAACTACTGCGCGAATGGAATATGCTGCATCTATATGATAATGATGGTGGCCTCGTATACGGTCATCTGCTTTCAACTTTCTTGGGCGTTGGGGGTCTGCGGATATTCATGTCGGTGACAGTGTATAAAAAGGTGAAAGTACTCCGTAGCGGTGATGGGAATTAAATCGATCCACCAATATAGTCCAGGAATTAAACTAATCTATCGCATTGTGGTAACTGATAGACATCATTACCCTCGAGAAGATGAATTACTGCACCTGGATCACTCTTCTTGCCCATCTCGCTCTCACGAGTATGTGCCCCAACATCTGCTTCTTCACAGAGCCCAGATAACCAAACTCCTCTCTCACACAGGAGCAGCAGCGTGTCCAGCAGGATGTGGCACTGCCGATGCCTGCGTCTTGACAGAAACCTGCACGACAGCAACTTTTAGTTCACCCTCGACCACGATCACAACCTGCGTCCCTACGGCCACCTGCGTAGGCGTTTACTGTAAGAGAGAGCCCATGTACTAGCTGGAGCAGACCAAAGCGTTCTGATTGATACTAGCTTCTTGTGTCTTCGGTGACCCGACCAAGCAATGCTGCTCAGGCTACTGTGCTGCGAATAAGTGCCGCTCGACAGATGAAGATTGGCCCCAGTGTAGTGAAGATAATGGGCCTTGTGTTGTTGATGGCAATTGCTGCTATGGAAATAAATGCACAAATGGAATCTGTCGCCGAGGCTGAGTATTTGATGGGAAGTGCGGTGGGATTGGATGGTTTTGCATCGTGGGACGAGGCTATAAGTACGTCGGATTGGCGAGAAGCCGAAAGGCCCTGAAGATTGACTGGTTTGGCAGTCTATTTTAACCTTCAGGTGTTGAGCCGTTGCCGTGAGTTAGGTTGTCAGTTGTCAGAAGTAAAGGTTAGGTTCAATGCAAGCCTACAGTATATACACAATCTCTCTACTCCGTCCACGGGTACTCCGTACTTGTATAACTTTAGAAATAATGATGGCTCACAAAGCCAATAAGCTCTTGGCCTTGTCAGTAAAAGCCTCCATCGCAGTTCTCCACAGCCCCGGCCCAACGCTGATCCTCGCAACGCCCAAATTCCTAATGTCCTGCACACCGAGGAATCCCTCCTTCAGATTCATCTTGACATTAACCATCCCACCTAAAGCAGCCACCAACTTCTTCACCTCGTCGTCCGAAACTCCCCTTCCACCAGGTCCCCAAACAAAAACCGTACAGGCCCCAGCCCCCAAGAACGCCTTCCCACGCTCAATGGCCTGATCCACCGCCCCGCTGGCCAACACATCCGTCCGAGCATTGACCACGAAATCAGGAACTCCTGCCTCCGCCGCCGTACGCACCACCGTCCTCACCCGCTCAACAGCCTCATCCACCGACCGCAGCGCGCCCGTCGCGTCCGTATCTTCAATATTACACCTTACAGCACCTTGCGCGATAACCTGTCTGATGGTATCGGCCAGCTCGGCGGTATCACCGTAACCATCTTGTAGATCGACAGTTAGCGGTTTCACCGGGTTCGTAGCGCGGATGGCGGATGCGATCGCGGCTATGGCGGTCAGGTTTTGTGTTTTGGTGAGCGCGTTATCGGCCACGCCGATCGAGGCGGCAATGGCGTAGGATGCTGTTGCAATGGCTGGGGCGGTGGGTAGTGAGGCGATTATGGACGCTGTCGCTGCGTCATAGACGTTAGTTAAGAGGATGGGCTTGCCCGGTTGGTGTAGGGCACGAAAGGCTTTGGCGATGTCGTTGGGGTCCATATTCAGGATTGGATATTATTCGTTGCTTTGCATTTGTTATGTTTTGTTTTTCTAATCCCCGGTCAATCATTATATAGTACTCCGTATACTCCGTGACTTTGAGTCATCTCAAGACGAAATTGTAGTGGAAGTGACCAATGGCCACGGAGGATCTCCGCTTCGGACCCGACGTGCATGGCCTTAAATGCTGTAGATCGGATCAGGTTTTCCTACAGTACTTCGGAGTGTGCAGAAAGGGACCCCTGTCTCAGACTATCTGACTAGCAGACTATAGTTTGTACACCTCGTAAGCCGTACGAGTCAGCCGTAAGGCGCAAGGGGATCGGTATGTTTCCCCCCTCGAGATCTCGGCAGTAGTACGAGTACGTTCAGGTCTCTAATGCATATTTGCCACAGCTCCGTCCAATCTGAAGAATGTCTGGGGGCCGAGAAACGAGAAAAAGAAAAGAACGAAATACTGTATGCATTGTGAAACATTCCCTTTCAGAGCGCTATAGCCAACGAGTACGGCGTAGTCTGTAATGTATGTACTTTGTTTTTCTTTTTTTTTTCTTTTTCACAAAGCCCTCTTTCTTGACTTCAGCGAAAGAGGACGGTCACACACCTCCGGGTTGGATATCCGTGCATGAACGAGGGGTATTGGGGCATTCCTTTCCAGGCGCCTTTTCAGGTGCTGTCAAGAAAAGTTGGTATGTCTTCCCGGGTTTCCTTTCGTTTCAGATGTTCTTATAATAGCCAAAGCCCCCAACACCAAAGGAACTATCGAACCTGAACACTGCCCTGCTAATTGCTCCTCGTTATCCAATCTACTCTGTGAAATCCAATAAAAAAAACCCGACCACACCCGCTCCAAGCGGAAAACAAGTCTGGACTCGGGAAGCCCCGTTTTAGATGGAGACTCTCCTCACGGTATTCGGTGTATGGGCCTCGTATGCTTGATAATCCCCCGTAACGGTTCATAGTCATTTAGGCACTAAGACAGGACTTTTCTTTCTATCCTTTTGAAAGACTGTCTAATAAACAATTCGAGCAACATTTCTTTTGTCTCCTTTGAATCTGGTTCAACGTACTCCATAGACCCCTTTAATCCCTTATGAGTACTCCGTACTCCGTACAATCATACTCCGGCCCCGTCCTCCGTACCCGTATTTCTATCAATAGGCGGTACCTCGTAAATTAATTAATCCCCATCGGGAAGTCCCCTGTAATTTACCGCAGCTCTCTCCCCACTCTCCGCTTCGCCTTGCTCGTCTGTGTCTCCTCATTCTTTTCCTCTCACTCTTTCATGTCTATATGCTTTTAACACATAGCATTTGCATTGTCACTTTATTCGTGTCCGATCTTATGGCGTATGGTTCTTTCTCACTCCCTGCAGTTGGCCGCCTGACCTGCAGCTCTCACGCTGCCATCCGACCCTGCTCATCTCGAATCCTGCCTACCGTCCGACCTTGACCTCTCTTTCCTCCCCCTAAATACACACCCTCTTTCTCTTTTAAACCCTTCCATAATGCCTACCGGTATCAATGTGCCTCCCGCCGGACTGTCTCTCCGCTCTGGAGATCAGTCCGGGGACCTCTCCGCTAGGCCGAATCAGATCATGCGGTTGAACCTGGTGCAGAGCACCCTGGATGATCTGATTCAAAGCCTCCGGAAGGAGCAGCCGGCCCGACTCCGCCTGGGCAAGCACCCTTCTCTTCACTACGGGGGCAAGTCCCATTCCTTCCATGCGTATCCCGAAACACATCGCTCCGAGATCTTCCATACCTCCGATCAAGAATCCTTGTACTTTACCGGACTTCTTAGCCACAGCCTGGAGGTGGAAAAAGCTAAAAATGCCACCGCGGCTACCGACCAGGCGTTGGCCGATTTGGAGGAGAAACTCAATGCCCACGAGAGAGGGAAGGAGTCTAAGAAAACACACATTATCTCACACCCCGATGAGTTGCGAGGGCTCCGAGGTAGCAAGGCGGGCTACAAGGGACCTACGAGCAAAATCGAGCTCGAAAAGGACCGTTTCCTTAAAACCGCCGCCAATCGTTCTCTCACGGCTAGTCCAACGTTGGGTGCTCCCAAGTCTCCCGCTCTCGCCATGACTCCGACCTCTGCTCCAATGATGCAAAATAAGGATCGCGAGAGGCTCGATGCCCTCAAAATCCCGTTCATTCACCTTCTTGCGGTTCGTGCCGTATCGGTCAAATTCCTCGCGCGCGTGACCTGCAGCACCCCCGAAGACTGCACTGTACTCGCCGAGAAATATGCGGTTCAGAACCGTATCAACACCGACAAGTACGATCTGAGGGATAAGATCTACAAGGATCTTGATCTCTGGGGCTTCAAGTACACACCAGAGGACCGAAAGGACGCCATTGAGAACTCCATCTCTGCTTTCGATCGCATGCGTGTGTCCAAGAGCGATCCAATCTGGCAAAAGCTTCTTCCTAAGGCTGAACGAGGCAAGGGAACTTGCCTTTCTCGTCTCAATCTCCGTACTGCTCCACCTCCGAAGCCCGCTCCTAAACCCAAAGTCAGTGGGGCTGAGGATTCGGGCAGGGACGAGGGCGATCACGCTACTTCCAAGGCATCTGCATCTAAGACGACATCGATTTCGCAAAAGGCTCGGGCCTCTGACAAGGAAATCACCAAGCCTAAGCCCAAGTCTAAGACCACTAACAGTACCCTCACCGGGCGGGTCACCAAGAAAGCCGCTACCAAGGCCCCTGCCAAATTGGACGGCAACAGCAAGATCAAATCGGCAGAATATGTCCATGATTCCGACGAGGATGACGATGTTGACATGCTGGAAGGGCCGGCGCAACCCGCGCCTGCACCTAAGCAGCAGCCGGAACACAAGCGGGTCCCGTCCAATGTGAAAGCCCCGGCGGCGAAGATCAAAGCCCCGGCTAAGTCTCGTCCCACCGAGGCCCCGTCTGATTCTGTGTCTGCTTCTGTTAAGGCCCCCACCAAGGTCCCCAAGCCTGAGACAGCAAAGCCCAAGCTTGAACCCTCCAAGCCAACCACCAAGGTTACAGCCTCCAAGCGTCCTCCTTCGCGACCATCTACTTCGCCCCAGAAGCCGTCTCCACTCGGCTCATCACCGCCAGCGAATGCATCCGAATCCGCCGGTCGCAACCGATCGGACAGTCAAAACCAATCATCTGGGTCATCTTCATCCTCCCCCCTCATGTCTCAGCATGCCAAGACCAACAAGGCTGGCCCACCTGCCGCTGCTCCCAAGCCTTCAGTCGCTAAAACTACGACTCAGACAAATGGTGTTACTAAAGCCGCTGCCAATCCATTGAAACGCAAGGCAGAGCCTGACCGACTGTCCGTGCCCCAAGCAGGCCGACCCACTGGAAATTTGGAAGCCAAACGCCGCCGAGCGGTCAGCACCACATCCAGCGGCGGCAGCACCGGCAGCGCTTCCCCGCCTATGAGCCACCAGATCATGTGGCAGAAGCTGCAGGAGAAGTCTCGGAAATTCAAGAGACTTTACAGCAAATACCGAGCTCTGCATGCCTCCCTTGCAGAAAAGGCCAGCCCCTCCAGTGAGGAACTGGACCGCCTGCAGAATCAGCACAATCATCTTGGAGCGATGAAGAGAGAGATCTGGGATGAAGATCGTCGCCTCAAAGCTCTTCGCTCCTAAATCCCCGGCGGTTTAACCGTCCGCACTAGGGCGGCATAACAATCGACAGACACGGCGTTCGAGGGCATCTTTCAAATTTCATATTCATATGCATCATTATCCCCCATTGTTGTTTTTACCCTTTTTCCTATATTTATGAGTTTCCTTTCATCATATGTCCTGAAGAAATGTCCATCTTTATCATCATCATTACCATTGTCATTGACAACAAACCCAAGTCCCTCACTGGGCTACAAATCAAATAACAAAAATAATAAATATTCTCATCATCTCAAGTGCACTCAGTCCCTCGTATTTCATGGAATTCCTGTTGATCACACTTTACCCCAGATCGACCGTCTACCAGTCCCACCCAGCTGGCGGGACCTGCATCTGTTGCTGATTGGATGGACCGGCACGTGGCAATGTCACGGGCAAAGTTAGTAATGAGCCACAACGCACGTGATGATTACATCATATGGTTTGAGTAACGCTATTCTAAATTGGGTCTAGTGCGTAACCTGTATCGAACTTGCTGTCTCCAAGCATCATACATGTGTTACACCCTCGTCGAAATTGCCTTCCCTGCGGCACAAGCATTGCTTTTGCAAGGCATTGAGTCCAACTGAAACTTATAGGAGCGCTTATTCAAGCTTCTTTCACAATGACGCCCCCGGCCCGTGGACGGGGGACTAGCCAACGCAGCCCGACCGTTTTGGTACGAATCCCGACAACTTTTTTTCTGGGGGGAGGAAGAGCCTAATTGGGTGTTTACTTGGGATTGAAGGATACTAACACATGTGTTCTAGGTCACGGACTCCCGCGATCAACAAAACACTCAAACTCCCCGCCGTCGCCGTTCACCTGCAACCCGCTTTATCACCGTCGATAATGTCCTCCAGTACGCCTCCGACGTGCCTTCGGGACAGCAACGGGGCCCACCACCTAGCTCACGCTCACGACGCCTTGCGTCTGCGGCGGGTGGCCTGATGGGTACTTCTGGCAGTAGTAGCTCCAGTGCGGTCGCAGGAGGTGGTAAAGCCGGTCGGCTTGCGGCGCAGCCGCGTCTGCCACCTCGAACGACGAAAGTCAGCGAGAAGCTGGTTCTTCTACCTGATACCGATGAGATTGAAGAGGGAGAGACTGAGGATGACGAAGACGAGGGACCTGATGGTGTGGAGACGGTGGATGAGGAACTCGTTGCTCGCTTGGCGCAGGAGAAAAATGTTGATCCGGAGATGGTCAGACACCAGCTTCTAGTTTCGAAGCGGTTAGGTGGCGATTTCGGCGTTGATAACGATCTTGCCCCGTTGTTGGCCGAAGAGGAGGTGCTCAGGAAACGTCGTGTGGCGCCTGAGCGCGCGAAGAGTTATGCAGAGCGTTTGCCAAAGGCCAGGAGGACAGAGAAGCTTGCTCGCGTCACAGCCTATTGTACGGCACAGGCTTACAAGATGGGATCGCTTGCTGCCTTTGTCAAGGAGCAGCATGGTGGCAGGACGAAGCTTTACGACGATTGCCTTTACACTGCTTATCATCTGCCTCTTCTTCCCGGTCACGATGGGTACCGGTTGAGGAGTAGTCCTGTTCTGAAATACCCTGGTGGAAAGTCTTTGCTGGATGAGGAGATTGAACGTAACGAGCTTCGTGATCATCATGATGATTACATGGTTGAACCAGAAGAGCATTCGGTTGGTGGCCACAATCGCCCAGAAGATGAACATCATTACGAAGCATCGCCGCGCGACTCGGATGATCATCACCAGGAGAACCGGGAAGAGTTCTTGAATCGTATCACTGAAGAGGTTCGTGGTCGCGCCGATGAGCATGAGCATGCCGCTAGCTCCAGCGAGAGTGTTCAAGTGATGGAACATTCCCAGCCTGCGGAAACTAGTGAGGAGAACAGACCTCCTTCGCCGGAGCCTCTCCGTCGCCGAAGACACAGCACAGATGACAGCCACGCTCTCATTCGAGACCGTCCTTCTCCGCCACCTACTACGCATTCTTCGTCATCATTGCCACAGGCTCCAGCTCGCACATTGTACAATGTCGCCGAGATGTTTGTCTTCAGCTACGGCGTTGTTGTGTTCTGGAACTTCACTGAGCGACAGGAGAAAGATCTGCTTGCTGATTTGGCTTTTGCTACATCATCAGCGACGGGGATTCCCATCCCGCTGGCAACTATGCCGCTTGACGAAGAGGACTTCGAGACGGAAGAGTTCCATTTCGAATATTCCACTGAGATCTCGCGTCCACGAGTCTACAATGATATGATCACACTGCGAAGCGGTGACCATATGATTAAGCTTGCTATCAGTCATGGTATTTCCCAAAGCACCAAGCTCTGCTTCTTTGAAGAAGTCATGGCTCGTCAAATGGCAGACGCCAAAGACGTTCCCAGGCGATTGGCCGTCACAGGCAAACTGGGTATGAAGCGCGAAGAGGTTTTCCGTATCCTCGGTCGTCTCTTCAAGAGCCGTGTCGAAGTCAACCTTTGTAAGTTGCATTTTCCAATTGACATTTTACATTCACTTACAGTCACGCAGCATCAAACATGCTCGATGTCCCCAACTTTTTCTGGGAGAGCGAACCGACCCTGTACCCGCTCTACATTGCCGTGCGCGAGTACCTGGAAATCAAGCCTCGCATCCAAGTCTTGAACGAACGATGCCGTGTATTCTTAGATCTTGCCGAGATCCTTTCAGACTCAATCGCTGACACCAGAACATCCCGTAAGTTTTCATCCCGCAACATCTAGCAAATGACTGACTCTTACACCCGCCAGACCAAACTTGGATCATCATTGTTCTCATCGTTATCTCCATTCTCGTCACTACCTCTGAAGTCTTCCTGCGCTTTGGCCTTCTTCATGCCAGCCAAGGCACTAACGGGACTCCTGCCAGCATCATCGCTCGAGTCATGGGGCGTTCTGTCCCCTCTCCCTCCTCGGGCTGGCACCCATACTCGGCCGCTGATGTACCCCCGGGATGCATATGTCCTTCCCTTGTTCCAGGTGGTGAATCACAGATGGGTGTTAGTGGTTTGATGGGTCTCTAAACGTGCTGCATTATCAAAAGGCTGGCTTGGTGTGTTTGGCGTTTGGTCTGGGGCTTTTAACAACTTTACTTCTATTGCATATTACCTCAAAAATGTCAGGTTAATACATATCATTCTTAGTCCCTCCCGAAGTAAAAGATCAGGGGAGCTCACTCTTTAACGATGATTATGCTGTATTCTTAGCTAGCTATAGTATATGCCAGCCAGTTTCTCTCACGACTTCAGGAGCGCTGGCAGAAGACTCGCATCGAGTTTGTTCAACTGCTCACAGGTTCGGACGAGATGTAGAGCTTGCGTTCAAAACCACCACTACATCCTGCACAGCTTGTTGGCCCTGCTCAATGGCCCCGTCTACAAACCCTCTCCATCCATCTGACCAGTCTGCGCTGGCAAAGATGACTCGCCCATGAGGACTTTGGAGCTCTTGAAGATACTTGGATGCAGACCCAGGGCCCCAGCAAGCCCACACTCCTTTAGCATATGGATCATTCATCCAATCGTGGGTTGCGTATGCCTCAACTTCGGCATCTGGCTGAATGTTCTTGCGGAATTTACCGACAATCTCCTTGCTATTCCGCTTGTCCGTTAGCTGGGAGCTGTACCCAAAGCCAATGCACCAAGTTCCCGATGGCCCGGTGGTTTGAGTGCCGTTGTGGTCGGAGAATGCAAAGAGGTATGTACTGGAACAGGCTGTAGCGAACCATGCCGGCTGTATGGGACGTAACTTGAAATGGATTTTGGCTCCTGTGTTGATATGGCCTTCTTCAATGGCTGCTTGTCGAAGGGCACTCAAGGGGGGATTGAAAGTGATGTCCCCCAGACAGTTCCTGGGAAATCAATCAGTTGTCAATCGTCAATGGGGATGCTGTAGACTTACAAAGGAATTGTACACACAATCGTCTTTGCTTTCAAATACTTCCCAGAGGTAGTCGTGATCTTGATTCCCGATGCAGAATCACTGATATGTTTCACCGCGGTGCCAAACAGCATGTCACCAGTGTAGTCTCCCAATATCGCTTGCGCAAATGAAGTCATCCCTCCTTTCCCAATCTTATATAGCCCTGCCATCTCAAATACCCCTGCCATACTATGTCCGCCCAAAGCAAACCACCGAAGAGCCTCAGTAAAGCCAATACTTGATCCAGGAGCGCTGCCAAAGGTGCTCACATTGGATTCGAAAAGATCTTTTTCAAACTGCGTAAAAGCCAAGCAGTCCAGCCGGTCCTTCACAGACAAATGATCATACGACCGCCACAAAGCCGGTTCCCTCAACGGGTCATGAGGATAAGGCATAAGAGCACGACTATCATAACCATCGACCGTAAAGAAAGCCCGCGAGACACGATCCAAGATCTCGCCCGCTTCCGCAATCGATATCTCCCCTGGCGGACCACCAGATGCAAAGAATTGTTTTTCCGGCGCCAACGTTCCAGCAGATGTCTTCAAATTGGCATGTAGTCCGTACCGACGCAGCTCGCTGTACAAGTGAGGCTGGGCCCAGTGGACCCATGTTCCGCCCATTTCGATTTCTTCGCCTAGAACGTTGGCTGTCCATGTGCGGCCTCCGATGCGGTCTCTGGCTTCGAGGAGCAGGACCTTGAGATTGTGTCTTTGGCTAAGATCTCTTGCTGCGATGAGACCGGCGAAACCTGCACCGATCACAATGACATCGTAGTTATCCTTTATCGTAGACGAGGAGACTTGGTATGCGTGTGTTTGTAGGCCTTCCTTGGTACCTTTGGGGGTCCACAAGAAACCTTCTGCGGTGGATGGTGTGGATGGTGGCATAGTTGATGATCAATCTTGAAAGCTTTCAGAAAGAATATTGCTATTTGGTGATCAAACAATTGCCTGGTTTATATTCCCCGCATCATATCGCTTCGTCGATTGTCCTATCGGTAACGCGGAAATGGTTCCGATGAGATATCTAAGCCAAGAGCTGAGTGGTTTGGTATCATCGGTTTGCCTTTCCTGATGGAGTCAGTTAGCGCGATGAATGCGATTGGCTAAAGCCGACATCTTTAGCTGCAGTGAACAAAACCACCGAGATCCCTGTTCCACCTCTTCGCCTCATGGATCACCAACCCCCTGCCAAGTCAGGAGACATGGAGGAAACACAACAGGAAAATATGAATGGTGTCACAAAAGCCCAACAGCCGAAGAATTTGGAATCCAGGGTCAGGTCAGTCCGACAGAGACAATGTCCGTGTAATCAAATTGTTCTCACGATGGCATTGGTTGTTGGCCAGGTGGTTTCTCACCAGCTTCCCAACCGCACCTTTGATGTTAGATGAAATGGATCTCGGGAGCTCATTGATCATGTTATGTGGAAAGAAAAAGCAAACATATTGTTTCAATCTGGGCGGATAAAAGAAAAAAGTCCATCCAGACTAGCAGATCCCTTCGAATGAACATCGCCGAGCAGTCGATATCAAGATACAATGATCGAACAGTATGACCTGATAGTTGTTGGTGCCGGTAAGTATTGATAATGAGTGATCTGTACCATTTGATCCAAGCTAAGTCATCGTCCCAAGGGTGGTTCGGCCTTGCTGCAGCCAAACATTATATCCAACTCCATCCCTATGAACGAATCGCGGTCATCGAAGCGGCCAGTAGTTGCGGTGGTACCTGGGCTGAGCATCGCCTATACCCCGGCTTGAAGTCAAACAATATGGCTGGGTCTTATGAGTATCCAGATTTCCACATGAGCGAAGCATACGGCGTGAAGCCTGACAGTCATATTCCTGCAGCGACTCTGCACCGCTATTTGACCGACTATGCACGCCATTTTGGGATTTTTGAGCGCGTCATATTTAACACCGTGGTGGGAACCATTGAGCAATGTGTTGCTAGCTGGGTGGTCAATACCTCTTCTGAAGCAGGGACAGCTGCGCTCAGGACTAAGAGGTTGATATTAGCAACAGGTCTGACTTCAACGCCTAACATGCCATCATATCCGGGGCAGGACTCATTCAATGCTCCATTCTTCCATGCGAAAGATTTCCAAGAACACGATTCTCTCGATAGCTCGAAAGATATCGTCGTTGTTGGCGGTGCAAAGTCTGCTTTCGATGTGGCCTTCGCATATGCACAGGCAGGAGTTCATGTCGAGTTGGTCATCCGACCAGAAGGAAACGGACCTGTTTGGCTTTCTCCGGCATTTGTCACTCCACTCAAAAGAAAGATGGAGGAACTACTTCACACCCGCTGTCTCACTTGGATGAGCCCTACACCATGGGGCGACGAGGATGGATTTCCTCTAGTTCGAAAGTTTCTTCATGGAACTAAGATTGGACGATTCATTGTGCAGGCATTTTGGCACATGTTGAGCTCCGATATTGTCAAGGCCAATGAATATGACGATTGCAATCATCCAAGTCTTGCTGCTCTGAAACCATGGACATCGGCATTCTGGACAGGCAGTGGGGTGAGCATCCACAACTATGACTCCAACTTCTTCAACTTTGTGAAAGATGGAAGGATACAAGTCCACACCGCAAACATTGCCCTTCTGAGCCCGAAGAAGGTACACCTGTCCACCGGTAGAGTCCTGAATGCCGATGCCCTGATCTGCGCCACCGGGTGGAAAAAGACACCATCGTTCAAATTCAGCAACTGGGACCTCAACCTGCAAAGATCAGAAGCTGAGATGACAGAACTCCTCAATTCAGCCGATGCAGAAATCCTGACACGATTCCCGATCCTCAATTCCCAGCCTTTGCTTCGCAGCCAAGTCAAGAAACCGAATCCTCTACTTTTATATCGCTTCATGATACCACCTGCTCTGTGGGAAGACCGAAGCTTAGCATTTGCAGGCATGGTCTCATCCGTGAGCACGTCCACTTGCGCCAGTTTACAAGGGCTTTGGATCTCGGCATATTTCGACGGCAAACTGAATCGGGCTCCTGTTAACGATAACGATGCTGTACGAGAAGCCGTTCTCAATTCCCGGTGGGGGAAATGGAGGTATCCATGTGGGTATGGAGGTGAGGTCGCGGATTTGGCATTCGACGCACTCTCATACTTTGATCATCTCATGCGGGACTTGGGATTGGAACATTGTCGCAAAACGTCTTTCATGGCAGAGATCATGGAGCCATATAAGCCTTGGGATTATCGCCAGGTGGTTGATGAGTGGATGAGTGCACATCAAAGTAAGAATGGCTCTGCGTTCCAGAAGACTTGAATCGCATTGAACAAAGCTCGAGTTGAAGTACCGGGCACGCTCTTTTCATGACAATCACGAATGCCTAGAATGCGTAGAACACGGTGCGATCAGGAATTCTCCTAGCAGCTATTCGTCATGCGGAACAGGCATGTGGCCACCATGGCCGCGTCAGGTGAAAATAAAAGGGCAGCCAAACAGTGTCCTGTTAAAATCAGACGTAAAAATGTTAACCTTTCTTTCCACACGCTTGATTCAAGCGTTCTGGAATGCGACCTTGAAGAGACCATCTTGTCAACCCAGGCTACAGTAGACAAGTCCTAGGTATATAGTCAAGTGAAGTAGAAGAATCCAAAATCTCCGTTAACGGACAGAGCCGAACCATGCTAAATATGAAACAGAGACATTAGATATCAGTACAAAAGGGCCGGTCCAATGCAAGTCCTGCCCGGGCCCTGTTTATCACGCGCCACGCTCATTTTATCGTATATCCTTTAAGAATCCCTATATATGAATCTATCCGGTAATCTTGAAGATGGACTCGGCGAGTCTCTGCACGTTGCCGGAGGTGATACCAGCAACGGAGATACGGCCGTCCTTGGTGGCGTAGACGGAGTGCTGGACGAGTCATTAGCGCGATTCCTTTGATAAAGGTTAAGTAAGCTTACCTCCTTGGCAAGGGCATCCATCTGCTCGGGCTTCAGGCCAGTGTAGGCGAACATGCCGATCTAGAATAATGTTAGTCTGAATGATAGGGATTGAACATATGAAACGTACCTGGCTGGTGATGTGAGACCAGTCGTGCTTGCTGCCGAGCTTCTCGAGGTTGGTGCGGAGAGCGGAGCGCATCTCGATGATGCGGTCAGCCATGCCCTTAACCTCACCGAGCCACTGCTGGTTCAGGGCAGGGTCGTTCATGATGGTGGAGGCGACACGAGCACCGTGGATGGGAGGGTTGGAGTAGAAGGGACGGATGAGAATCTTGATCTGAGACTCAACGCGCTTCTTCTCCTCGGTGTTCTCGCAGACGAGGGAGAAGGCACCGACACGCTCACCGTACAGACCCATGTTCTTGGCGAAGGACTGGCACAGAGCGATGTTGTGGCCCTCCTTGACGAAGTGGCGGGGAGCAAAGGCATCCTTGTCAGCGTTACCGCTGGCAAAGCCCTGGTAAGCCATGTCGAAGAAAGCGAAGTGGTTCTTCTCCTTCATGACATCGCTAATCTGGCGCCACTGAGCCTCAGTGGGGTCGACACCGGTGGGGTTGTGGGCACAGGCGTGCAGGAGGATGATGCTCTGCTCGGGGGCAGCCTTGATGTCGGCGATCAGACCCTCAAAGTCAAGACCGATGGTGTCCTTGTTGTAGTAGCTGTACTGAGCAACCTCGAGACCGGAGTCGGAGAAGACAGCCTTGTGGTTGGCCCAGCTGGGGTTGGGAAGGTAAATCTTCTTCGCGCCAGGGTAGAACTGCTTGAGGAAAGCACCACCGATACGGAGAGCACCGGTACCGGAGATGGTCTGGGTGATAACGAGACGGTTGTCCTTGATGGCGGAGGAGTCGGCACCGTAGGCGAGCTCGGCGGCGGCGTTGGTGAAGGCGGGAATACCAGTGATGCCAGCGTACTCCTTGTCGAAGCGCGATGCGACAACCTTGTCCTCAGCAGTGCGGACGGAGGGCAGGACGTAAGGCTTGCCCTTGTCGTCACCTGTACAGACACCCGCCTGTTAGCAATCCATTCATGGTGCGAGATGCCATTTCTTGTTGGTCCAACTTACGGTAAGCACCAACACCGAGGTTGATCTTCTCCTTGAAAGAGTCGGCCTTGAAAGCCTCGGTGATACCGAGAATAGCATCCTATGAGACCATTGATGTTAGGATTGCTGTTTCACGCGCCCAATTGCACGTAGAAAGCTGGATCAAGCTTACAGGAGGGCCCTGGGGCACGTTGGCCCAGGTTGAGCCGTGACGGGCGACCATCACGGTGCGCACATTGGCCTCACGGGTGGCAGCCGACCGGCTGGCGACACGAAGAGTGGAGAGCATGATTGCAGAGATGAAAGAATAATCAAATTCAGGGACGCAGTCCTAGATCTAGAAGCTAGACTTGGGGAAGGGGGAAAGGGAAGAACCGGGAGGAGAGCCAAGTAATAAAGGGTCGGAGACACAGTCCCGATGTTTTTTTGCCTGAATCACGGTCCCGGGGGGATGGCGGTACCGGGTACCTCCTTGGCGGCATGCAGCTTCACCTTGGCCCAGGTACCCAGTACATCTTCCGGCGAGATGTACGAGTGGGATTGGCTACAACCTCCGCACGGTTAATCGTTTAAGTGCACATCTGTCGAGGACTCTTTTGACTATTTTCTTTGCTAGTATGGAACAGCCCTGGAGCTCTCCAAGGGGGTTCCTATGTTCGGAATGTAGACATATATTACAATGTGCTACACAGCTCACATCAGCCCATCAGCCCATCTCTCAACCCCGGGGTTTTCTCACCGGGAATTTGCGTCTCCCGGTGAACTGATCCAGCTCCTTCTCCACACTATTCCCCTCACGCACAGTTGGGGTAAAATTTTATGTATGTGATAGTAGGGTGAGGTGGACAGCATGGAGTACTTAAGTACACACCTAGGTATATCAGCCACTCACACCTAAGTGAAATACATATACCCCGTAAATCTGTACGGAGTAGATAGGCTTCTCTTCCGAGATAAAAAAAAAAAAACAAAACAAAAGCAAATAAATCTCGCGTAACAAAATCGAGAAAAAAACACCCGCGATCCCCACATGCGGAGATGTCGACAGATCATTACGTAGCTCGGGAGGACATAGCTAACGCGGAAAATTACCCTTTTGGGTGCGAATATGCATCGACTCTGCAGGTGCGGAGTACTATAGGCACTGAGGTAGGTACTGTAAGGGGTATGAAATATGGTAGGTATTGGACTCGATATACATGGTTTAACCCAGACGAACACCAGCCTGGCCGGTCTTTCGTGCAGCGGTACCAACGGCGTTGTTCATACCGCCGTTCTGACTACTATCCAGGGCACTCGTGGCCTCGCGCTTCTTCTCTTCCTCGATCTTCTTTAGTCGCTTCTCCGTCTTCATCTTACCACTGCCCTTGCCGTGGAATTGGTGACTCAGTTGCTTGAACGCTTCCTTCTGGTTCATGTTGCGACCAAACTCGTCGACGTACCGAAGCTGAACATCCGGCTTATACTCGCGATTGAAGACTTCGGCCATATGGCGCGCTTCTTGCTGATCACGCTGCTTGTTCTCCCAGCGAGCGTGCTCCTCGCGCTCGCGTGCTGACATGCGTTCGAGTTTGCCAGAGGTACGGTCACGCTCACGCTGCTGGCGGGCGCGGCGCTCAATTTCGGTCTCGCGGTTGGCTTTATCGGCAAGGAATTGTTGGCGGTCGCGCATGAGCGCGTTCTGGGAACCACCGTCATTGTCCTTCACCAGACCGCGGGATCGTAGCAACTTCAGAGTGGCTCCGAGACCTTCATCCAACGTAGATTCTTCTTCCAGGCCAGTGCCTGTAATTTCTGACTGAGCTTGAGCCGCTTCATCGCGTTTGATGCGTGCGGTGAGCTCCTCTTCATCTTCAACATCGCCGTAGCGGTCCATATCAATTTCGACACCCTCGCCCTCGGTTTCCGGCTGAGACTCGGGCTCTGTGTGGGCGGGTTCCTCTGTAGATGCTCGTCGAGGAGCAGGCTTGGTCTTCTTCCCTTGAGCTTCCAGGAGATCGGCCTTGTCCAAGTTGGCGACAAACTCGGATGTTTCGTCGATGACAAGACCGGGTTCATCTTCGTCTTCCATCGCGGTCTGGACCTCTTCTTCACGGAGTTGGCGGGCAAGGTCCTCTGGGCTGATCTTCTTACGCTTCTTAAACGCAGCACGCCGTTGCAGTGCAAGGGAGGCTTGAAGATCATCGTCGTCGGCAAAAGAAACATTTTCAGTGGTCGGCTTGCGGCGAGCAGGAACTGGTACACCCGCACTAGAATCAATTTCCATGGCGGAGTTGCCTTGGGTATCGGTGCTGTCGGGAGGCGGGGCGAGATCATCGTCGTCCATCACTGCCCTCTGTTTCGTAGTCTTGGCCTTCTTCTTCTTAGGCTTCTTGATCTTGACCTCACTGATATCCATGTAATCAGATGTGGGCACCTCTGGTTCGAACTCGAGGTTGATAGTATTCTTCTTGAGCTGATTCGACACTTCTTGACGCTTGGCTTCGCGCTCTTCATTTGAACCTTTAGCATCCAGTGTAAACCTCTTCCGCTTTTTGCCATCAATCTCATCGTCGTACTGTGAGAGGATGCCCTGGCTCTCCGCATGTGGGTCGTAAACAGGCTTCTTCTTCTTCAGCTCCAGCTTTTCTTGTAGCTTTTCCTGTTCCGCTAAGGCCGTGTCTTGAAGTTCATCCATCACTTCGTCGTCATCCACCGCCGCATCCTTGAGTGTGAGAATGTGATCTTCGCCACCATCGAAATCACCCGCCGAGTGTCCGACCTTGATACCAGCCAGATCGGCAGCAGTGTACTCGGCCGCGGCGAGGCGCTCACGCTCTTCAAGTTCCTCGGCGGTTCTGCGAGCGCGCTCCTTCTCGACTTTCTTTGTGCGCTTCTTGGACTGTGCTAGCCAAGCCTTGGTATCGAGTTCGGCGCCATTTTCTTCTCCGAGGGTCGCGCCTTCAAGTTGGATGTTTCGTTGGGCGATGTCGCGAGCTTTCTTGATGGCGGCATTCCTTTCGTCCCTTTTTCGCTTTGCCTCGGCATCATCCTGTAACTTCTTCCAGTTGTCGTATCCTGCTGCCTGTCGCGTTTCAACGGTGCTGGCTTCTTCCTCTTCTTCGCCGGACTCGCTGTCGGATTCTTGAAATTGGGGACCGGCGCCAGGGACGGGGAGTGGCTTGAGACCGAGGGCTACTCGAATCTTGTTGTTCTGTTCAATGGAGAGAGCGTCCGCCATGTTGACGGGAGGTGGGGCGAGGGGGAAACAGGATAGAAGTGAAATTGACCTGATAATCGCCGTTGCGCAACCACCGAGAGCAAGATAGCCGCAATCATGGCACGTGATTTTACTAACCCGAATGGGGCATAGTGTCTTAAAATCTTAGCGGCCCCACTGAGCGACATAAATAAGAACCTTTCCGCCCTTCCTTTCTCTTTTCTTTTCTTCACCTATAACACGGATTTGTGTCCAGATTTCCTGTCCATGGTTCCAGTCTGACTGGTTATTGTGTGATGGTTGAGAGCTGGGCAGTTCGACTGAATGGAGCCATCATAACTTTGCGTAGATGGCCTTTACGGTTTCCGGTCGACAGATCCCAGATCAAATGTCTGCGCCTTGTGTTGCGGGTCTTGAGCTCCCACTGGTGAGCTCGGCTTGACAGCTTGGTGTCAGCCGGCGTCATATTTCATGTCTCTTTGCCGATTGGCCGTTGGCCGCTGAGGTTAGGGAATAACCATGACTGCCCACATCCCTTAGTCTAGCTACTAGAGTTTTGTAAAGAAAAAAAACCCTGTACAGTTGCCCCGGCGAGATTTGTCTCCCAGGAAACAGCACAGCTATCAAGTGGACATCCTATGGCTTGTCGAGCTTTAATGCGCCGCATGCTGCGCTCGTTCTATTTGCGCCATATCCGCAAGCTCTTCATTGGAGGTCATGATCATCATCGCTGGTGTATACAAAAGCGCATGTAATCTACAGAAGCTTCAAGTGGCCCGTCACGCCGTCCACCACACTCTTGGGACCCAAGATTCCAAGCACAGTCTTGCTGCCGCTTGCGATCTGAGTGCGACCAGCATCCTGGATCACGCGTGCGCAAAGCCCGAGGCTCATAGCCTGTGCCTGCATGAGCAGCACTTCCTCCTCAGACTTAGTCTGCAGGGCAATCTTGGCCTGACCACCGCGTTCCCACTTCTTGAGGATGGGCGAGTTGGGCGCAAATTCCTGGAAGTATTTGTAGCAAGCGAGAGTGGCGTGGGAGCATTGGGCGGCGATTTTGCCTAAGAGAAGAGTCAGTTAGCATGTGTAAAGAGCGACGTTCGTAGATTGCATACCTTTGGTCATGCCCAAGTCCATGCGAACGACCAGCACCAACTTGACCTCTTCGGTGTTGTCCTTGAAACTAGCCAGTTCCTCGCCGTTGCCTTCGTCTTCCTCGTCGGTTTCCTCTTCTTCAGAATCGTCCTCCTCTTCGTCGGAAGAGTGGCTGTGGACCTTCACATCGTAGCTGTTGGGCCAGCCTTCCTTCTTTTCTTTGAAGAGGTTGAGCGAGGAACCTTGGCCGATGAAGTATCCGGTGACACCTGCGAGGATGGCCGTTGCGATCACGTAGGCGGTTGTCGTGGGAGGTAAGCGATCTAATGGTACAGGGGCAGCCATTGTGAATGGAAATGTGGTGTTGAATACAGAATATTGCAAAGTTGCGACAAAAAAAAAGTTTTGGGGGAAGCTCGACCGCCCTTGGAACTGCAGATAGTCAACTCCCCGAGTCCCAAACCCAGCCCTTTGGCTTGCTTTGTTGGCCACTAAGTCCAAAATTCTTCTAGGGTTGTTTTTTTTCTTTCTTCTTTTTTCCGAGGCTGTTTGAAAGCGAATTTATCTCTCAGCTAAATGATATGTACTTGCTATCACAAGTCTCACGGTTTATGATTGGTGATTCACCTGTGTTGTTCCTTTTGCTCTGACTTCGGGGATATATAGCTTGTTGAGGATCACTCGAGCAGATTCGGCCCAGATATTCCTGGACAGTTGAGAATTTTAACCCGAGCACTCTGCCATAGTAAATCCACTTTCACTGGTCACATCGTCCTTTTCAACAATAAAGGAAAGCGCACCAGTATAATACGCCTTCCCTTCCACACGTACAATCACCGCCTGTCTATCCACTCCATTGCCTCCTTGCAGTAATATCCCCTCTTCGAGAATTGACGCCGTGAATGCCCCAGTATCGAAGTGGTTCGATACTAGAGAGTTGTACGCCCAGCTTTGATTGCAAGGCCTCAGACCCTTTGCATGCGCAAGAGCCATACGGGCAGTCACACAAGAGCCCGTCGGAGATCGATCCACTGAGTTTTCTGCGAAAAAACATAGACCTGTTTCCGCTCCAGATACCCCAGATGGTCGTGATCCAATGCCCTGGTCCACAACCATGATAGAGTATAGGAAAGACAGTCGCTGATCTTCAGGGTGTTGCAAAGCCTCGACGACATCCGGTTGGCTCATCAAGTAAGCCTTGAGGTTTTTGACTACATCTCCGATCCTTGAAAGATCGACCTTACTCAGACCATCAAAGCCAAGCTCTTGAGCATCGATCAACGCATAGAAAGCACCGCCATAAGATATATCCAGAGTAATCGAGTCTCGACCTGCAAGCTCAACCCATCGCTTTTCCGCAGGAATCGGAATGGTGAGACTGATTGCGGCAGCATATGCAGGCGTTGAAACGAATGTCACAGGGCGAGAGGGATCGGACTCTCGGCCATCCTCGGTGGTAGGAACAGTGACACGAATTAAACCACAAGGAGCATGGATATTAACATCAATAGTCTGAGTTTTGGGATCAACCTTCAGTTCATCTCGCTTTGGAAAGACGCCCAAGTCATGAGTGTCGACGAGGAATCGACCCAGTGCGATTGTTGCATGACCGCACATGGTAGAGAAGCCTCCGTTATGTGTAAAGAGTGTACCAATGTGAGCTTCTCCGCTTTTAATGAGCTCCGTGTCGGTGATGATTATCGCACCGTACATGTCGAAGTGGCCTCGCGGCTCGAGCATGATGCGTTTCCGGACATTATCGTATTTTGTTTTGGCTTGGTCACGCTGCTCTAGTAGTGTGCCGTGCAGCTGGGGAAACCCAGAATATACAATTCGGGTTGGCTCCCCTGTAGTATGCATGTCAATACATTTGAGAGCCTCACGGGCGTTGTCAAACTTTTGGGCAAGATCCATGGTTGATGACAGAGAGCTTGGGAGGGACCAGTCAGAATGAGAGGAGGATTTGAAGAAAACAAAAATTTTTGGAGTCACCTGTGGAATTATGAATTAGACTATAAGGTCTCTTGAGGGGTTGATGCTCGGAGGAGTTCACCCGTTCGGCGGGGCTATTCTCGGAGGGCTTCTCCGATAATTTTGGGGAAGCTATACTTCAACACAAATGAGTGTCTGGTCTAATCTGAAACACCACTACCTAGGTAAGTATATAGCCCATTGCTACACCAATGAGCTATACAGCATGGTCCCCTATAAACGGGCACTGCATTGTATGATGTGTGCATACGGCTGAGCTCGAGTTCATCAAGAGGTGTACCGTGTAATTTTTTATACCAATTCATTTGTATTTTTATGGAAGGACTTGCAATTCTCGAACACAGATCTCTTTGTTCAGTGAGTTCCGGAAATTGGAGTGCTACATAGTGAAAGATGATGATTTGGAAAGGTATTTATTCATCTTGACTTAATACCTGCTACATAGAATCTCGGGAGTTCAAGTAGCGCGTAGTCAGCGCACAAGTATGCATCAAGTACGGTAAGATGATGTGAGTGGGGACTGTTGATTCCAGCCCTGGAGCCTTGCACGTACTCGTATAAAATGCAGGACACAGCCTTAGCCCACAGCTTCTGGAAGCATCGCAGAATGTGGGGCCTCTGACCACTGCGCATGTGCTCCATCAGGCAAATGATAGTGGCAAGTCAGATACTCCTGAAGTCGTATATGCGACTGAAAAATAGAACTTCGAAGCCTAATGACGCTCGAAAATATAGGATAATGTATGAGTATACCTGGTGACCTGGTGACTTCATTTTAAGGAACTTGTTGGTACTTTGTAAGCTGCCGGATTACCGCGTCCCGCCAAGTACCCCGAAGTACCAGAGTTATACAGCTCAGCCTCAATTAGGAGGGGCGCTATCCACATCAGGCAACGTCATTGAATCCTCATCTCGTGAGACACTGGAGTCTTGGTTTTTTTTCTCATCCCACCCTTACTTCTACCCCTCCTCCCGTCATACATCATGGGTGTGAGTCTCCATATTTCATGTGATACTTTGTTAGTTGTGCGAGAGAGTCTCTGATCTGTCTTTAGTTCGCTCAAAAAATCGCTTCCAGCCAGAATAACGAAAAGATGTCCAACAGTGGCACTTACGGAGGTGCGCCTCCATCCGGGTACACTGGGGGACCTCCATCCTCGCTGCAGGCCGGACACGTAAGTCATATTTGCATACTCGTACATCTGTTCCTACATCCACGACGTCATGTACGGCAGTACTCCGTGAAGATACTTGCTAATCCACATCAGAATCAACAATATCAGGCTTATTCGGGATCCCCAGCCCCTCAGGGATCGGTAAGCAAGTTTTAATTTTTTTTTGTGTTGTTCTTGTCATCCCCCACCCCCCTCCATTGTAAAGTCGCGACTTCTGGATCTTGGTTCCGTCCGGACAACCATCGAAATGTCGAATCCCTACCAAGGCTATCCAAACGGCTCATCCGCTCCCTACCAGTCCTATAATCCATCACCGGCTCCGCCCACTCCCTCCTACTCCAGACCTCCGCAGTCGCAGTCGCCTTACCCCGCATCACCAGGCGCGCAGGGCTACAACCGCCCGCCTCCACCTCCGCCACAAGGCCAGCCCTACGCTGCCGCGTCGCCGTATCCGGGCCAGCAGCCACAGCAGCCCTACAGCCCGGCTTCGCCATACCCGGGTCAACAGCCTGGACAGTCTTACGGCCAGCAGCCGCAAGGAAACCCTGGACAGCCGTCTTACCCTGGACAACAACAATACTCTGGACAGCAACAATACCCTGGACAGCAACAGTATCCTGGACAGCAACAATACCCCGGGCAACAACCGTCTTATGTACAGAATACCCCGTGCCCTATATATTTGTCTTGCATTTCGTGTCGTGTTTAATGATTACTTTTCGTTGATTTTTCCAAGGTTGTTTTGAAGAACCATGCTGACGAACATAGAACCAGCCACCATCATACCCCCAGGGTGCTCCTTACCCTGGTGGACAGGCTCAAGGTCGACCCGTTCCCTCTCCAGGCCCAGGTGGTCCGCCAGGCCAGTATGGTGCCCCCGGTGGTCCCCCCGGCGGCCCAGCTCCTCCAGCAACCCAGCAGCAAGTCGCAGCCTACCGCTCGCTACTGATTGCCACAATCCAAGAGAAGAACCTTCAAAGCTTCTATCCACCCGATCGCCTCGACCGACTCGTGCAGACCCTTGCCGCAGAGGCGCCTGGCAAGCTCACCAAACTGATCCACGAATGGGCCGTGCCAATGGAGGTTGCGACAGATGTTATGAAACTCTCGCTGTTTGACGTCATTCTCTACGTGGACGACAGCGGATCTATTGAATTTGAAGAAAAGGGGTTGCGAAAGGACCAACTGAGACAGATCCTCGGAATCGTCGCAACTGCCGCTTCAACCTTCGACCAGGATGGTATCTCTGTGCGGTTCATGAACTCTTCCGAGAGAGGCGATGGTATCCGCGATGCTGAAGACGTGAACCAGCTTGTCTCTCGAGTTCGATTCTCAGGACTGACTCCCCTCGGCACAAATCTAAAGACTAAGGTCGTGGAGCCAATGGTTGTCGAACCTGCCCGTGCAAACCGGTTGGAGAAGCCCGTTCTTGTCATCACCATTACCGACGGACAGCCTGCAGGTGAGCCTCACGGTGCCGTGGGTGATGTTATTCGCTACGCCGTGGAAGAGACCTCCCGAACTCGTTATGGACCAGGCGCTGTTTCATTCCAATTCTCGCAGGTTGGCACTGACCAGCGTGCTCGTGATTTCTTGTCTGCTCTTGACGAAGATCCTCAGATCGGTCACTTGATTGACTGTACCTCCAGTTCGTGCATTGACCCCCTGCCTTGTTTCTCAACTGACGTGTTCTAGACTTCGAGGTGGAGCAGGATGAAATGTCCCGCGCCAATCCCCCCGTGCACCTCACCCGAGAACTCTGGGTATGTGTTCCTGTGTACTCCATATTACACATTGATTAGCGACTAATGGTTGTTAGTGTGCCAAACTGATGCTTGGTGCCATCGATTCATCTTACGATACCAAAGATGAGAGAGATAATGCTCGTCGTGGCGGCGGTCCTCAGGGCTCAGTCAGCCAGTATGGCGGCGGTGGCGGGTATCCTCCTGCAGGAGGTCAAGGTCAGTACGGTGCGCCCCCTGGACGTCCCCAAAGCCAAGGCCAGCAATATGGCGCACCTCCTGGGCCTCCCCCCAACCAAAGCCAGCAGTATGGTGCACCCCCTCCTGGGCCTCCCCCGGGCCAAGGCCAAGGGCAGCCTCCGTATGGCGCTCCCCCCGGTGCACCTCCCTACGGTCAGTCTGGCTACCCACCCCAAGGGTACCCACAGTCTCCCCAGGGTCAGCCTCAGGGCCAGCCGCAGTATCAGGCATCGCGTGGGGCATATGGCCAACAGCCCTATGGTTCTCAAACTGGTTACCCACCGTATGGCCAGCCACGGTATTAGTGGAGAGTGACGTCATGAGGCGTTACCCCAAGTGAACGTGGCCAGTGAACGACGTTATGGACGTTTTAACCATGAATTTTCCCTTGTTTCAAATTCAACTTTAATCTTATTGTTCAGAGTTTGGTCGAGTTTATGGGACACTCTTAATATTGCGTGGCAAGTCTGCCTACTCGTACAACGGTACCTTAGTAGGAAGTACGAAGTAGATTTACAGAAGTACTAGTTCAAATCCATTTTACTCTAACGCACTGCAGTGAGGGTAATCCCTTCTTTTTTCGAATTCATTTTCTTACAGGCTGCATCCAGACCCTAGGGAATGTTGGCCAATGCCCGCCATAATGTCTCGGCTATTCTTATGGACTTGCGTGTCTGGGGGGGCTGTGTCCCCAGGTACCACCGCGTGGGGTTGCGCGTTCATGTAGAACGAGAGATCAACCGTAGAACGCCTTAGACTTTGGTGTCGCCTCTGTGGCCCTACCGATTCTCTCGATCCCACCGAATCCACTCTCCCACTCTTTTCCATATTCAGTGCCTATCATGTTCGGCTGAAAACTGACAGACTTTGTCTGCCGATCCTGTGCACTAGACCGTTTCGGGTTCATTACCGGATCCGTGTGTTCTCGCCTCCAAAGTTGGTCTTGGCTGTCTGTTTTCTGTTTTCTGTTTGCTGTCTTCTGTTTTCTGGCTTCTGCCTCGAGTTGTGTTTCTCCCTCTATTCTCTCTCTTGTACGCAATACTTCTCGGGGGAAAAAAAAGGGTTCATCGTTGCGCCCTGCGGTTATCCTTGCGTCCAACCCTCGTTACCAGCGCATCACCTTCGTTTCGCGATAGGGGATCAACCCAGAATGAGCAGTCACAATCGGACCACAGCCATTGTGATCGAATAATCTAATAACTGATTACCCTTCAAGACAAGAAGAATCAAAATTGGGGAAGAGAAAAGGAAAGAAAACCGAGATACCGAGATCGTCGGGCCTTGTCCCGCGGAATTCGAGCCCGCCATGTCCAACGACGAACGCCATTCCGAACAGATCGAACGCCCACCACTCGTATCAGCCCTTTCCGAGTCAGGGCGACGAATCTCCTCCCAACATGTCCGCTTTTCAACAGACATTGAGCGCGAGGAAGAACGCCAAACACGTCCCACCTCCCGCGGCTTAAGCATCAACACGGCGCTGGCGCCGCCGACCGTGCCTACTGCGGCGCGATCGCCTACATCGCCTCTCTCTCCTCCAAATGCCCAGTCAACACTATCGCCCATCTCCCCCGTCGAGCCCGCCGGTCGGTCTCGCTCGCGAAATCGCGGCTACTCCCTCCGACGCTCGATCTTTAATAAAACTATTACCTCGACAGAGGCCAAGGACGACCTGGCCCTAGCTGAGCTAGGAGAAGCGCGGGAGCCCGAAGTGAACGAGAAGCATGAGTTGAGTACGGCGCCGACGACCGATTCTACGCATAAAGAGGAGGTAGCCACGTATGTCTCATCCGAGCCATCGGAGAAGGCGTTCAAGGACCTTGCCCAGGAGCGATGGGCCAAGAAGAATTCGACGAAAGATGCGGCGGTGGCGCGTATTCAGGCGGCTCTTACATCGGCGCAGAAATTCATTCTCAGAATCAAGGATATCCCGCCGACCAAGGATGGCCGACATCTTGATTTGAACCCTTCCTTGGTGGATTCAATGCTGGATGAGCGCACGGAAAAGGCTTACATTGGCAACTATATTCGGTCCAGCCGGTATAGTCTTTGGAGTTTCTTTCCGCGACAGTTTTTCGCGCAGTTCACCAAAGTCGCCAACTTTTACTTCCTGGTTGTTGCTATCCTGCAGATGATTCCTGGCCTCAGTACGACCGGAACGTATACGACTATTGTACCGCTGTTGATTTTCGTCGGAATCTCCATGGGAAAGGAGGGCTTCGATGATTGGAGGAGATATCGTCTTGATAAAGAGGAGAATAATCGCGATGCTTACGTTCTCCGGCCTGCCCATGGGAAGGCTTCTGATTCTGATTCCGTGGTCAGCCATGCGCAGGACTGGCTGCGCATCAAGTGGGATGAGATTCGTGTCGGGGACGTCATTAAGCTCCATCGTGACCAACCCATTCCCGCGGATATTGCTTTGCTCCATGCCAGTGGACCAAATGGTATTGCTTATATCGAGACCATGGCTCTGGATGGTGAGACCAACCTGAAGAACAAGCAGCCATGTCAACCTGTTTCGAAGGTTTGCTCGACAATTGAGGATATCACCAGTAACTCGTTGCACTTTGTCGTGGAAGACCCCAATCTTGACCTGTACAAATTTGATGGTCATGTTACTGTCAATGCGCAGGATAAGATACCTCTCACCAACAACGAGATCGCCTACCGCGGCAGTATTCTTCGCAATACAGACCGTGTGCTCGGAATGGTGATCTATACCGGCGAAGAATGCAAGATCCGAATGAACGCCAATAAGAATCCACGCATCAAGAAGCCTTCACTTCAAGCGAAGGTCAATCGCGTTGTCATGATGATTGTTGTCTTGGTCGTCCTCCTGGCTGTTGTCTGCACCGTGGCCTACCGGTTCTGGTCTCGGGACGTGGAACAAAAGTCTTGGTATCTCAGCGATGCCAGCGTTAGCTATGGTCCCATTTTCACATCATTCCTGATCATGTTTAATACCATGATTCCGATCTCGCTGTACGTGAGTATGGAGATCGTGAAAGTCGCTCAAATGCTGCTTCTTAACGACATCGACATGTACGACCCTGAGACGAATACTCCTCTTGAAGCCCGAACTTCGACTATTAACGAGGAACTCGGCCAAGTCAGCTACATCTTCTCCGACAAGACCGGTACCTTGACGAACAACTCTATGCGATTCCGCAAGATGAGCGTCGCTGGTACCGCGTGGTTGCACGATGCAGATCTCCAGGAAGAAGCTGCCCGTGAAGGTGACCACACCAAGCTCATCCACAAGAAGCGCAGCGCGAAGGGAAAGAAAGCCATTGGACGAAAATCGAACGTCTCGGAAATGCAAATGCCTCGCCCATCAAACCTCTCCGGGGCTGTTGACCAACCCAAGCCCGGCCGCTCTGCCACGACTTACCGCACAGCCGAGATGATTGATTACATTCAACGCAAACCGTACACTATCTTTGCACGCAAAGCTAAGCTTTTCATCCTTTCCATGGCCTTATGTCACACCTGCATCCCCGAAAGGGATGAATCCGGCAACACAACCTTCCAAGCCTCCTCACCCGACGAACTTGCCCTAGTCCTTGCAGCCCAAGAGCTGGGCTATCTCGTCTTCGATCGCCAATCTAATACCCTGACAATCCGGACGCAGCCTCATGGCCCAGACGAGGCCACATCCGACGAATCTTACGAAATCATGGACGTGATCGAATTCTCATCCGCACGCAAACGCATGTCCGTCATCGTCCGCATGCCCGATGGACGCATCTGCCTATTCTGCAAAGGAGCAGACACTACTCTGATGCGTCTTCTCAAGCAAGCCTCCCTGGCGCAAGAAAAAGCGAACGAGATCGAGCGCCGCGCCAGCAGACGTAAGAATGCCGAGGCCAACCAGGTTATCAGACGTAATAGTGAGCACCATACCCGCAAGAACTCTACGCGGAGCTCCATGACAAGACCCAGTTTCACGCGCCGTCGATCGTCAATCACCGGCCAGCAGGGCTCGGCTCTTCGCGCGAGCATTGATGTCTGGCTGCGCGATCGCGAGACGGACGGTGGAATGTTGAACCGGGAAGCAGATAGCGAGTACTATAGCCCTCGGCCATCGGCGCAGATGGGCAGACACTCTGCTGCGATCTCTGATTCTGGGAGCGAGACGAATGGCGAGGATGAAGATCTCGTTGAAGAAGCATTGGTCGTCAATGAGACTGCTATCTTCAGTCGCTGTTTCCAGCATCTCAATGACTTTGCCACGGATGGACTGCGCACCTTGCTGTATGGTCATCGGTTCCTGGATGAGAACACTTACTCGACTTGGAAGGCTGCGTACAATGAAGCTTGCACTAGTCTTGTTGATCGCCAGGAAAAAATCGAACAGGCCGGCGAAGACATTGAGAAATCCCTCGAGTTGACCGGTGCTACTGCCATTGAGGATAAGCTGCAGAAGGGCGTTCCCGAGGCCATTGATAAGCTGCGACGCGCGAACATCAAGATGTGGATGTTGACGGGCGACAAGCGGGAAACTGCTATCAATGTTGGCCATTCCTGTCGCTTGGTCAAGGAATATTCCACGTTGACTATTTTGGATCAAGAAAATAACGACGTGGAGCAGACCATCGATCACCTTGTTGGCGAAATCACTCGTGGTCGCGTGGCTCATTCTGTGGTCGTTGTTGATGGACAGACACTTTCATCCATTGAGTTTGACGAAGGCTTGTGTGAAAAGTTCTTCCAGCTTGCCATCAAGGTCGATTCGGTGATTTGCTGCCGAGCAAGTCCGAAGCAGAAGGCTTTCCTTGTCAAGTCCATTCGCAAGTATCTCGATGATGCTGTCACTCTCGCCATTGGCGATGGTGCCAACGACATTGCCATGATCCAAGAGGCTCATGTTGGTATTGGCATCACCGGCAAAGAAGGACTGCAGGCAGCCCGTATTTCAGACTACTCGATTGCGCAATTCCGCTTCCTTCTCAAGCTCCTTCTCGTGCACGGTCGCTGGAACTACATGCGCGCCTGCAAGTACACTCTCGGTACTTTCTGGAAGGAAATGTTGTTCTATCTCACCCAAGCGCTCTACCAGCGTTGGAATGGCTACACCGGAACAAGTCTCTACGAGCCATGGAGTTTGTCCATGTTCAATACGCTCTTCACATCGCTCGCTGTTATCTTCCTTGGCATCTTCACCAAAGACCTCGCAGCCCCGACCCTCCTAGCCGTGCCGGAATTATACACCAAAGGCCAAAAGCACGGCGGTTTCAACATCTGGCTTTACCTCGGTTGGTCTCTCATGGCAACGTGCGAGGCAGTTATCATCTTCTTCACAATGTGGTCACTATATGGTCTCGCGCGCGTTAATCCGAGCGGCAACGATATCTTCTCACTGGGCCTGTTAACCTTCTCCGCCTGCATCATTGTCATCAACGTCAAACTCCAGGCCCTAGAAGTACACAACAAGACCTACATGTCCCTGGCGGTCATCATCATCTCCGTAGGCGGCTGGTTCGTCTGGGACATGATTCTCGACCGTGAATATACGATGTCATCCGGCAAAGGCGTGTACTTTGTCCCTGGAAACTTCCTCCAACACAGCGGCCACAACCTTCTTTTCTGGGTCGTTCTCCTCCTCTCCGTGACAGCAGTCCTACTCTTTGAATTCACCGTCTCCACTCTCCGCGCTCTCTTCTTCCCCACTGACGTCGATATCTTCCAAGAATACGAACAAGACCTCGACATCCGCAAACGCTTTGAAGAAGCCGCAGCCTCAGAACTGCAACAGGGCTGGGACCATGGAACCAAGAAGAGCAGTTTCGAGCTCGCGCGCGAAAAGGAAGAACTTGCCGAACTCGACGCCCGCGAACGCCAGGTTCGCGAACTTCTCGCTCGTCCTCGCGTAATGGATAAACCCCACGCCGTGGAACACGAAATGGATGGGTATACCAGCGCCAGTGCGACGGCTAGTCATAATGGCAGTCTTGCACGCCCAGAACCCGAGAGACGGCAATCGGTCGAAATCCAGGAACTGTTCAGTCAGGGCTTTGGAACTGTGAGGAAGGGCCAGCTTAAGTGATTGTGCATATCTTTCACATATTTTTCCCTCCTTGTTTTTGATTTGGTCATAGCGAGCATGGCCATATTCTGTTGAGACCAAAAGGCGTTTTCTCATCATACCAATGTTTGTCTTTTGAGTCTTCCACATCTGCTTTTCAATGCAGATCGAGATACCCCGGCTCAGTTAGTCTGTTTTGCAGATCTTGGTGAGGGTTGTTTATATCTTACCTTACCTTAACTTTTTAATTCATTTGACATTGTCCATATTTCAAACATTGTCCTGTTGTGTACTGTAATCCATTACACCAAGAACTTAAGAAGCAAGTAGCCGTCCACGAGTACTCGTACATGGCTCCACCTACAGGGATTCCAGGGCTCTCGAGCTAGCACAGGAAGAAATTTACACTGATCCACTCGAGTACGAGTGTATTAGCCAGTTGCGAACAGTTCAGGGCTAATGAATGTACTCATGTGGATGCATGAGGTGAAGTTAGGTCGAAAGGAAAATACGATCTACAAGTGGAGAAACGTCAAGAAAAGCACCATGAAGATGCTGGACACTCGATAGTTAATTAAACACAGTCATAAGCATTTAGGCGTAACAGCCATGGACCCCTAGCCCCTGTCACGAATCCGGATTCAATCTAGCAAATTGCCCTTAATAAAGCTGTCAGACCCAGAACAAGAATCATGCAGGAGTACATGATGGCTAGTGCAATGCAGGAACAATGCACCAGCTGCGCCTACCAAGGATATCTGACGTACCATAACCATAAAACGCACATATAAAGGAAATATCATTACAGCAGTCCGATGACAATGTCACCGTAGACCTGGGCGTCGAGCTCAAGCTTGACCTTGGCGTGCAAGTTCAGGTGAATCTTGATCTGAAGGGATCCCTTGTCATCCTTGCTGCCGGTATCGGTCTTACCGGGGACCTGGAGGCCACCAGCGGAACCCTTTGCGAGATCGCCAACGGCACCAACGGTGTCATCGACATCCTGGCTGTTCTTGCGACCGCCGAGGGCGGGGACGGCATCGGTAACGGAGCTAGCAGGGAGCGGAGGAAAGTCAGTCTCATCAAAGCCGGATTTATCGTATGGAGGAGTGGGTAGATCGGTTGGCGTTTGCTCCTGGCTCTCGGTTGGGATGGAAGGCGGTTCCTTGGCCTTGGCTTTTTGGGCCTTGGTCTTTTTGCCCATTTTGAGGAGAAGGGGAATCGGAAAGTGTGTGACGTGAAGGAATGGAAGGATTGGGTTGAGGGGGAGAGTTTAGAAGTACCTAGCAGACATGGTGTTTTTGAAGTTAGGGTTGTGAGAGGTTGTGGCGGGTTGAGCGGAGAAGAATAGAGAGAACAGGGCATAAATACTTGGAGTCAGCTAGACGAGAAGCCAGAATATGACGGCCTTTCAGCTCAGCGAGGTATTTCTCATTTGACAGTAGGAACTACCACAAGTTCCACTTCACTGTGCTATGATGGTGGAGCGGGCTGAGGTCCTTTGAAGATCTCTGCATATCGCCTCGGTGCCATCTCTGCCATTGGAGCCCGCGTGCCTGCAATCTACTCGTACGGAAGTGCGAATACATCCTTGTGCGTGTGTAATCGTACTCGATGGGATTACATTCAGTTAGCTGCAGAAGATGATGTAACACATGGAGACAAAAGTGGACTCGTTCTATCCTAGCGCCATCGACACTCCACGCTAGCTGGGAGAGCTGAAAGCTGTATTTATCCATTACACGCCTGGATGTTTTTTCAGGCCTCGATCATACACAACTTGAAATTTTCGCCTTCGCCAGAGCTGAGAGCTTCCGCACCTGCACAATGGTTTTAGGCATAGTTATGATGACGGCGATGCTGCCGACGATGTACGGCCTCAACGAATCTAGCAAAGCAACACGCGACCAAGAAGACAGCCGCAAGAACACATCGCGCAAGCAAAGATGTCATCTGGTGGCGATGTGCTCGCTGGGCCAAGGGACTCAAAGCCAACGCGAGCAAGTTCACAATGCCCGCGTCTATGTGGGGCGAGACGGGAAGGTAAGTATCGTCACAAACCAAGACATTCTCGCGCAACATGATAGTACATGATCAACCAAACTCATTATTTTCGTGTCTCAGCTATACATCACAAAGCACCCCAGCTCGGATATGTCTCCATTCAATGGCGGCTTCTACACACACCCTGATTTTCCGCCTGACAATACCTCCGGCGTGGTCACAATCACTGGCGAGCAGCCCCCCACATTACGATGGGTATTCTTGGATGCCAATACACATGAAATGCGATGGGGAGGGCGTCCTGACAGTGAGGGCCATGTGTGTGGGCCCTTCGATTGGACCAAAGACGAACAGTGCATGAAGCTTGAGGGCTGGGAGGGGTGGCTGGCGGTTCGGTTACCTGAAGATGACACCCGGGACCGAGCGGATACAGACCTGGAGATCGGCGATGGTCGCGAGATCTGGCGCCTGTATTTCGACCAAAATGATAATGGGGCCGATCTGCCGCCCGGCTCCCAGGGGATGGAAATTCGCCTGAAGCGAGTGACGGCGGAATCATAGTTGTGCATGTACGAGTATCTGATATTTGAGTTGGCGCAGTGAAATTACGAGCTCGACATGAATTTAAGAGTAGACACCAAAGATGAGTTCCCCCGTGCAGTCCCCATAAAGCACTCCGTAGAGAGTTGACTTTCTTTTACACACCACTCATTCCTCGCCCACATGGGATTTAGAGTATCGAAGTAGGGAGTACTTGCACATGAAAGGTCATTCCTCGCATCGTACCTAGACCATCTCAAATCGCCATGTTCGAAGCACGGGGCTGCGAGTTATCTGCACGCTCGAGGCGCTTTGCACGAGTAATGCTCGATCACCCTAGGGAAAACCGGACGAACTGTGGATCCTAAGTAACCAATGAACACTCGATATCTGCCGATATTTGAGGAGTCTGCCAAATCTCCACTGAATTCTTGCGTTCTGTCACTTTGAATGGGGACATATCCACTTGTATGCAGATGTTGTTTATTTACGGTGCTCTGATTGACCCTGTTCCTTCATCTATGCCGCAATCTAACCCGTACCCTAAATGCATTGGACGAGGAAATGTTCATGATTTACCAACAATCTGGTCTACTCGTAATGGGTCAAGTCGCGGGCCATACTCGTACTTTGAATACGAGTAGGCGTAGAATATTCACTCCGAGGACGCCCTCTCAAACCGGCTTTTCGGGGAACAATGAGAATAACCACAGAAAGAAATATCTGTGGAAAATATCCCGCTTTCAGCTAGCTCGATGATGTGCGGTCATTCAATGTCCAGCGCCCGCCCAAATGGACATATAATTCATCCCAACTAGTTTACGGAGTACTTGCTCATACTCCGTACTCTGACCAGCTGCCAAATTGAAGGTGGTGGTCTCTCCTCTTCGTGGCGTAGCTGGCTTTTCTCCACTTCCGGCAGATCTAAGCCCGGTCAAGTCATAGCAATATCCAATGATATCTATCTGCCAGAAACTACTCCGTATGAGTTCGCGCAAAACAAGGCGATGGTCACATCTAAAATTTGGCTCCCTGGGGCATTTTGTTGTTGTTAAATACTTTGCCCAGTTCACGAGAACATCTGAAAAATGAAGAGTTTGCGGAACGTGCCCATGTGCCTTTATTGATTCGTCAATTACTGCTATCCGAATAGTGGCTTGCAGCGTATGGCGTGTACCAGTCAGCCATATGAATCTTCCGAGTAGCACGTGATTATAACGACAGGTATAGACTAACTCTCAATATCTACTTCGTGCTTGCGGAAAAGAAAGCAGACACAAATCATGCAGGTTGAGGAATGGAAGGTGTTCACTTGGTGATTCACCCATCTGAATCCACCCTGGGCTTTTCTACCAGAGTGAATTACCAGAGATTTAGCGGCTTCATCTGCGATACTCCGTATATTTTCTATGAATGGAATCTCAGTCTAGTCAGGTGGTCAATTGGTTCTTTTGGTTTACATCGAGCGCTATTATATCCATCCAGCAGACCGTTTATCCCACTCTGCGTCTTCCATGTCCTCTTTCGAGTAATCCAACATAGGCTGAAAAACAATTTCACCATGATCCCAGGTGTCTTGTTCTTTCCTCCAAATCACAGGTACTCTTCCCAGGTCTTTACATTCCAATCGCTCTGCGTACTCCGCAACAGCCTTTCCACCCCTCGATGCTGCCACAATCAACGCCCGGTTATCTTGATAATCAAAAGCCGGCAACCCTTTCCACCATCGCATACGAAGTCCTTCGCCGAGAACGAGGAGCGCAATCAGACCCGTGATCACTGCGCTGGTCACGACGTATGGTCGCGATCCAACACGCAGCGCAGAGACCTGCACCGTTGCGTGCGTTTTTTGACTGAATTGCCCAACAACTAGTTGGGCGGAGGCATATCCAACCAGCAAGTCGTCAACCAGAGATGTCACTGCATTTTCCATTCCCTTCATGACAATCTGAGTCTCTGAAAGATTTCCACTGGTCACGGAGGTGCGGTAATCACTGATACTTGCATTGAAGGCATCGCCGAGGGTGGAACGATAGTAACTTGTCAAATCATTGGCGATGAGCTCAAGCTGGCGCATAACAACGTGGGTTATGTTGTGGTGTGGATCAATGTTATGTATCGGCTGTGGGGCATCTGATGCGTTGACTTTGTTTACGGTGATATTGCGCCCTCGTATATCGACAGAGACATTGAACATGGCCGGAGTGAAGGTAACGGCGCACTGGACCTGGTTCAATTCTTTGTAGTAATTTCCCGCAGTGATTGCCATATAGCGCTTTGCTGTATACTCGCTTGGGTATGCTGCCACTCCCATCGCCACGATTGCATCACTTCCCCGGCCAATGTAGACTGAGTATTCTGGTTCGGTGAGGTTGTTATCGGGAAGCAGACCTCGAGCTGCATATAGTGTGGTCTGAGGTAGGACCTGGAGGCGGAATAGCGAGCTGGTGTTGTAGATACACTCAGTAGAGGCATCAAGTCCTATTTCGTTGAAGGTATAATTGTTGGCATGGGAAATAGCGACGAGATTATCATCGGAGATTCCAGCGCTTGCCCCTACTCCGTAAGATCGACCATGATAGTTGTAGCGGCTATTGTCCAACTTGGGGTGGTCGCGGACACCGCCATGAATCGGCGAAGCGGAGTTAATGGAAGAGAGCAATGAGCCCAACATGCCTAATCCCACGGAATAGGTGAAGTAGCCCTTTGTCTCACGAATTGTCAAGCCTGTCTTGTCAATCTGGCCGGGATATTCCTTGATCAAACTAATGTTCGACCAATCAGGTATGAGCAGCGTAGAGTCGTAGCTGCCGACAGCGTCTGCCGGTGTCAAAGCACCTGTCCATAGTGCTGATATGATGGCGGACATATTTCCGAATAGGATTGTAGCGAAGATCATCCAGAAAGGGAGGCAGAAGTTGTTCGTGGGTGTGGAGAGAGCGGACCAAAAGCCTAGCACATTGAGAGAAACTGGAGCCTTGGTAAACCGAATCCGAGTTGTGAGGTTAATCAAGCGACAAATTGCGAAAACCTCAATGGCAGCGAGTATTGCACCAAGAATCTGAACCGCCGTCTGCACGGATGTTCGATATGTATTCACAAACACGTAGAGGTTGTCTGGAAGGTGCCACCGCGTAGTATCGCTGTATACTAGGAGAATGCTCAAGGTCAAGGGAATTATGAGAAGGAAAAAGAGCAGGTGTTCGACCCAGGAATTTGATCGTGCCTTTCGCTCGCTGCCATGGTCATCTGCAATCTGTGATGAGACAACGAGGGGTTTAGGCTCGGAAATCTTTGGTCGTCGCATGATTCCAATGGATCACCAAAATTGCAATATTATAGTCGCATTATATTAAAGGTAGGGTGAAAATTAAAACCGGCGCTCTTGTCTTTGACGGTGACGGGCTTATTGGTATTTAGGGACAGTAGCATGGCAATGGTGTTGTCAAGCACCAGAGCATGGCGCCTAAATCTGGCTTCTTCCATCGAATCAATCTGGGATGTGATCCACATGGCTGATTGCCTAGGCGTAAAGCACCGGAGCATCCTAGTTTATGGCTGGAATGCAAGGCCTCCTATGTAGGTGCGGATGGGGCTAAAAATGATCGAATTTGATTTACTGAGATCGAATATCAGGATGATCGCCCGCGAGCGTTGGCTCCAAATTGCACTAGTCGCAATGATCGTACTAAGTACATAGTGGTATGTGACGTTCTGCGACTCAAGAAGTCGATTACGGTGAACGTCCTCTAAACCTCAGCTGCAGCCTAAAGGTAGAGAAGAGGGTATCTAGAACCCTTTCTCCGGAGCCAGCGCGATAGAGCTTGAGGAGAAGCGACTCGTGCGGTCAGTGTATTCAACAAACCTTGAGGACGGATTGGACAGAAAGACAACGTCTGTACTCCGTAATCGTGCATGCATTGGGCTCAAACACAGATGATCGCCAAGAATCTTCCTGGGCGGCTATACAACCCGGTCGATGTTTCGTTTGCCGCCAAGCTAGTGAATACGGACGCTTGCAATGGTCAAAGGAGCGCCAGGAAATTCGGGCCGCTTTTCTTTCTCTCAAGCCATGCTTAGCTTCGCTCTACTCAAAACCTTGGCAGTGGATCAAAGTTCACATGGAGAAATAGAAGAGAAAGAAAAGGAAAGGTAGTACCCCGTCGAGGTGTTGCAGGTAAAGATCCCATCAAGATCTGCGCACGGTGCACCATTATGTCAACCCCCGACCGATTGAAGCGTAGAGACTGAAGGGGAAGAGAGGAAGGGAAAAAAGAACTTCACCAACCGAATATACAGCCTATATATTAGGCAGTCACGTGTCATGTCGCCAGCCAGCCGGAGACCCTCGCCTCCCCAGATTCGTCCCTTCGCTCATCCCAATGTCCCGAGTTGAAAAGGGTTCCATCTCAGCGCGATGCCCCCTGGAGGTCAGTCAACTCCGAAGACGGGAAAATTATGCTTCTGACACAGTATAGGCCCGGCTTGTATAACCTGCCGTGAAAAGTGTCGCAAATGCGACCGCACAAAACCCGTTTGTCAAAGATGTATGAGCAAGGGCCTTGAATGTAAAGGCTATCCCGATAAGTTCCGCTTTGCGGGGCTAGCGACTCGGGGCAAGTGGAAGAATCGCGCGGTCCCAAGTGAGGCCCGTAACCACGCCGGGCGGAGACAGCCCAGCTTGGAGGCCAACCCTGCAGGTTCGGCTAGCCGAGAAAACACCGAGCGCCTTCAAAATTCCACATCACTCAGTGACGCAACCGTTGCGGCAACACGACCAACCTTTGCCCGTGAGAGGCCTATTTCAGAAGAACGATCTGTGGAATTAGACGACTTATTAATGCTGGAAAGGACAGAAGTCCTGCTCGCATATTGCAAGTTTGCCTTTTCTCTTCATATTCGTTTTTCTGACTGGGAGACCATTAGATGATCAAACAATATGTCCTCATCAGATTGCGCTTGCCCCTGGTATGGACAATCCGTATCAATTTTATGTCTTACCACTCGCATATGAACAGATAGGTCTGCTCTACGCAGTCCTGGGGCTCACAGCCTGTCATCTCGGAATCCAAAAAGAAGATTTATATCTACGAGAAACTTTGGCAGTGGAATACCGAGTCAGAGCCATAAGTCGTCTCGGAGAAACGCTTCAGAACGGGTTGTCTGGCGAGTTGAGTGAGAATGAACGAGATGGAATCTTCGCTACTATACAAATCTTGTTACTGCAAGATGTGAGTTGCGAGCCGCAGTATGTGAAACGCCAAAAACTGACGCCCTTTACTAAATTAAGATTTTCGAATCTGGCATTTCCACCCACGGTGCCCATATCACAGGCGCGCTATCTATTTGCAACCAATTGCGCTTGTCAGATAGCTTGACCCGGGAACATGAGCAAACCGTGTTCTTTCTGGGAAATCTCGCATGGTGAGAAAACATGGGTTCTAATTCCGAGCCGAGACTAAGAGCCATTTTAGGCTTGACATCATTCGATCGCTTACAGACCCCCGAAGATTGTGTTTTTCTTCTGATCTCAGAGAGGCTATCGTGAAGCTAAGTGACTTGAAATTCGAACGTGTTAATGGCATTCCACGCACGTTATTTCTCATCATGGGCAAAGTTATGGAGCATGCGAAGGCCCACGCTCTTGGAAACATAGCGAAATCAGAATTTGAGAGCGCTCTTGAATCTTACAAAAGTGACTTCTATTCATGGCGATTCCCGGTCGATGGATATCCAGATGACAACCCACGGTGGCCTGCAGTCGCAGAGGCATTTCGTCACGCATGTATACTCCACACATCCCGCCTGATGGATGTAACGCAGCCAGCTGAAGCGCAAGTCATACAAAACTCCGTCATCGCCATCTTGGATGCCGCGGCCGAAATTCCAGCCCAATGTCGTCTTATCGAGCTGCTGGTTATGCCACTTTTCATGGCTGGGGCGGATGCATTGTCTTCATTTGCTCGACATTATGTTTTATTGCGGTTTGACCATGTGAAAAACCATGGAGGTCTTGGGAACCTGATGCCAATCTTCCTGCTCCAATCCGTCTGGAATGGTCGCAGTAGACAAACGAAACACGACAACAGCAACATCTACTGGGTCTTATTTGTAAGTATACTCATTCTTAGGACGCCGCTCGGCTGTTAACTCGCCTAGACCCAAGAATCCTCTACGGGGCCTCAGCATGATTATCTGATCATATGAGTACGTTTTTGAAGATGTGCAGTATATGCGACAGGGGGCGCTCATCAAACGCAGATTTACACAGCCTTCCGCCGAGTGAGTGGTTTATAAACTCATACTAAGGGATCTAGGGCTTTCAAAAATAATTACAAGATATAATTGAGGATTTCGACATATGAAATTTGCCTAGGAGTAGCCCGAAGCAGAGTGACAAAAAAAGATCAATAAAACAATTGACATTCAAACCACAGCCTCCATGCAAGCACTCGAACGACCAAAGTACCGACCAGCCTGGGGAGAGGGGGTTGAATAGACCAAAAGGCGCTCAAGTGTTGGTCAGGCAACTTCCAAATTATGCAGTTGGAAGCCATGTCTCATTGACTCTGGCCTTTTCGCGTTGCAAAAATTGGTCAAAAGTTCCCAGCGAGATGTTCCAGATTTTGACTTCCTCCAAATCTACCAGAGACGACATATTGCGTGCCATACGTTGACCGGCAATAAAGGGATTGGTTGCTTTTTGTGTGTTGACATCCTCCTCCGAGAGATATATAATTTTGAACTCCCTCCCGGTGGCACGAGACAGGCATTGGATTAGGGCGTCGACGCCCAAAAGTTCTGAGACGATCGTAACTCCCTGTCTGTTGTATTTGATGGGATCACGGACAGCCGCTGCGGCAAATTTACCGATGTCGTTGGGGTCGACTAGTGGAAGTACGGTGTTGGGGGTGTAGGCGGTGGTGAATATCCCGGTCTCGACGAAGCCCTGGTACATCATTGCCATCGGAGACAAGAAATTGGTCATGAAGTGGCCTGGGCGTAAGATGGTCCAGGTATCGAATCCCGCCGTGCGAACCTCATTCTCGATTGCCTGTTTGTTGAGCATCATGGTGCTGATAATGCTGGTTGGATCCCAGTCTTTGAGGCGGCGAGGATCATCACCGGATACGGCACTGGCGTAGATAACATGTTTGATGCTGGCGCTCTTGGCAGCTCGGAGAACTCGACGTGCTTGTTCGAGACTTGCGTTCAGGTCCGTCAGTTTCGGACTGAGGTTTAGGAAAAGGGTTGTGCAGTTGGCCATGGGCGCTTTGAAGGATTCATCATCGTCAAAGTCGCCCTCGGTGATCGAGATTCCAAGTGAGATGAGACGTTGTGCAGCCTTCGAGTGGGGTGTTCGGGTGACGGCGTAGATGCGCGTGTCGGTTTGGAGAAGATGGTCAATAAGAGCCCCACCCTGGGTGCCAGTGGCACCGCAAACGAAGACACTTTGAGACATTTTGGAGACAAAGAGTGAAAGAAAGGCTTTATGTTTAGATCACCATTGCCCCGAGTGCAGCTCACGGCTTTTATATCGCGTTCGAATGTTGACAGTCGCTCTTTCCACTTTCCATACTCTTTGAACGGCGGAACTCCACCAGGCCCCACCACAAAGGGAGAGCTCCTATTGGCCAACAAACACTAGCGTGCGGAATTCCGCCAGAGATCCACGCGGTTGAGACATTTCTTCTTTCGCGCCTTGACTCGCACAGGTCAATTACAGCCAAGATGCCTATCGGTCAGGAGACTCCGCCTCCTCGACGCAAGTCTTGTGAAGCGTGCAAGTTAGCCAAACGGCGCTGTGACACAGCCTTTCCGACCTGTTCGAGATGTCTCCACAAGGGCCTTCCGTGCTTTTACCCTGGAAGACTACTGGAGACGTGTGCCGATGTCATCGCAAATATTCCCACATCCACGAATAATGACCAGACAATTGACCTCTTCCCTCAAAACGATTATTTGCGCCCGATTGATGCAGCGCCCCTTTATCTTAGCAACAGGGATACGCCACTCCGAGATCTTACCATACTTCCTCCACAGGATCGGGTAGATATCTTCGAGGGCATCCCAATATCTCAAAACGTCGATCTCGCCATGACAAGGGTAACTCCCCCACGACAGCTTTCTGAAGTTCTAGCGAATCGCCTACAGTTTGCCGTTGATGTACTTCAAAATATTCCCAAAATGGTTGTGACGGAAAACCAAACCCCGTGGGCTCACCGTCAGCTTTACAAGAGTGGGATGCCTAGAGAAATGCAAGGTCCGACTATTTTATTTGATCCTCGATCGTCAGACCTGGTGCTAACTTCATCAAGACGCATTCACTTGCTGTTCCCTTTACATGACCAAGAACGACGTGAACTCACCCGTTCTCATGTCAATATTTGATACTCGCATCAACGATCTACTTTCTGCTGCGGCACCCACGACACCTCTAGGACTTTTAGCTCGAGTCCACGCTCTCATCTTGTACCTTATAATGCGCTTGTTCGACGGCGGGATCCGAACACAGCCATCCTCGGATTCCCTACTAGCGGTACTCGAAGGGGCTACTCTCTCCCTTTTCGATTTCATCTACATCCCACATCCATCAGAGCCTCGCGAGATACTTCCTATTGCCATGGATCCGATAATGAGCTTCTGGGAGTCCTGGGTGTTCCAAGAATCGGCGCGACGTACAGTCATGATGGTTTTCTACTTTGTAAAGATCCAGCACTTTTTACACGGAAAGCCCCTGTCCACCTGCGATGGGAAACTTGGTCTCGAGCATGCATGGTATCAGTCCGCACATTTATGGAATGCCCAAAGTGCCTTCGACTTCGCGGTAGCTTGGACCGAAAACGAACATTTTATCATTCACAATGCGGATTTTTCTGGAGTTCTTCAAAACGCAACGCCGGATGACGTGGATTTGTTTGGTAAAATGCTTCTTGTTACCAAGATTGGGATCAATGAGACCAAAGCGTGGTTTTATTCGAGGGGTGGCACCTTATAGGAGCTACACCACATCATGAGACACCATATGTCAGATCAAAAAACACCGGAGGGAAGTGAAAGGGAAATCACCACGGTCCACAGAGCTGTGATGATGATCAATAATCACCCTCTACCCCAAAAGCCCGACCCGGACCACGTTCGTAAGACACCGAAGAATGCCAGGAATGTCAGGCCATAGCCATAATTTCAGGGGCGTGGCAAGGCGCGACACGACTCCTAACCTACCGGTCGACCATCACGAGGTGGGAATCAACCCATCAGCCAAACTTGAAGAAGAATGCCGATGCTTTCACCAACACATCTATTCACATAGCGTCTCCACTTGTTTTGTCGGATTGTTGCCCTTGCTGGGTTTGACAAGCTCCGGGTGACCTCTGCCCGCGCCACGGCCCGTTACCGGCTACCAATCCCCCGGCTACGGGTACGAAAGTGGGGTTCCCGGCCTGGACCGAACATAATATAATCACAATCTTCTATCAAAATTGCGAGATAGATCTTGTGAACGTCAGCGAAATCCTGCGTGCAAACCTTGGAAACAATCTCTGTCTCCGCGGAATTCTGATTGGCCTGCAGAGTCACTATCATTTCTCTTCTTCCTTTTGTTTTAGTTATTGAATTACCGCATCTTGCTTTTGACTACATCGCTGAGACTGTTTGAAAATATGTCGACATCCGATCCCGAAAATGGTGAAACCGGCCAACGCTCCAGATCACGCCCGAATCTGGTGATTTTCATGCCCGATCAGCTTCGGTACGACTCGGTTGGTTGTTTTGGAAACCACCATGTCAAGACACCCAACATCGATGCATTTGCGGCACGAGGGACCAAATTCACAAATTGCTATTTGCAAGCCACTGTCTGTTCACAGAGCCGCTGTTCCCTATATACCGGGCAATATCCACATGTGTCAGGGCATCGCAGCTTGGAGAACCTCATCAAACCATGGGAGCCAAACATGTTTCGCGCTCTCAAGGAAAGTGGATACCATGTCGCGTGTTTGGCTCCTAGGGGTGACACCTTTGCGCCTACAGTCACGGAGCTCAGTGTGTCGGAACATGGCTTTTTGGTGCCTCCCGAGTGGATGCCAAAATTTGGAAAGGGAGGCCCAACGGAGCCGTCGGAAGATATTTGGGATCGCTTGTTCTACAAGGGACTTCGAGGTCAAGACAAGACGGTCGACTACGATGAAGCCGCTGTGCGATCTGCGATCAAATGGCTAGAGAACCCACCCAAAGGCCCATGGGTGTTGTATTTGCCATTGATATTCCCTCATTGCCCGTTCCAGGTCGAAGAGCCGTACTTCTCCATGTACGACCGCACGAAAATGCCAATACCCTCCAAGCCAAGTCAGAAAACAGGCTATGAGCCGGGGTATTTTTCGGAGAACCGGAAGCGCTATGGCACAGAGCGAGCGACGGATGAAGTATGGGCTGAGATCACAGCGACTTATTACGGCATGATATCGCGTCTTGATACACAGTTCGGACAGGTCCTAGCAGCATTGGACAGAACAGGATTAGCACCTAATACAGTTACTGCCTTTTACACTGACCATGGCGAATATTTGGGAGACCATGGCATGATCGAAAAATGGCCCAGTGGTGTGTCTGAGGTTCTTTCCCGCGAACCCCTTATCATTGGGGGTGCTGGCTTGCCTGTGGGTAAGACCAACAACGATATTTGCGAGATGGTTGATTTACTCCCTACTATCTTCGAGCTTTGTCAAATTCCCGAACTTTTCCCACACAACGGTATCTCATTGCTACCTACAATACTGGGGAAAAACGAGCACCCCAAGAAGTACGCATACACCGAAGGCGGGTTTCTGAAATCAGAGGAGCCGCTTCTTGAGCAGGCACCTTACCCATATGACATCAAGTCTGTTCTCCAGCACGAACATACTGAGCTTGTGGGAAAAGCGATCTCAATGAGAAGCAGTGAGTGGACGTATGTCTATCGACTGTACGAGCCTCCAGAGCTATACAGTAGGAAGTCTGATATTGCGGAGCTTCACAATTTGGCTGCAGATCCGGACTATGAGCAGATTATTCAAGAGATGCAGGCAGAGATGTTTCGCTGGATGATAGCGACATCGGATTTTCTTCCTTTCCAGAAAGATGTTCGATTCCCACCGGTCGGACTTGAAAGCCCGCAAGATCAATATCAGAAGCGACTGGAGAGTGTCTGAGGCGAGACTAGTTTTAAACGTCGGCTGAAATTATTCATTCAATCAAAGTCGTTCTTCGTATAATTGATCAACTCAGTGAAACTCGAAATCGGGGACAGATCCTCCAAATCCATCAAACAGATTTGCAATGGAGCCCAAGCCGAATAGATCTTCGGACTCGAGTCCTGTATGCCACAATTGTTCCCCAATATCTCCCTCTTCTATAGGGCTTTCCACAAGAGATCCACTGTTATCATTATTTGTTGCTTCGCTTGATGCAACTCCAACATCATTAGATGTGGTCGCTGTCGCAGGGGGACTTATGGGATGATGTTGATGGACATTCTCCCCTTCATTGATGTCATTTTGCCGAATTTGAGCTAGAATGTCGAGTATGTTGGCGTCTGAAATTCTTTTTGCTTCTGAAACCGGCGTCACTGTGCCAGGATCCGAGGCTCTGGCGGCTGCAGTGGAAATTAATTCTTGGATTTCTTGATACTTCATTGTGATTATTGTCAGCATGTTTCTCGCCATTTAAGGTCATCTGAGACGACACAATGGCAAGAGAGTCTTGACGATTGAGTCGGCTCTACAACTCACCAGTTGACTAGTGGACTGATTGACTGCGATGATAGGCAGCAATACTTCCGCAGCAATCGTCAGCTTCGATAGTGTTTCTAGTCTTTCTGACTTCGTTCCGAGAAGGCCGATATCGGAAGCCCGTGTGATGATTCTCGTGCATTGATATACCAGGATTTTGATTCCCGGATCCAGCATAATTCCATCGCCAATCCTTAGTACCATTTGGAGAAGATCGACAAGGGCATTCACGTGATCCACGGCTTGCGCTTGGCAATACATCATTAATTCGGATGAGGTGTTTCTGAGGGTTCCACTGGATAGGGAGTCTCGCAGCCCAGGGATCATGAACCTGTATAAATCACAGTGGCATTGGTGCCAGGCAGCATGGAGCATGACATATCGTCGCATTTGTGGCGAGAAAGCGCGCAAGTTCAAATTGCGCTCATTGAGCACCAGGGCTTCTGGTAGTGAGTTTTTGAAATTCAGTAAGTCGGATTCCAACTGAAGAAGCTCACTGCCAGTGTCATTTGCACTGGCACCTTGCGAAATGACTCTCCTAGTGTATCTGAGGATGCATGAGTTTCTCAACATTCTGTGCCTCAAGGGGGATCACTCACTGGAGAATCTCATGGCGGATACTTGAGAGTCTGCAGAAGTATGCTCTAATTCCCATGCTTGAGCTCTCTCCGTCAGCTTCTGTTGGCACAAGTGGACCAGTTCTACTCGAAATGGCCAGTTCGAAATCTTTCTCGGTTGAAGGCAGTTGTATATGCATCGCATTCTTGGGGCATGTTGTCAGGTCCTCTTGGCCACCCGCTAACCGCCTTTCCAGGATGAAGATAGACCACATAATTCGGCGGCGGATCTCTCGAGCAGTGGTAGTCAGTTTGGGATTTTCGTGATTAAGTCGGAGCAAATATGCCATTTTCGATGCGACTGCAAGCAGGAGTTGCAGGGCCGAGAAACGCGACAACGCGAGGTTTTGAGAAATCACTATCACCAAAACTTGAAGTATGGCTATAGATGGCCGTCCGATATTTGTCCAGATATAGCACTCAGCCTCAGAGAGCCAGCCGTCTCTTCTTGTGGATGCATCCGAGTTTGCAGGCACGAAATCTGCCGAGGCGCTGCATATTGCTTTCAGTAAGACCGGGTCCACTTTCCCACTTGTCCAGGCACGAAGAAACAGGGCACGGTGAATGAACCCATTCTCGCAAAGAGGGGAAATGTATTCGAAGTAAGCATCAATGTAAAGTCGGACAATGGTTTTCTGCAACCCAAGCCCTTCACAAGTGTCACCATCCTTATTACGATGTTGATCCTTATGGGTAATATTGCATCCCATAGAGGCGATTTCTGACGCTATATTTCCCGATGAAGGTTTCTCACAGGTGTGTTCAGCCCTTTCCAGCGGTGAAAGCGGAGTGGTCTGTTGTTTTTCCAAATATGGAACTGCTCTGCGCCTCTTTCGCGTTTTTAGGAGAGGTTTAGGCACTGTGTATTCGCATGAGATGCCCTTCTTACAGCATCTCTGACAGGTGGGCGATGTGCCTGAGCATTTCGCCTTCAGCAAGTGACATTGTTTACATGCCTGTCTGATACGTTGGCGCTGGGTCCCGCTTTGTGTCAAGTGGGCCGCTGTATTCGGCACATCAGGGCAGCTCAACTCCATTCTCACTCCTTTGGTACCTTTCTTTTCGTGATTGGGGATCGCACCGGCTAGCAAACACTGGCAACGGCAAGTTCTGTCGGTCTCAGGGGTTTCGGGCCGTTCTCGTGAACACATAAATGGCGTGCTCAGCCACTTGAATTGCGACCACCCAGCGGCCGGTTAACGGTTCACAAACACCACCGGCTAAGTAGGCGCCATTGACAGTACTACTTCGTCCAAAACTATTTTGGTATTACATATAGATCCTTGATTATTATGCGAATATGCCATGATAATGGTCGAAATCCATTGCGACCTGAGCACCTCACTTCCGTTTCATCTTGTACGCTTTCTGATATAACGGCAACATTCTCCAACTCTGCATTAGATACCGCTTGATAATCCCAATCGTGATTGACAGTCGCCGCCCACAGAACCATGGGATTCCACGACGTGAGCAAGTATTTCAATCGACAACTTGCACTGTCATGTGGTCTGATCGCCCTCTCGAGTTTCAACTATGCTTTTGATAACCAGGGATTTGCTCAAACGCAGGCAATGGATGCCTTCGAAAAGAGGTTTGGTGTCTATGATGTTAAGACAAAGACATGGTCTCTTGACACCCAGTGGAAGTCATACTTCAACGGTCTACCCTATCTGACATTTGCGTGTGGTATGCTACCAATGAACCAAAAACAGCGGTGCTAGATTCTAATTAGTAAACAGGTGTCGTCATTGGTAGTCTCATAAGTGCCAGATTCGGTCGCCGATGGTGCATGTTTATTATGAGTATTTATGCTCTGGCTACCGCTGCAATCACCACCACGTCCCATTCGAACAACCAGATACTCGCCGCAAGAATTCTAAATTGTCGGTTCATTGCCAGGGCGAAAACTTTACATCAAGCTAATCTTCAAATAAATAGACGTCTATATCGGAATGGAACTATCTGTTGTCCCTGTATTCCAGTCTGAGATTGCCCCGACCCAGATTCGAGGCTTTATAGTGGGCACATATCATTTGACAATTGTGGTAAGTTCCAGGAACGGTCAATTTTTGACGCACAATGAACATTGCTTACAAGCTCATCTAGTTTGGTGGAATGGTAATTGGTTGGGTCTGCAATGGAACAAGCAGGATGGAAGATGACCGTTCGTGGAGAATACCTCTCGGGCTTTTCTTTATCATTCCAACCATCATATCATCTTTGATATGGTTTATTCCGGAGGTGAGCACACCTAAATTGTCTTTTACTCTATGATACAATGTTGATTACTTCCAATTAGTCACCTCGGTGGCTTCTTATGCAAGGCAAGACACATGAAGCCCGAGTCAACCTACAGAACTTTCGAGAAGGAGTGTTCAGCGCGGATGAAATTGAAGATGAATTCCGATCAATTCAAAATGGTTTAAACAACGAACCCGAACAAGGCCACTTCAAGGAGCTATTTTCAACATCGAACCGAAAGCGAACAGCTATCGTGGTTGGATTGAATTTCTTCCAACAAGCAACGGGGCAGGCCTTCGCATCACAGTACGGCACTTTGTATGTCAAGTCGCTGCATACAATCAACAGTTTCAATTTACACGTGATAAATGGCTTTATTGGACTTTTTGTGGTCTCAATTTGTCTATATCTTAACGACAGGGTTGGAAGAAGGTAGGACTCAACTTCACCAGAAACAGAGTTGTTGTTGACACCCATAGACCCTTGCTTCTGATCGGTGCGGCAGTCCAAGCAACCGCTCTTCTTACCATGGGGGGACTGGGAGTACGCACACCGTCCTACGCTGAAAAATCAGCTGTTGCCGCAATGTTGTCACTATTTACAGTTGGCTTCAACATAGGATGGGCTCCCTTGACATACGTGGTGACCACTGAGGTCCCGACACTTCGCTTGCGAGATAATTCACAACGCATTGCGTCCGTCACCAATGTTCTCACATTGTAAGTTGGTTTCTTAGTTTTGTGGGGAATTGCTAACACCTTTATTTACAGTTTTGCTGTTTCCTTCAGCTTACCATACCTTATGGATGCTGGATATGCAAATCTTCAATCCAAAATCGGATTTATTTATGGCAGTCTTTCGATTGCCTCGATTTTCTTTGTATATTTCTGCGTCCCTGAATGCCATGGCATATCATTTGGAGAGATTGACCAGCTGTTCCGATCGTGCACGCAGCTTCGGAGATTTCACAAACAGAAACAACCACTTGACATTATTCCAGAGCTCGAGATCAGAGAATTTCCAAAATGAAGCACAAGTTGTCGCATTTGGGAACACCGTCGATGGCCGAGATCACACACTCGTGACCTGGGCATTATGAGCGGCCTAATCACCTGCTCATATCCTAGATGCTGAGAACTTAATATGACCTGAGCATTGATGGTGATTTCTATCCTGTCTCGCTAAATATAATACACACATATCAAAAAGTCCAAAGGACGTAGATTAGATGAATCCAGGTCGGGATACAGAACTCCGCTCGGGGAGCTCGAAAGGTCCAAATTGGGACCTTCGTTTGTGATCCAGTTCAAAGATAGATTTTTTCTCCGGACCCAACTCGTAAACCTGATTTTGCCATGAGGCCATCTCGTATCTTTGTAGATCGGGATCCAGCTCATGCAACTGCTTCCATTCACTCACGGGGGCTTCAACCAGCTCCGGTTGGCTTTTGTTTTTGTTGTTTTCATTCAACATTGCACCTATATCCTCATCCGTGGAATTTTGCCTATGCCTCCTGCGGCGGTGTATCCAACATCCGCATATCATCGCAAGTGTCAATGCACCACCAATAGCGCTGCCCGCAATGATACCCACTTTTGCTGTGGTAGAGAGGCCAGTGTCAGGTGTAGTTGTATCGCTGGGCGAGTGTGTTTCATTCCTCGTATCAGTAGAGGCTTTGGGCAAGGCGACCCATTGGCGCTTCCATGTATCTTCCCAGCTGCTAGACGAGCCCGACACAGAAGGGTTGCTTTCATCCATTGTAGCGGTATTCACGATGAAAGATGCGTCCGGGCCAGGGGCTTGAGCCAAGAACCATTTACCCGAGTGTAGCCAGTTGACACCGACAAATGCTGCTTGAAGAAAGGCACGGCCTAGTACGGGCGTACTGTTGGTGGCCATGCAGGGGAAGTATTGAGTTGGCGTTTCAACAAGCGGGGCCTCCAATGTGAGGTTCAAAAGCGCGAAGGGGACTTTGATCGTGATATCTTCATTGTTCAGGCTGTTTTTGCTAAATCTGAATGCCAGATAGCTTGGAGAAGTAACAATCTTCTTATACTGGGGGTCGGATATGTCCCAGAAATAGAGACCATAATCTGGTTGGTAGGTGACGGGCAACTCCGCAGCTATGGCATCGCATGAGCTTTGAGGCAGATAGATGTAAGGGTTTGTTGGATCCACGATGACTGTCAGACTTGAAGTCATGGAGGAATTCCCCTGTCCCAGGAGTCCAGTTTTGTTAGAATAGCTCCAGGCGGATCCACCCTCGGCTACACCAAGGTTGATGTCAAAAAGCTCGATCGGAAAACTCCCGCTATTGTATGACTGGGCAGAAACGTCCCCAATGACTCGGCTCTGGTCGTATCCGCCCAGATGAAGTGACCCAGGAATGCCCAGCGATGCAGAGCCGATGTGCATTCCGTACGAATATGACGGAATTGAATGGACACCACCCTGGTCGTATAGATAACTGTTGATGAATGTCGTGTTTATTTTAATCGAGGCGCCAAAAGTCTGATTGAGCTCTGGACTCCCAAGGGATAGCGTACCAACCTCCAGAGGATAAGCCTTGCCATTTGGGTATGTCTGCCACCCAGCACGTATGAGAATTAAGTCGACTTCCGGGATAGGAGTGCCTTGGATGTTAATCCAGTCGGTTGCACGTCTTGCCCTAGCATAAACCGGAACAGCCTTGGTGTATCCCCAGTCGAGATCATCCCAAGACCCACACGGAGGTAACTGGATCGAGTTATTATCGAGGGTCGCCGATTTGTCGCTGTCAAAGAGGCCGGCTTCCTCGGCGTAGCATATCGGGGATAAGTTTGTGTTGTCGCACAAGCTTGAAAGTAAGATTTTACTTTCCCAACTTCCGCCAGGATACAGTGCAACTGCCGAGGTCGGTTGCATGAGGTCCGAGTTGTTGCTCCCCACGATAACGTTGACAGCTTGCCAGGGGCCATCGGGTCCAAAGGTCTTGTTGGACCAAGTCATTTGTCGGGGGCCAGTGCATTGGGCTGCTTGTATGGACAAGGTCAAAATGGCGAAGATATGTCCTGGAAACTTCATCCCTAAGAGAAAGGACTCTCGTTAGCATTTTCTCGATATCCTGGAGGTCTAAAGCCCCGCAATGTAGACCGAGATTCAGTGAGGTAGTTCACTAACCGATCAATGAGCGGTAACCCGAGAATGAATATTGAAAGAGTGTGTGATCAAGGCTTCAGTGTTGATTTGACATGTCACAAAGTGAGGGTATCCAACTTCACTCCTCTTCGCCCAAACAACTCTCCGAGATTTTATGTCCGACCAGTTCAAACTTCAACGAGCAAAACAACCTCCAAAACAAAACAAAACAAGTAGACGAAGGATTCAAGATCATGATATCGGTCAGGTTCTCTCCTACGCCAACAAGCCCACACACCTAAAATAGAAAACCCTCTAGACTGAGAATTAAGCGCCCTTAAGTAGTGGATTTAGTCTCTAAACTTGCTGCAGCGGCGTTATCAGGCAGATTTCGGGGAAGTTGCGATGCATTGCGCCAGACTGTGTTTTGGCAGTTCTGATGGGCCATGAGAGTCTCCACAACTCGTGTCCATTTAGAGGCGAAAGAACGTTGGCGGCGTTTTAACGCCAATCAGTGTTCACCATCCCAATTTAGCGCGTGTCGGATCGTGCATAGCAGGCGCTTAGCCACCAAATTTCACAACTCCGATCTCTCATAGGCGGGCATGGCGATGTTGGGAACGTAGAGAGCTGACACTTCAAAGTTCTCCTTTCTCCCACAACTCCTCTCGCATGGGACTTTCAATCCCCAAAAGTCCGAAATCAATGGTTGCAAACGTGCGGATGTGAAATCACAGGCCGAAAAAGCCGAATACTCCCCTCAAGTGACTTCGAGAAGTCAAGCGACCATGTTGACCATGGTCGCCTTATCTCCCAGACTCCTTCGAGTCATCTTTGTGCTGGTCTCATTTTTACTTGGATACGTGACTCTGTCACAGCTCCCCAGCACCTCGACTGCTTCAAGTCGCATCGGGTCAACGTTCAGTTTTGTGCACGGGAAGGAAGTCGACTGGTCGCGATTTGCATACACACAATATGCCACGGATAGATCTTATCTTTGCAACTCCTTAATGATCTTTGAAGCTCTTCATCGCCTTGGAAGCAAACCCGATCGTGTACTCTTGTACGCATCCGAATTCACTTCACCCCAGAACCATGACTCAAAAGAAAGCCGCATGCTTCGTTTTGCGCGTGATAACTACGGAGTGAAGCTCAAGCCTATCCAAGTTCAGTTACGAGGAGGCAACGGTGGTTAGTTGTCTCACCTTCAAAAGGTTGTCTGGAGATGGAACTAATGCATATTCCAGCGCCTTGGGCGAAGAGCTACACCAAATTACTCGCTTTCAACCAAACCGAATATGATCGCGTTTTGAACCTAGACTCTGACGCCACGATTTCGCAGGTAATTCGAGTAAACTGGATATTTGGTTGATCACTTCTGACATGATATCAGCCCATGGATGAATTATTCTTGGCTCCATCAAACTCCGTGGCAATGCCAAGGGCTTACTGGGCAAACCCAACAGACAAGCTGTTTACATCTGCTGTGATTCTTATTGAGCCTTCCAAGGATGATTTCACGCACATGATGGAAGCGATCTCTGAAGCAAACTCTAGCACAACATTTGATATGGAGATTATGAATCAGATCTACGGCGACACTGCACAAACCATTCCGCACCGTCCATACATTCTTCTCAGTGGTGAGCTGCGCTCTGATGCCCATTTTGCCTATCTCGGAAATCCGAAGGAAGTATGGGATGCCGAGAGAATTCTTCAAGAAGCCAAATATGTGCACTTTTCCGACTGGCCTGTTCCCAAGGTACGGGTGTCAATTATTGATTCCTGTTTTCGCTGGAGATGCTGACTTCATTCTCTAGCCCTGGATTGAGGCCGGCAAGACAGTAGTTGAAAAGGCACAACCGCCTTGTGCATTCGACCCATCAACTGGACGCCAAGATGACTGCCATACTCGAAATCTTTGGCTGGGGCTGTACGAAGACTTCAGACTGAGGCGCAAGGTATTAAATTCCTTTCCTTCTAGACCTACGGATTTAGAAGCATGCTAATTTGCGCTAGAACATCTGCGGCACTGCCATACAGGACCAACGATACGGATCATTACCCTAAGCACCTGTGCACATGTGGCACATTGGGGTGAAATCTTGAACTCTTTACTGGTTATGGAACGCTGGTCGCTCCTAGCCTTTCCTGGTTTGCGTCTGTACATTAATTTACATGACCATAGCGCGCATGAACAAAATTATGCCTCGATTCTATTTTCCCGACGTGTTACTGATAGAATACAATCTATGAAGAAGAATGATGAATATATACTGTATTCTCTCATCAAAAAGCGGACGGGGAAAAGAAGGAGAGAGAGGAGAGAGGATCGTCTATCTACTCTATCAAAGCAAACACGCCCTGTCATCCCAAACAGGGTCGCTGGCCAAGCAGATCCCGACAGTTACCTCACATCAGTCTGAATAATTCAGAACAGCTTAATGAGATTAGTCGAGAAAGGGACTTCTCCAGACTTTTGCGGTGGGGTTCGAAGTTCAAGCGACTTGGTCTCTTTCGTCTTTCATTTTGATTGCTTTTTGCGAATTTCACAACTCCGTACTCCTTTGCAACACTCCTAGCTCCACAGCCGTCTGCACACCGGAGCGTAGGCTAGCCTGGGATTAGGATCAAAAGTCGGTGGATCAGGGAATTTTTTCTACTCGTACGCTACGCGCATCGACGATCTCCCGCCTGCGGATGGCATCGCAATGTCTTTACCCGCTCTCCCCAACGAATTAATCACGTCGATCGCCATTCATCTCCTCCCATCTTTGAGAGACTTGAATTCCTTGGCTCAAACTCCCACCTTTTTCACCAGGTCCTCAACCCGATCATCTACAAAAATCACTCTCAAAATACCCTCGAACCAGCTTTATTTTGGGCTGCTAAGCGAGGCAAGCTGGCTGCCTGCATTCGCCTCCTGAGCGAGGGTGCCGATCCCAACATCATAGACTCAGATCGCAGAACTCCTTTGTCATGGGCAGCCCAGATCGGACATGCAGACGTCGTCTCAGCTCTGTTATCTGCGAAAGAAACGGACCCCAACACACCTGACAAGGACCTCCGCACTCCTCTCCTTTGGGCAGCCGGCAAGGCCGTGCATCATATCGACCGGGGTACATTCTCCAGAATCTCTCCGGGCACTGATCAGTTCATAAGGGGTGATCATCTTGCCGTTGTCAAGGCACTGCTCTCTGTCGAGGGCATCCAAGTTGATCGGCCAGACAACCGCGGGCGAACGCCTTTAACGGTCGCAGCTGGCTCGGGAGCAGAGAGTGCAGTGGAAGAGATACTGCGCACCGGGAAAGCAGATCCAAACTCCAGGGATGTGTTTAGGCAAACGCCTCTGATGCAAGCGGTTTCCAGTGGGAGTATGAGTATCTTCAACCGCCTCATCAGTATTGAGGGTTTGGAAGTTGATACCAAATCCTGCTTTGGACCTACTGCTTTCCTGGAAGCTGCGAGTAACGGAAACGTGGAGATCATGAAAATACTTCTTGCGATGCCTCAAGTGGATCCAGCAGAAGTACCTTGCTTTGGGGATTCGGCTTTGATGAATACTATTTGCGAGGGACACACAGATGCTGTGAGTCTACTTCTTGCTGACGAGAGAATTGATCCGAACATTACAAACAAAGCCGGCATCCCTCCGCTGGTGAGAGCCGCAGAACGTCAACGGACGCATATCATGCAAATGCTTCTTGACAAAGGGGCGGAGCCGGATGCCAAGGACAGGCAGGGGAGCACGGCTCTTATGGTTTCTACCGAGAAGGGCAATATTGAAGCAATCCAACTCTTGCTCGCCACTGGACGAGTCAACGCCGACTTCGATTTGACGGAAAGGACTGGATATTCTCCGTTTACGTCCGTTTCATTAGACAATCTGAATCAAGCTGTGCTGAAGATTTTGGATGAGCACAAGAGGCGGCATCGCATCGATCTTGCGCCAGAATCTTGATGACTTGTCCAATGTGATGGACTCGGAAGGGAATTCAATTCAGTTCTCTTTCCGTGAAGAGTGATAAACTTTGCACTTCAAACAAAACCCTTAAAATAAGGTGTGGCGATACCGATATCCCATGCCGACACCTGTCTCACGGATGACTAGTCGTCCAATAGTTTCGATTTCGTATCTTCCATCACCTGGCGATAATCCGTCGGTCCGTCGATCCGATATCACCCTTGCTAGAAAAGTGCTTGACAGCGAGTCGGTTGTCAGACTGCAAGATGGATTGCGGGAAACGATACAGTGGCATATGGAACAAGATCTACCTCGCTGAATCAAGTTGTCCTGGCCGTTTTGTTCTCCTTTCGTGTGACCTTGGGTCTCTAACATGACAATTACGCGACATTGATTGAGGGTTTTTGTCCTATGAAGCAGCAGCTTAGCTTGTTCTCTCCCAACACTCATGAATGATCATTCCGTTGGCATCTGGGCTCCGCATGCAATATTATGGGAAGATTTCAGTGCCTGAACGCAATCATCATACTTCTCTCTTTAATAATTTGCAAGATGTATGGAAAGGTATATTCGAAGTTGCGATTGTCGCTCTTGGCCCGTCAGCTTTCCAATCCACCTTGAAGCCCATAGAATGCAGAAGATCCGATGATCCGGCCCCATATGATGACATGCATTGATTTTTTTTTTCGTAGCTATCTCGCTTCTAAAGTTCTCGCAGTCCGAAAAGAAGGAGCCTGTCGGTAAACCTCCTTTCTTCGGGGCTTGGAGCCTGGGATTGGCTATTTTTTACTCTTTTCGGTTTTTCTTACTCCCCTCCGCATCTACATACACTCACAAGGTCAATCAAAAATCGACCCTGGGGGTCTGATCACAAGTGATTTTCTTATCAATGAGCTCTATCCCATGTTTTGCCGAACCTATCGTATTCATGCAGTCCTCGAATGCGGGTCCGACAAGGATTTCCTCATTGGGAATAGCTTATCGTGGAGAAGTATGAACTCCAACTGCTCGACGAAGGCACTTGAGCCAATCATAATTCTCTCATCTGAATATTTGACAATCTTCTGGTGTGAGCTAGAACCGTGCTCATAAGAACATGCGTCTATATATTGCTCGAACCCGACACGGCCGTTCTTTACGATTCATCTCATTCAAGATATTACATCTTCCCCGAGGTGGACTCATTTCAGACAAAATTTTCACTGCGTCTATCGAATCAAGGCCACCATGGGAGACTATACACTGGATACTGAGTCTGTGAGCATGCCTCGCTCGTCAGAGAAGCAGCCCGACGGTCTCACCTCTCAGCAATCGAGTGGGGTTTTGTACCACCAGCTACATAGAGAGCCTTTGAGTGTTGTCCGTGGTAAGGGAAGCTACCTTGTGACCAATACGGGGCTCGAAATCCTCGATGCCACTTGCGGTGCAGCGGTTTCTTGTCTGGGCCACAGCGATGAACGTGTCCATGAAGCTATCATCGACCAGCTAAAGAAGATACCTTACTGCTATTCTCTTTACTTTACCAATACTGCTGCTGAGAATCTCTCAAAGCTTCTAGTTGAATCTACAGGGGGCGTAATGTCTCGAGCCTATATCGTCAGCTCAGGTGCGAAAATATACACACGAACCCTGAACAAGATCCATGACTGACAAGTTTGCATTTATACAGGTACGGAGGCTGTTGAAGCAGCTGTCAAGATGGCGATTCAGTATTTCACAGAGTTATCTGTTCCAGAGCCCAGGCGGGTGAAGTTCATCTCTCGACACTCATCCTATCATGGAAACACACTTGGTTCACTCGCTGTGGGACACCACGCCTCACGGAGAAGAATCTATGAAAGCCTCCTCTCCCAAAACATAAGCCATGTTCCACAATTCTATCCCTATCGCGGAATGAAGCTGAATGAAGCTACTGAAGATTATGTAGCAAGGTTAGCCCAAGAGTTAGAAGATGAGTTCCAGAGGGTGGGCCCAAACACCGTTGCCGCTTTTGTGGCCGAAACAATGCCAGGTGCCGTGAGTATATCATTCCTCCATGGATATACCTAAATGACTGACCACTTGATAGACCCTTGGGTGTGTTCCACCGCTCCCTGGCTATCTCAAAGCCCTCAAAGCAGTCTGTGAGCGACACGGGGCACTCTTCATTTTGGACGAAGTCATGTCTGGTATGGGACGTACCGGCACCCTTCACGCCTGGGAACAGGAAGGTGTTGTTCCAGATCTACAAACCATCGCTAAAGGGTTGGGCGCTGGTTACGCACCTATTGCTGGGCTTCTCATCAACAGACATGTCGTTGATACTCTAAACAAGGGAACAGGTGCATTTGTCCACAGTCAAACATATCAAGGGCACCCTGTTGCCTGTGCAGCTGCCTACAGAGTGCAACAGATCATCCAGGAAGACAATTTGCTTCCCAATGTTCGGGAGATGGGTGAATACCTGGGTCGGCTTCTTCATGAACGCTTGGACAAACACCCTCATGTCGGCGATATCCGTGGCAGGGGATTATTCTGGGCTGTAAGTCTTCGATAACTGTGCTTCGAGGTTTTTGCTAACCTCTGGCAGATGGAATTTGTCCAAGATAGAGAGACTAAGGAGTCTTATCCACCATCCAAAGCTCTTTCGTGGACTCTGCACACCACAGGCCTCAAGCCTGAATATGCAATTTCCTTGATGCCTGGAAGTGGTGGTGCTGATGGTGTCAATGGGGATCACATTATTCTTGCTCCTCCTTACAATACCACACAAGATGAGATCAGGATGATTGTTGATCGGACTGTTCGTGTGATTGAGAAGGTTCTAGGTGAATGTGACTAAGGGATGGCCCGTGGATATATCTATGGATGTGACCATAAATGAATGGATTTTGGCTTTGTGTAATCAAGTAGCTAGAGCTTCGCTTCCAAAGCGACCCCCACGGCTGCTCTTTTGCGCACCTGGGCAGGTGATATATCTGGATTTTTCTCAAATTATTCCGCTTCGCCCGTAGATCGATTTTACATCCATGGATTTTCTAAACTCTTATCCCTGCCCAGGTGCCAGCCCCTGCAACGTAATCGATATTGTCATTTTCCAAGTTGATTCTAAAGTTTCAGCTTAGAAGCTTGCTTGACCTCTAGACCTCGTGTCAATGTATATATATGGCGGTGATGTTCCAAAGTTCCCGCCAGTAGTTAAGTACGGCGCTGGGATGAAATTTCCGCTGCATATCGCCATGACGTCCATGGCTGATTGGGATATTCTAGATACTAACCAAAGATCTCACTGATGAACTGATTATCATCTTCCTGGTTATAAGTCGAAGTCAGCTCCACATAATTTCGTGATTTCATTCCAGAATGACATGGCACTAAGCCCGATACAGAAGGAATAAAAGAGTTTCATTGGCCGCCGATCATGTGACCGGCCCGTCCATTACTAGAGAGACACGCGGGGAAACAAGCTCGTAGAGGCTTCCCTAATGACATACATGTCGATCACTGCTAGTTCTCGACGAACATGCGAAGCGAGAGGCAGTCGCGTTCGAAAACAGGTATTCTCACTTGAGCATAACAACGGTTGTCGTGAAAAAGTCCAGTCGCTTATGTGAACAGGATGTCTACAATGTCGACAAAAGCATAACAAGTGCGAGGAGCAACATCCAACATGCTCCTTTTGTGCTTCAAGAAATGTAAAATGCACATATCCGTCGGGGTTGAAGTGGGCTCAGCCCACGAAGTCAATGGAAACAAGGCACAAGCCTCGTACTAAACATCCTCGAGTCGAGGAACAAAGCTTGATCAAACAACCGTCCGCACTCTTCACAAGTACACATTTTGAATCGGCGGAAGAGAAGTCAGCGTGGGAATATTGTATGTGGATATGTGTTGTGCAAAGCAGGCCTAAGTATCTAAAATAACATTTGCCCAGATGTGAGGATGGTCTCGACAAATGTCCCAGCTTTGGACGGCCCAGAGAACCCCTACCGCCAGCTTTCAATACCGGCATTGTCATCACCAATCCTCCTCGAGACCATCGTCTGCATATCAACCGAACATATGCTGAACTTCGGTCTCGCAAGCGTTGACCTCGCAGCCAAGCGCCAACAAAGAATGTTGAGAACCCTTGGCCAAAAGCTCCTGAGCCTCGACAGCACCCCGAGCTCAGAAACGATCGTGATCGAGAAGTCTGAACGAGAGGCCCTTCTAATAGCCGTCGTCCTTCAAGGAATCGTAGTGGCGCAATCCGCAGACGGTGTGCTAGAGCCGCACGTCAAATGCGCATCCTGGCTCATGCAAGCACTCGGCTACTTCGAGTCCATACCACAGAATCCGATCGCGCGAATGGCCATCCAGCGCTATGGAATGGTTGATGTGATGCTCGCTATTTCACGCCAGCGCAGACCGTACGCGCCCCAAAATTTCATCCTCAGCCAACCCGATCAACATCACTGGGATGAAACCGAGCCATCGTTTCATAAAATGACGGGGTGTCCACAGCCACTGATGTGTTTCCTCGTCCGGATCGCACACTTGGCATGCGACGTTACCGAGCGTCCCGGCGGGGAGGTTCTCAGCGAAGCTTTTCAACTGGACACCGAGCTTCGGGCGTGGGGTTCTCGATATACGGGGACTCTACCCGCGAGGTGCGATCGCACGCTGTTGGATATTTTGACGGAATGCTTCTACTGGACTGCACATCTTTTGCTGGCGCGTCGTGTCTTTCAAGATCAAACGTGCTCACCGCGTGTCCAATATCTGGTGCATGTGTGTTTTCGTTTGATGGATCACCTTGCTACAGGGTGTGGGCCTGATTCCTCCCTTCCGCAGCCCTTCTATCTTGCTGCACGGGAGGCTGTGTCGGCCGAAGATCGGGTCTGGGTTCGACAAAAGCATGAATCTATGACGGCATTTTATCGTGAACAACAGCGTAATGCAGCCATGGTGTTGATTGAACGGATCTGGGAGACGACTGATGCGCTCAGGCAGTTGGAGCGTGGGTCTGTGAAGTTGAAAGAGGGGGTATCTCTCGTCGATGGCGCCATTCAGACGCTTGATCGAGAGGCGAATTTCTTCATATTCTAATACTCGTACTGTATTCTCACTAGCGGAATTTTGTCTTTTTTTTGAGATTATTTTTGGATGCTCATGAGTTATGAATCGATGTATCGAGGTGCCTATCGCAGGGTCGGGATCTTGCGTGGAAATCATTAAAGATATGGTACGTCGAATGGGATGATTACTGCATGCAGTAGCCGGAACATAACTGGGTGGACAAGGATAGGCCAGGATCAAAGGTACGGAGGACTGTGGGCATACACGTGCCTCCGCAAGATTTTACCTTTTGCCTTTGACATGTAGCTGGAATCCCTTCCATAATGAAGACGGATGAACTTGCTACTCTTGAAATAGAATAAAGTACTCCAAACTCGTGGAGTGAACCACTGGTACTGCGTATACAATCGTGGGAACCAAAGTCCACGCAGAGGCCAGACCAAGACTCCAGAGACTCGGGGTTTGGGTGACAGCTCATCGGCACTAGTACGAACCAATCATAATCACCCAGGCGGCGGCGGGTACCTGAGTCCAAACCACGGGACTGCACGTGTAACTGCATGCTTATTGGCCGATTTCCGTTGTTAGCCCCTGGACCCGTGGGAGTCTAACAGTGGCACCCAGGGACCTCACTGCCGAATCAGGGGAAACTATGAAAAGTAAAGTCTCTGCCCAGCCTGGCACAGCCCTGGACAGATGAGATGGGAACATTTAATTTATCAGGTTTGATCGAGACCACTGCCGATGTTTCAGATTCCCCGCGAATCTCACGTGCCGTTCGCATTGAATTGTCTGGATAGTTAGTTAACTAGTATGAGCGCGATGTTTGGTTTGGGTTCTTGGGCCCGACGCCACAATGCCATGACAGGCCTCTCCTGAAGTGTTACAGAACGTCGGACAACAACAATGTACGAGTCGCGTAAGGGGATTGCCCCTCGTAAATAGTGTGCGGTCTCATTGCTTCAGACTGTGACAATTGCTTGGGTACATGCAGGAAAACGCAGGGGCCAAAAGCAGGATTTCCCGTCTCCCCCCCTCCCCATAGACCAACCAGATGGGAATCGACGCCATGGTAGGAACCGGAAATCATCCAAAAAAAGAACACATCGAGGCCCTGGCAAGAAAAAAAAAAAGGCGAGAGGGCGAAGGGGAAAAAAAAACAATGGGGCCCTAGCTCCACGAGGTGCCAATAGTGGGAATTGCTTTGCACCGTAGAGTTCCTTGGTCCGGTTCTCCATGAGTAGTCAGCGCCCCATCTCCTGACTTCTTCTTCCCTCTCACACTCTTTCTGCCAGCCCTTTTGCCCACTTTCTTACGTTCTTTTCTTGAGGTCGTTCGTTTCATTCTTTCACGACGACCGTACCGCTCTTTCTCAATTTTGCCCTTCGTTTCCTCAACGGCTTCCCCCCCGTTCCCGCCCCGTTGATCGATTCAACCTGGGCATTGCGATTCCAATCGACTCGACATATCGAGAAAACGAAGAAGGTCCCCTGCCCTTCTTTATCCGCTGCCTAGGCCAGCCTTTTTATTTATCCCCTCGTTTTTTTTTTTTTGCTGGACGCCTCTGCGACGCGCCCTTCGCCCAACCTCCCCAATCTCTGACGTGGACGCCATTCGATCCTTACGCCAGACTTCCATTCATTACTCCCTCTCGCGCCTGAGGCTGCTTCGAGAGGAAAACAACATTCAGACTATTTGTCTATCCGTCTGTCGCCGCACAACCACACTTATTTCAACACTTGTCGACCGGATCGTCACACATTTACTCGCTTTATCTTCCAACAAAAACTCCCCTATATACACCAACAAAAAAAAGCCCTTTGATCATTACAAGGACACCGAAGTCGCGCGAGGCTCTCCGTGACAGCTTGGATTATGTCTTCGTTGACAGAGATGCATTACCCAACCGGCGCATCCGCGCCGGACTCATGTTCGCCGCCTGACTCGACGCCTTCCCCATCGACTTCGAGTGCCACGGCCCACTCCTCCGCGCGCCGCCCTCCACGCAAGAGCACCCTGACCCAGCAGCAAAAGAACAACAAACGTCAACGGGCTACTCAGGATCAACTTGTCCTCCTGGAGGTCGAATTCAACAAAAACCCGACTCCCACCGCTGCGACCAGAGAGCGTATTGCTTCGGACATTAACATGACTGAGCGCTCGGTCCAGATTTGGTTCCAGAATCGGTAGGTATTTGGGCTAGCCAATTGTTCTGGCATTATTTACTGACCGAATGTTAGACGTGCCAAAATCAAGATGCTGGCCAAGAAAAGCATCGAAACCGGCGAAGGATGCGATTCCATTCCAGAATCTATGCGCCACTATCTTGCGATGCAGTTCGACCCCAATAAGCCTGGGGCGAGAGATCCCTTTGGCCGTGCTGGTGCATACGGCCCCCCTAGCATGTATGCAAGTGAAACTAACCCGTCCGGGAAAGTTGGTACGTTTTGAGATTCCCCCTGGCATATTATGCACAGTTTGCTGATCTTTTGCTAGTGATCTCTCACTTCACTTGTCGCTCCCTGACTGTGGGTAGCTGGAGACGCATTGGACAAAATGCCATGGATCTGGTTGTGTTTTATTCGCCAGACAAGGCCTGCATGACTTATTACATCAACAATGACGCTGCTGGCTATAAGATCGAATACCCGTTTGCCTACATCAAAAACATCACTTTGGAAACCGGGGATCCCAACCCTGGCCCAAACGGCGCACCACCCCGACCTGGTGGCCTTGTCGTTGAGCTGAACCGCCCACCGCACTTCTACATGGATTCCTCGAACTCTGGAGGTTTCTACCAGTGTGGTGATTTCACCGAAGAACAGCAAGCAAGCCAGATCATGGTTCATCATCTGGGAGGCCATCCCAAGGTCTTGAGCGTTCAGCTTGCTAAGCTTGTGTCCTTGGAATCCTTCCAAAATCGCCTGGCTTATAACAACAACAGCAGTAACAGCTTTGCTGTGCCACCCGCAATGTCTCCGCCGTTCATCCAGCGACCCGCATCGCAGCCCAACCAGTTCGCTGCATCCCCTTACTTGAACTTGTACCAGGACAGCAACCACTTGGGTTTCAATATGCCAGCAGCCCGCGGTCACAAGCGTCAACGAAGCCGCTCTGTGCCTGTCGCAGTTGATATTTCGACTCTCCAAGGTCCCATGTCCTCTTTCCATGTGCCACCGCCACCTCCTCCTCCCTTCAACCACACCGAGGCAGGAATCTACGCCCCCGTGCCACAGTCCGTTCATCAGCTCCCCACCGACCTCCGAATTGATACGCAGGGATACGGACTCGATTTCCGAACAAACCCCATGTCAGCTACGACAACCGGATCCCCATCAGACTTTGCTAGCCCGATGTTCAGCAACGCAGGACAAGGCGACTCTACCCCCGTCGCCAACATGCCACCACAGTTCAACTTCGTCTCTGGTGGATCAACAGAGCCCTCAACCATGGGCTCACACGCTCCATCCCCCTATTCTAGCGTCAGTCCTGCTGATCCATTGATCGCGAACCACTCCCCACCCCTGTCCAACATGCCGCACGGCTCATCTGACATGTACGGCTTCTCGCACGATCAGCATTCTGGTTTCGACGACAGTCTTTCAATGGACATGTACTCGAAGCATCAAGTCAGCTTCGTCTCTCACGAAACCCCTACCTTTGAACTACCCATGCATGGCCTATCCCACCCCTCTCCGGGAATGGGTGACTACAAAGATTACACTCATGACATTACCAACCTGGACGAAATCAACTCGCAGGGTTTGCCTACTTCATGAGCCATCATCAACCATGAACTGTCAGTCTTCTCTTTTGTCAATTGATGTTTCACGGCTTTTTCTGGAGTGCATGTGGCGCTTATGCTGGGTTTTGGGTTTGGGTTTGGGGTTCTTCTCGTTCGAGTCTCGATGTTTGGCAAAACCTCATGACTCGCATGACTCGATTTTCCGTCTCGCTGGCGATGGCTTGGCGATTTGGGTTTCATTTTTCTTCTTGCGTGACATACCCTTGTGTCTTGTATTAATACCCTTTCTTTTCTGGGGCCGGTCCTGAGGCGTTTTTTTCTTCTTCCATTTTTCTTCCATTCAACTTTTGGACTGTTTTCCCGGCTGCTCCGGTTGAATTCAGTATTCTTTTCACCCGGTCAATTTTACTCTTTTTTCCCTTTTTTTCTTCTATGATCTATTGACCGGGATTTTTGATTTTTCTTACGTGGTTATGCCAAACAGACCGACTTGGACTTCGACTCCATTCCCCTTGATTTTCTTTTTTTTTGGTATTTTTTTCCTTTTGTCTGATGGGACATTAAACTCCCTCCCCATTTTGTGTTTACAATGGTCATTCTTCTTGGAGTCGATTTTGCACAGCGGCCCCTTCGGCACCCGTCTGGGTCCGACAACCCAGCGCAGAGTTGTGATATCTTCTGCGTGTTTGGTGGTACACGATATTGGGGGGATTTCCCTACGCTCTGAATTAATCCATTTTGTATCGCATCGCACTTCTTGTAGGATGTAGAGTATTCAAGATTCTATTAAATCGGGGGTATCTTATTCATATATTACAATCAGGCCTTCTCTTCCCATCCTTTCGGCGAAGGGGCTTCAAGGCCCCTGTTTCGCAGGAGCTTTTCAATCCAGACCTCCATCTTCTCCAGAATATTACGCTCTGGTTTCCCCTCCTCGCCAACGTCAAACACACCCTCTTTGCACCAAACGCTCCACGAGCCCATCATCCCCGCCATAAGCACATCCGTTCCCAGTCGATCACCTACAACTGCAATCTCATGCGATGACTCAACAACCCCGCGTTCTTTGAACCATGCCAAAACCTGGTCCCCACAGAAAGGCTTCTTCTCTGTGCCAGGTGGGAGTCGAAAAACAGGAATATGCAGATGCGCGAGCTGAGCTTCTAGATCGCGTACTTCATTGTCAAAGGTGCTGTGGCTGCCGGCACGGTTCGAGACAATAAGAATTGAGTTTGGATTTGTGGAGGTTTGAAATGGGGATGTTGGACTGTTGCGGAGGGCAGATAGCTTTGCTAGGATGTTTGGTGGGAAGGTTGTTGTCTTTGCGGCGCAGAGAGTATTGTCCTTATCTACCACCAGAGCACGGATTGAGGGTGTACGTTGGTGTAGGTCCTTCTTTGGGACAAGATGAGGGCCGAGGTTCTCGGGGATATGTGTGAAGGTTGGGATCGTGAGGTGAGGCAGGAATTGGGAGGGTTGTTTGAGGAGGGTCTGGACGGCGTAGTTGAAGCCCCTCAGGTTGGAATTGGGAGATCCTGCCATGATTGATTTGTACTAGGGCTGTTGTGAAGGCTCTGTCTGGGTGTTGGTTATTGGAAATGCATTTCGTGGCGTGGTGGTGAAGTTGGTCGTCGGAGGGTGTTTGGTGAGAAGAACTCAAAGCGGAAAGGATGTTAGCTGCAAAACTCACCTCTGTGCACCTCTCTACCCGTCCCACCATCCACCACCACTTGACTTGATCCATTCCCTTTATTTTTACTCGGGAAGGTTTCTGTGCTTCGGTTTCAATTTCTTCGGTCCTTTTGGGTTTCCTCCTTGCCATCACACATTCGTCAAGATGGGCAAGCTCACTTCCACCATCGGTATCCCGATTAAGCTCCTCAACGAAGCGCAGGTGCGTTACCTCCCCCCCAAGACGGTCTCTGGGCTATTGAGTTTGTCGCAATGATGCAGCACACTCGTGGACTTGAATATCTGTCGGACAGCGCGCGATAGAGCAAGCTAACCCATTTCATTAGGGTCATGTCGTGACTCTCGAAATCACATCCGGTGTCGTCTACCGGGGGAAGCTTTTGGAAGGTGTGTGCTCAAATTCTTCCGTGGTTGGAGGCGCCTCCTTGAAGAGAATCGACCTACACCGCTACAGTTCCTGATTGCAGAACCATGCTGACATTCGTTTCCAGCCGAGGACAACATGAACGTTCAGCTCAAGGATATCACTGTCACCGCCCGCGACGGCCGTGTCTCCCATCTCGACCAGGTCTACATTCGCGGCAGCCACGTGCGATTCTTCATTGTCCCCGATATGCTCCGGTACGTTCCTGATATCGATGTCACACTTAGCTCGCAATACACGCCTTGCAAACGCTTATTCTACCATGACAACTGCTAATCCGCTTTTTTCTCTCTTCTAGTAATGCCCCCATGTTCCGTTCACGAGGCCAGCGCGGGCGCGGTGTCGGTTTGGCGCGTGGTAAGGCCACCGTGCAGCGTGCGCGTGGCCAGCGCGGCCGGGGTTGAGTGTGAGAGAAGTCGCAGTTATAAGGCCTCGCAGACTCAGAGTGGTTGGCGTTCTTCTTTTGTGTTTTCTTTGGTCAGGGTAAATCTATGCGGGCTTGGTCTATGCCGAGTCTTAAAATGTCGACTTTCAAGAGCATCGTCTTATCACCATTCAATTCAATCATAAATCGATACCCGACATATGATAGCTCGTATGGGGCTTTGGCTTTGCCATCTGAAACTGGAGAGCCGCGTGAGCTCGAGCCTAGGTTAGACTGAGAGGTGTCTGGGGAATCCAACGCCGAGGTCAATCTCGTAGCATCACGACTTATCCTCAGAAGCTGAACAGAGAGCAATGGATTTGGTTGCAATCTCTTACATGTAGATTGGGAACCGTCGGCAACGTCATAAATTGAGTGTCGCAAATTATCTGCCATTTTCGGTGCGGGGAGCAACATTGAACTTTCTCCTTCACCACCTGCCCACGAGCACTGAAACCCCGACCATATTGGCGATCCTGTCCCAAATCAAAAAAACCAATTGGACCTTCCAACTGTCAATTATATGCTTAGCTGAAGCTCAACCACCATAATGACCTCTTCAGCCTCAAGCAACCCCGCAGCCGCAACCGCAACGCCCAAAGCCAAAAACATCCCCAATCCTCGACGCCTCCTAATCCTCGCTCCAACAACCCAGTCCGAATCGATTATCCCGCCTCTTCTACACTCCCTGACTGGGGTTCCAGTCACCAACCCACCACAGCCAACAGAACAAGCGCCCGAAAGAGTCACCTTCGCAGGCTACACAACACACAGTCCTCTCCGCCTGGAAACGAAATACTATAACACCGAGGTCCCAGTCTGGGTCGATGAGATTCCTCTATCTGATACAACCGAGCAATGGAAAACCGACTTCCTAAGCGAAGAAGCTGAGATTGTTCGCGAGGCCGTCGGCGCATTGGTCGTTTGCGCCCATGCGCCTGAACATGGTCCTCCGGATCCAAATGCTGAAAATGACATAGCTGAGCGAGAGGATGTACGCGCATTGCGTGATGTAATGCGCGGTATTGCCGCTGTTAAAGAGAAGATCGACGAAGAGCGCGGGAGTATCGGTGATGTTCCTGGGGTATTGGTGTTAGTTGGGGCGAGGAAAGTGGCTGCGTCGTCAGCAACAAAGTCTGGGCCAAATGGGCAGGAGACTGGGGATGATCTGGGTGATGATCTTGGGGATGTGGTTCCGTTGTCGGTTGGGTGGTGGGAGGATCAATTTTATGATATGGGATTACTGGGGTGGGAGGTTATTGAGTGGGATCCCAAAGAGGGGGGTGAAGAAACGAGAAATCAATATGGAGGTATGGATGTCTATTCCTTGTGTTTGGGTCTTGCTAATGTCGTTAGAACGAGAGGGTATGCCGAGGATCAAGGAAGTTCTCGAGACTCATGATTGGTCTATGACCAGTGCTGGTGTTGAGGACGATGCAGACTCCGAGGATGGTCTTGAAGACCAACTTCTGGGTATGGATGGCTCTCGTGGGTTTGGGAATGAGGTTCACGAGCTTGAGCGTGAGATGTTTGGTTTGCGAATGGCAATTGAGCGAGGTGGCGGTGATGGTGATGAGGATGAAGATGAAGATGACGGTGATAAAGAGATTGACGTTGAGACGATGGAATCGCTGATGATGCGCATGCAGGCGATTAAAGGTATGCTTCTTTGACTGGCCTTTCCTTAGCCACTTGACTGACCTGAGTATAGATATGGGCTCTGACCTGCCGGAGGCCGAGCGCAAACGATTTGCTGCCAAAGCTGTACAGGATATCATGCGAGAATTATGATAAGATTGCTGGCGTCTAGTATCTAACTAACTCTATGCTCATATGATTGGACTCTGGTTGTATGGACAATGCAACATGCGTTGCAAGATGATTGAACCACGTCTATTTATCATTATAGGAGCAATCAGATCAAGCAAAAATTAATACACATGAGCAATCGAAGCCAACAGAACAACTTCGGGTTTGTTGCATGACGCAGGCTTCGTCCACAAAGCCCGCTCGAACCCCTCACAATCCTGCGCATCCCACCAGCGCATCGTGAGCGTGCCTAATCCGCACGCTTCTTGCCACGCAGAACCTTGCGTCGCTGGGCAATCATGTGCGTGTACAGGATATAGGAGCCTGGCAAGTTAGCATTGAACAGGCAAGGCATCGTGCTTGAACGTACCAGGGACATAGATAACCAGAATAGCAATCAGCGCGTATTGGAACAACGGGTTCAACTCAGCAGCAGGACCAAGGGCCTGGTAGATAAGAGTGCACTCGCTGGTGATACCAATCGGGTAAAGGATGTAGAAAGTGTTGTACCTGCAGGAATTAGCAACGAAACTCCCTAGCCAATGAGAAATACCTACCGCAACCAAGTCCACCAGCTGGGAACCGAGTTCCCAGACAAGGTGATAGCAAAGAATCCATAACGAATAACCTCCGTGATACCCCAAGCAGCGACGCAGCCCAAGTAGGCATAGTCACCCAGTTGAGTAGATCGTGCACCGACAATCTGTCCCCCGAATTGAGCCATGATTCCCCAAACCAGCAACAACCGACTCGCAACCTGCATAGCGGTTGTCATGAATGGTGCGCGCACGAGTCCGACGACGCTGTGCACGACTTCCAGCAGTGCGAGCGACTGAGTCGCAAGCAGTGGGGAGAATGTCAAGTTGAAGACATTGGGTAGGTTGTCAATGTTGGCGGGGAGGAGAGAGGCGGCGTAAACAACACAAGCACCCCAGGTGAGGAGGTTGAGGGTGTTGTAGGTGAAGAGGTAGGCCTTTGTGATGCCGGCGGGGCCGCGGGATGCCGACTTGGATGCCATTTTTGCTTGATTGGGGGTTTGGAGTTTCCAAGAGCAATTGGCGATGGCTCTTCGAGTAGTACGCAAAATGGAGTGATTTCGTTGGGAGTCGCGATCAACAGTCCAAAATGTTGGACCGAGGTTGAGATTTACGTAAGCATTCTGGAAGGCCGATCGACTTTAAGAGTCCGGGGTATGGATGATCATTTTGGCGTTCTCCAGTTCAATTTCTCTATGATCTACATCTAGTGTCTGTTCATGGGCCATGCACTTGGGAGGTGCCTTGGGGACAGTTGGAGAGAGGAGGCTTTGGCCCTGTCCCCAAAGCGTTCCCATACCCCCACAGAGTCCGAGTCAAGCAATTTCTTGTGCCGAATATGACCCGTGGCAGGGGCATCGGGTCCGAGTCACTGTTTTGCTGCAAGCCTCTGTTGCGGTGATATTCCCTGCCGAGGAGCTGTGGATGTGATTCGTTCGGCTCCAGACCAGTAGCCTAGTGATTGCTCGTGGTGACCAAGCGGAATGCTTCCTGTGCAGATAATCTTGGCTGCTGGGATGCCGCAATGTAAGCGGACTAGGTAACCCCATGATACTACTGCATGCTCTAGCCTGGGCTGCTGGGAGAGTCTGCGATCTCGTATTGTTCGGCAGACATGTGGTTGCGCGGGACGTGACTGGTAGAAGTCCTTATGGCAAGGTGGGCTGATGTAGGGGTTATTGGCTCAGTGTTGAACGTGAGCCGATTCGCATTGAATCAGCTTTTCGGGGGAATTGTCCTGGAGCCATCGTTCACACTATTGCAACTAGAGGTGGTACTTGGCATCCTTGTTCATACTTCGGCAAGAATCTTTCGGGCTCCTGCACGTTTTAATTACCGATGGAAAAGCCTAATTCAATACGGAGCACCTCGATTGAGGTTGTTTTCCTTTTTGCATAGTAGAGGCAGTCCATGGGATATCTATGGAAAGAGAATTTTAGAAAGCGTCCACGGGTGCAAAATGCACCGTGATCTGACATCATGGACCCTTCCTCGTATACCTACTTAAGTAAGTACTTAAGTACTCTCCAGGGCTGGAAGTCCGCATAGCTAGTACAACTTTAGATATAGCCCTTGTACAAAGTCCTCTTTCCATGTTGATATGACGTGAGGAAACCAAGCACTACATACTACAATTAACTTTAGAATTTGCACTGAAAGTAGTACTCCGTACTCCGGAAAAGAGATATCGTGAATGTAAATTTGGTAATTACGTTACACAGGGGCCGATGACATCAGAGGCTGGAAAGGCTGAATCGGCATCCATCATGATGATGTCATGGCTAACTCCTCGGGCGCTGATTGGTGGATTGTTAAATGTGACGACGACGGCCAAAAAAAGGACGAAGATGCACAACTGCCCCAGTCTCGATAGTCATATATAAATCAAAGTTGGCTGCTGGCGCGCGATGTTATTTCATGATGACTTTACCATTGTCACCACACAACTACCTCTCACTTCTCGAATCGCGCGAAACGACACCGACAACAGCAAATGGAAGATTTTTTTTTCCCCCAAAAAACAAAATAATAAAAAACACCCATCGTCATCGGTGACAGCATAACCGCTTGTGTCTTACACCAATATTACAACCTTGGGTTTCCTCAGCGCAAAGAAAGAAAGAAAAAAAAGGAGCCGTGGAGCCATGCGCTCCCACACGGACGGTTCAGGTCGCTCCAACAGAATGTGTCAGGGAATTACCTGTACACTTGTATTCATGCAACAAACAAAAAGGAAGTATTCCGAGTTGGACACGGTCCTCGAGGGTCCAGACCAACTAGATCAGGCCCTCGCTGCGCATTTCACCCAAGACAATCGTGCTTTTTCCTGCTCGAGCCGGTTTCATTACGTCTTTTTCCCTCCTTCCTTGTGCGGCTAATCATTTGCCATGAGTATGACAGGGGGATTCCCTCTCTATTTGAGATGGGTCCACGGGTTTATCAAACTCGTGCAGTTACAAAACACCGTTCGCACGGCCTATTCACCACGGTACCAACTACAGAGTACAGCCCTTCAGGGTTTTCGACGGTCCCACGCGTGACCCCAATGCTCGGGTCTGAAATGACGTTCGTCGCTAGGATCGGCGCCCCAATGATGTCGACTCACTGGCCCGCTGCCAGATCTCCGGCGTTCCTACGAGTATGACCTATTGCGGACAGAAAACGTGTCGGTATTTTTTTTTATTACCCTATCCGACCCCACCCCTGTACTGTTTTAGTACAGCTACAGGTCGGCGAGGGGTTATGCCGATGGATTTTGCGTCTTTTCCTCCTAGTGGAGTTATCGGCTGCCATCACTGTACTCCACCAGATGGCCGTTCTTCATGAACGCCCAAGAACGCTCTCCTGCTATGGGTTCAATGGTTTCAGGTTCAGTTCGCCGGGTGGAAATCTCGGACCTAGGAATCTCATGACTGATCTACTACAAGTATCACAGTGGCTAACATAGATCTGTGGGAGGGGAGAAACCGTCACCCCGGTGTCTGGCTGCACCCACGGAGGCTAAACAGAAAATGGAAACAATAAGATACATGACTATCGAGATTTGAGTCCAATAAGAGCTCGTTATATAAATTGTAGCTAGTAATATATCGCCTAGTCGTCGTGCAATAAATCCCTTCCGACATGCGCCAAGAACTATGTGATCAAATTTGAAAAGGAAAAAAAAAGAGACAAAAATAAAGATTGGTATAGGCAGGATGCAGGAGATATTCTAGATAGGCTTTTCCCTAATATTTAAGCCGGACTCATATGGAGTTGAGGGGCAGTTGTGTTATAATTTTCATATAGCGGAAGCCCCAACCGTAAGTGTGAGTGCCGATAATCTTCCACTTCTCTCCGCCCCTCTTCCTCTTCCTCCCCCCCTCTTAACCTCCCCCCTTTCTCCTTCGTCTTTTCTTTTTCTCCCCTTTGAGTTTTTGTACTCCGGATTTTCCTTTGGTCACCCTACTCCGGTGAGACTTGGTGATCACTCTCAAAAGAGAAAAGAAAAGTTAAAAAGGTGGGATGAATATTTCTGTGCCCCTCGGTCGAACCTTTCGCGATTGATACCCTTCGTGGCTATTCTTGCTCTTGCTCTTGCTCTTGCTCTTGGCTGTTTTTCTTAACCCCATGTCTGCTTTCTTCTTTGCTTGAACGGATTACGGACAGCTCGATTCTGCAGCTGTTGCGATACGCAAGTCTTGGCTTGACAAGGCTGTGGCTGGATCATATGTGCTGCATGGTCCATACCCCCCCACACCAATCCCCCTCTGATCTTCTCATCTCTTATTGCACCTGATCCCTGGGAGTTGTGGCTTGCCAGATAGTCCGGTATGTGCCTGCCAGGCTCTCGTCATAAGGTTTGATCTGGTGATTGCCGTACTCGGGACAGCAGTCTCTCCCCCGATCTTCAACCTCTATTACCTTGGTACCTGGTTCTGTAACACCCTGGCTTTGTAAGACATGATGTGTGCTGTGTGCTGTTGTTCACGAGTCTGACATCCTCGTTGTATCATTGATCTTATTTGCTTCACAATTGATTTTTGCCACTTGCTTTGATTCGTCCAAGATCTGCATCTACTGAATGAAGTCAGACTGACTGGGGTTTACAAACAGAGATCCGCGCATTCCATCTGGATTGACTGGGTTATCAAATCGGACCGAAGTTGCCATATATCACCCGTGACCTGCGTACAGGTTGCTACAACATACTTTTTCGAAACACCTCCCACACATACACCCACCATGGCGCCAGCCGAGACCAAAAAGGCCGACTCGGTAAGTCCCGCCTAAATCGACTACGGATATGCGGCTGACAGTCTACGTCCAGGGCCCTCCCAAGCTTTCCGACTACAGCACAATCCTCGACGAGAGCACATTTGAGCAGATCCTGGAGATGGACGATGACGACGAGGACCGGGATTTCAGCAAGAGCATCGTTTATGGTTTCTTTGACCAGGCCGAGAACACTTTCAAGAAGATCCAAAAGGAAATGTGAGTTTTCCCCGAAAGCGCGTACGATGACGTATGCTAAGCCAAATCAGAGATGACAAGAATCTCAACGAACTCTCGGCCCTCGGTCACTTCCTCAAGGGCTCATCCGCCACACTGGGTCTGATCAAGGTCAAGGACGGCTGCGAGAAGATCCAGCACTTCGGCGCTGGAAAGGACGAGACAGGCGTCATCGACGAACCCGATAAAGAGGTTTCTCTGAAGGCCATTAAAAAGACACTCGACGAAGTTGTGGTCGCCTATCGCAAGGTCGAGAAGCTCCTGCGCCGATACTACGGCGAGGAGGTGCCCGAAGAGAAGGAAGAGAAGCCCGCAGAGAAGCCCGCAGAGAAGGAGGAGGAGAAGACGGAAGAGAAGCCCGCAGAGAAGGAAGCCCCCAAGGAGACCAAGGACACCAAGGACACCAAAGAGACCAAGGACACTAAGGAACCCGTGGAGTCCAAGCAGTCTAAGGATTCCGAGGTCAAGGAGGCCTCGAAATAGTGGCCTATATGGGACAGTTGATACCCTGCCACCCTCCCCTTTTTCTTTTTAGCGACGGATGGAGCATGGCAAATGGCTGTTTCTTTTTCTTTACCTTCACAACTTTAACCCCCCGACCTCTCTTCCACCTCTCTTCCACCCCTCATGGCGTTTGACGTACATACTTATCCCCCTCATTCTGGGAAAACGGGAAAGCGGATGTTCCTGGTCTCTCACGTAGGTGCAGGCGCGAGAATCGTGAAGATTCCGAGGAGTCTTGGACAATACCGGAGCTGCGGACATCCGAGTGTCATGTCATCCCTCTTTGTTTTGCGCCTTTCATGCATTACACCAGTAGTCGCATCAATGAATCACGGATATCCATTTCAGATTGACAGTAGCATGGACTACAGATTCCAAATCGCCACCGTCCCAACCAGAAGAGGCTGAGAAACAAGCATTAGTCCAATTTCTCTAATGTCCAGGGTCTTTCGTGTCTTGAAACGATCCTGCATACAACAGCAAGGTGGCGCCCTAAAAAGCTTCTTCTTTCAGCCACTTGCGTGCGCCTGGGGTACCCGGCCAACCTAGACTTTATCTCACACTGGTCCCGATTCGGGGGTGATGGTCGACCTAATCGTGGATGCACTTCGATCGATCGATCGGCGGCTAATTTATTGGTGTGTTAAGACTCGTTATAGCCCGAAGACAGCTCGGCGTTCTAAACACCCTCCTTTTTCTTTATTGTGATCCATTGGGTGTTGGAAGAGACCCTTTCAGTATCAGAGTTCTGCGTGGTATAGATCTGGGCCCTTCTATCGTCATTCATTTTTCACCTGGCGTTATATTCCGTGTCGCCGTAGGCTGTTGCAAAGTCGATAGCGAGCTGTAAACGACTGTCGGCGACGTGCATTTTAGACGGGGACGGTGCACCTCTGCGTTTTCAAGCCGAGCTACCTCTGTACAAGCACCGGGAGGAATGTGGTCATCAAATTACAATTATAAACATCGCTTTGAAGCTGTTATCCTTCCAGTACTTCCATGCCAACAGGCGAGTATCCCAATCTAGCAGATCTTCCGACCAACATCGCGTATGCACTACGGCGGAAGTATGCATTTCCCAGTCCATGTCTGATCTAACTGTATACCTCGTCCTGGTTGGCACTAACCTCGAGCACACCGGATTGTGCTGCTGGACAAGAAACAGAACCACCACCTTTCGCCGTATGTTCTTAAGGTTGTGCCATTTAAATTCATTTCAATGCTAATTGACAAGCTTTCGGTCTATATCAAGTCCTGTGTAATTATGAGGGGACTATCAAAGCCCCCGAGGATCGTTGTACAGACCAAAACTCAACATGTCCTGAATCGAAACTCCGGAGTCTCTAGCCACGTTATATGGTCTATTTAAGTACCAAAGACACTTTGATCATTAGTCAGTCACCATGAGTTGTCTGCATTGTTCTCTGAGGCTAGCAGCACCCCGATAATGGAAGATCCAAGGCTGCCACTCTTTGTTCCTCTACAACCCAACACCCAGGTGTGAATAGAGCTTCTTTGCTAGACAGGTAGCATTGATTCAGCCCTTAGTTTGTCCAATTTACTTTATTGCATTCCGGACTAGATTCCGATCTGACGGGTCACACGGCATATCCAACGGACCTTGTTCATCGACATCTCTGTAATCCGACGCAAAGGCGCAGATAGTCTGGACTTCCTTGAATTCCTCTCTATCAAGGGGCTAGCTAAGATTCATTGATGTGGAACAAGTCTGAGCCTCGATGCCGAGTTCATCATGCAGTTTGACGGTTTTCTCCACAGGCGGCTGCAGGCGCACATCCTCGAAGCTGCAGTCTCCCATGGCTGGCGCGCCTTGGATTACACTAAAGCCGTTTTCATCTCCCATGCGGGTATGTACAGCTCCGTAGAAAGGAGGTCGGAATCACGAAACTCAGCTGTTCACGGGTATTCCCGTGAAGCTTTTGTGGCTGGGGTTAGGAATCGGATTTTGGATGTGCATGGGCTTCGATGACACCCTTTTTTCTCATGCATGCAAGCATACATATATCTTCTAGCCGTCTGTCTCGGATAGCAGACACAGTCTCAGAGCTATCCTCCCGAGGTCGATGTATCAGCACGCACCTCGTCGTGCTCAGTCCTCGAGGCCATTCTGAGATGAAGATCACGAGTAGGTGGTCTTGTCATTGATCAAGGTTATCTCGTTCGGTCTAAAGTTTCGAATCTGCTCACCTCACAATATACCCTAGGGCTGGGCAACAGGATAAAGGGGACCCTGAAAGAGGCAAAGAAGGACTTCTAAAGTTCAGGAGTAATTCTTGTCTTCATTGAATTATCCCCATACGTTCGCTTCTAATGTAAACCGTGTCTCGTTTGTCGGAGTCCAAGCTTTGTTCCCGATGCTAATACCCCGGACTTATTGAGAGATTGTGTTGCTCTGTAACTTGTCCACAGCAGTAGAAGTACGATTCCACTCGTCAGCGATCCGGCCCGCGGTTTGACGTAGTCCGGGGTTGTAGCTCAACGGGTATGCAGTGATCGGATACGGATTGTGCCAATTCGACTCCGGGTTCTGCACGGCGCACGGTAGCGTCTAATTCTGATGATGTCTGTAAGCGCCAGCAAAGAAGTTGAGATGATAGCCTCTCTTATTCGTGCCCTCTTTTCCTCACTCCAGTCATGCATGCGGACGCAATGTTGAGTCGAACAATGTGAGGCCTCGAGAACTTCCTTAGACCCCTGCTCTCTGTTACCCTTGTGTCATCCTATCCCCATCTATCTGATTGCAGTTTGCCCCATGTCCCCACTTGTCTGATTGCTTCTGTCTCTCTTTTTCTGTCTATGTCTCTCGTCCGTTCGCTGGCCCTGCTCCGTCCCGGGCTACCAACTCTGATTGCATCGGCCTTGCGGCTTCGGTGCCGTGTAGCAAATGTGATTAATGGCCGTTGGGAGTGTATCCGCACCGTTGAGATCTGTTTGAATGGGCTCAAGTGTTATAAAGTCAGTCTCAGGCTTAGGGTTCCAGTGTAGTTTTTCAGATCAACTTTGCATTCACATTGGCACTCAACTAATAATACCACCCACAGAAACCTGTCACTCAGCATTTGATTTTGACGTTCTTACCACTTCATACAATCTTCCTCAAATCAGTACTTCTGCTCTACTCTGCGACCAATCGACAGCGGACACTCAATACTCCACCTGGCGCCTTCCTCTGCATCTTACAAAAATTGAGCATATAACCCGGTTCCCCCAGGAATCAAGAAACCTCCACTATGCCTGTCGGACCTCGAGTATCCAAAGAAGAATTCATGCATGCATTGGGTCTAAATCCCCAAGATCCTCATCATGAACAATACTATCGTGCCATGAGGGTAAGCAATCCAGCCCAGTCCTCTGTTCTTGGAACCGCCAGTCTAACCCAGTCCTAGGATGAAGCGATCATGGTCTACAATACCTTGAATCGAGATACCTCAAACCTCCTCGACAACATACGCGCCGACCCAGCGACCCGCCCTCCATTCTTCTGGCACCACATTCGACCAGATCGCCAGCGGTGGGCGATTTTAGAGATCTGGCGCAACGCTGCTCCCCTGACGCGCGCGCTCTTTGACCTTGGCGCCACAAATGGTGAATATGGACCGAATTGGGTGTCGGGGTGGTTGCTGTACAGTGTGTTTCGCTCGCGGGATGTGAGGAATAATCGTAATCGAAGGAAGGGAGAGACTGGAACTTCTGCAACGTCGGAGCCGGGTATGTGTCCAAAATAGTTTGCGGTTTGTCTGATATTGGAAATGCTAATTGGAGTACAGAAAAACAACAGACGGGGCAATCGAGAGGATACTATGACCCTGTGCGGAATGGAACAGTATGATATATTGTTTGTCACCTGTCATTTGATTTGAAGCTTGTTGTTTTTAGTTTCATGTTCGGTTTGTGACATCTGCTTTGTTGCAAAATGGCCCGAAATATGAAACAAGGATCGTGGACCAAAAGGACCGAGATCCGAGAATGTAATGTAATACACAAAATGCAAAAGCAGACGCTATTTGTGCCCGGAAAAATATGAAATAGGTAGCAAGTAAAATGCTCGACTTGGAGTTCGACTAATCAGACTTGTTGTCCTGATCACCGGAATCCTTCTTCTCCTTATCTTCTCGGCGATCCGACTTGAGAACCTCTGTGACACGCTGATCATGTTCATCGGCTCTCTCGTCCCATTCGGCATCATACTCGGCGGCAATGTTTTTGATCTCCAGGCGAAGCGATTTACCTTCGTCAATGAGAGACTCCCAAAGCTGCAAATCAATCTTGTGCAGATTGTACAGCTTCTTCTGCCTGGCACTGATAGTGAAATCAAGCGCAGATTTGTAAGAAATCTCCCGGTTGTGATACAAAAACCACAAGTAACCTCCCATCAGTGTTGACAAACTGACGAGATAAGTTACGGGCTCCATGGTATCCCATCCAAGGGAAGTCTCAAAGGTCAGTCGGTAGACCGTGAGCCACCAAACAGCCAGAATACCAAACCCACCCATTGCAACGCGCTGAGCACCACGGTGTGCAAGTGCATCACATTGTTCCTTAACATTCGCCATGGTTTGGATTCGGCGAGCGAGCTTGCGAAGCCGCATGCGCAGATAGTAGGTGCGCTCGTTGAAAGAGGGTACTGCGACGCGGATTTGGCCTAAACCTTCCGGTGCGCCTTCAATGGTGACAATGAACTCGCCTGCTCGCGAGGCGTCACGAATAAAGTCCCCAACCTCGGTGGCTTGGGACCAGCGGACGAAGCGTTCAGGTTCGCCGTCAGGAATGTCCTCGGAACTGGGTACTCGGGGATAGCTTATTGTCTCAGCATCTTCCTCGCGCGAGCGTCGACGCTGGATTGGACGGCTGCCTTTTGGCCTACTGCCGCCAACACCATCGTTGCCCGGGACGTAATCTTGGTTTTTATTGTTCTGGTGAGCATCCACGTCGATGTCATCTTCCACTTTCTTTTTGGGTTTGATAGCATTATCTTCGTGCTGCAGGGCAATGAAGGACACAGCAGGTGGCCGAAGCTTGTCAGTTTGGCCAATGATCGGAGGCACCTCGGACTGAATCAACCGCTCTAGATATGAAAGTGGTTGTTGGGGGTGGACGAGAATAGCTATGGGTTCAATTTCTGGTGATGTTGTTAGTTGTGTATTGGTTTGAGTCGCAATCCACTTGCCTTTGTCGCGACCCTCGTTGCCGATTGTTGTCAGCGGGACGATCAATTTGAAGAGGCGCGAAGGCGTCGTCAACATTTTTCCTGATGTTGATTAGCAACCGATGCTGAATATTGTTGAATAAATTACCTTTTGTCATCCGCTCCGGCCATTTGTCTCCTTCTAATAGGGATTTCTTTTCCTTTGGTTCTTCGTGGAGTAATGTATGTTGAGGACGAGCCTCTTGGTTGCCTTCTTGAACTTCATATTTTTCCAATAGTTCCTCGGTCTTTTGGTTATCCCCTGAAACCTGGGTATGGTCTGCTTTACTGAAGCTTCTGATCTGAGAGCACGCAAAATACTGCATTGGAACAGTAGCTGGCACAGCGGATGCCAATCTTGTGGTGGCTGATAGTCCAGGTACTCTGGAAACCGTATTGATCCCTAGACATCTCCCTGAGAGCGAGCGAATCTGTCTGGACGAGGAATTAGGGGTCGTAGCCCACCCATTGAGCCTCGCCAGGCCTCGCCTTCCTATGGCGGAGGGAGCACCGCGTTTCGAGGCCATTCCCGTGGCCACCGACGCGATAGGGGCACAATTCCGTGCCTGGGAGTACATAGTGAAGATTTTATCTTCACGTTCTCAATTTGACCCGTTGTGTTTGTCCGCGTCGCATCGAGGGGCAATGAAATAGTAGAAGGGGATTGTGGGAGTTTGGCTGTAGGTGACGAGGTTCATGACATGACGAAGAGGCGTTTCGGGCTGTCTTGCGAGATGATGTAGTGCACTAAGGATAGCACAAGCAATAGGCTAGCGAGGATGATCCAGGCACATAGCACGTAGCTCCAGTTGTCATCTTACCTGCCTTGGATTTCAAGAGTCTGACGTCACCGTATCGTCCCAACGGCACTTGAGGGCGGTGTGGCGCGGTGTGGCAGTGCATGATCTATACAGCGGCAAGTTGTCTGTCATTGGCTGGTCTGCGTGTTCAGCAAAGAGTAATTGGATGAGATGAACGGAGTGCATGTGGGCTGCTGTGAAACGTAGGGGCCAGACCGTCTTTGGGCTACGACTCCTCGAAACGGAGTACATAACAGCTACGTCGGTTGCATAGTACTCGGAGTACTCGTAGTAGAGTCCACGGGTGGATTTTTTGATTAGAGTTCCCAGGTTCATATCGATGATGTGTATCAGATAGTACGACTAGAATTAGGCACCATTTCTATCAGTTTCAACGCCTCGGGCCGTTTCAACTTGTGTTTTCCTTCAATCCATCCCACTATGCTCCAGATCACTGAGCTCTTCTTCGTCGTCGGTGGCTTTTAGGTCCGAGCAGGAATTTAGATGGATAACTGTTTCATTGCGAGCGTATTCTACCCTGTTGATTCCACCCATTCAAGTCTCCCACGCGTGGCTCCTTTGGGATGTGACCATGCAAATTCATGAATGTTTAATTTCAGAGCTTGTGCTCTAGTTATCTCCGTGAAACAAGCATTTGATAGAAGTGGAAGCTTCCATCAGGAATGCAAAGACCCATTGAGTTTATCACTACGGAGCTCGTTGAGGATAATCCCCAGATTTGGCCGGATGTTTCATCGCCTCTCACCGCCTTCCCCGTCGATCCACTTGGGCTTGGCGGAGAATCTAGCCATTTTGGGCCAAGGCGGGGAGTCCGCAAAGACAACTTCAAATTTCGACCTGCAACAAGTGAAGGCAAAGTGAGTGTTGATTGATGTCTAATGTGGCATTTGTCAGACATCCACGGGTCCACGGGCCCCGAGGTCGGGCTTGTTGATTAATCATGAGGGGAATCTTGTCGACATAAAAGGGACGTCACGCCATGGGATCTTTTTCTCTTCCTTTCTATATCAACATACACATTCAATCAACTTCGGTTTTCTCCTCAATCTGTCACACATTCCTATTATAAAATGTCGTCTACAGCTCAATCCTTCCGTGACATCCTCGGAGTCCCCCGCTCCTCGGCTTCCCCGCAGGACTCAACCCTCATCATCATCGACGCCCAGAACGAATACGCCACAGGAGCTCTCAAGACCGAAAATGTTGCAGAGACTCGCAAGTCTATCGCCAACCTCCTCGAGAAGTATCGCCAGGGTGGTAACGGCAAGAACATCGTGCACGTCGTCCACGAGGTCCCCGAGGGCGCGCCCGTCTTTACGCCCAACACCGCATTAGCACAGGAGTTCGAAGAGCTTACCCCCAAGGCGGGTGAGAAGGTCGTGACCAAGCACTTCCCCAGCTCTTTTGCGAAAACCGATCTTCACGACTACTTGCAAGGCCTGGGTGACGTGGGAAAGAAGGTTGTCTTGGTTGGCTACATGGCGCATGTCTGTATCTCTACCACTACACGTGCGGCCGCGGAGCTTGGATATGAGCCCGTCGTTGTGAAGGAGGCTGTGGGTGATAGGAACATCCCTGGTGTCAAGGCTGAGACTCTGGTGTCGGTTGCCCTGAGTGAATTGGCAGACGCTTTTGCAACCGTCGTCTCTGAGAAGGAGATTGGCGCATAGATATTTGGTTTCTGCACGCGCTTCATATAAATACAATCAACAATGTAAATATCATTACCGTGATGGCGAGTAGCCTTTTGCAATTTCTAAGGCTCTATTGCATAAAGCGATGCTGTAAGCGCGCGCATAGACGGCTTATTCAGACACTCAAGATGAGATTGGAAGTTGCTAGTGCCCTGGGCCCTCTAGGGCTTGACGAAGGTCTGCTGCCAGGCCTTCGCCTTGGAAGGCTTGTTCCAATAGAATGCAACTGTAAGATGACAACCTTCTTGTTACTTCGATGAGATACCGCGAAAACTTTAGAATATGTATTTGTTCGCAGTCAGCTGACGACCTGCCACTTTTGTTCTCTTCCATCAGTCCATCCGCGGGATTTCGCCTGAATCCCACACGTTTTTTTTCCAAGAAGATGGGGGGGAAAACTATCCTTCATTGTTGCTGCTGCTTGCTTCGCATGCCTAACCCAATCTGAGATATCTTCGATGCGCCCAAAGCACCTGGGCATCACGCGGAATGGCAATTTCGGTAACACTCCAGTCAACACGAGATTCCGGGTAAATTCCATGACCCAGAGCTTGTCTTTTCAGCCCCCAAGCGGATGTAGAGCCGACATATCGCAATCCGCGCCATGCGATTGCGCAACAGGATGCCAAGAACGCCGCCCTTGGCACATGAATCGCGACTTTGAGTATCGGACATTCCGAATCTGGCACATGGCCCCGGGGGATTTCTACATGTGACCTCACATGATCTGGCCAAGCTCTAGGGCTAGCCAATGTTAACCCGTCAAGGGTCTGACCAGCATGATCGTGATATGCGGTACCACCGCTGTTGGTGGGATGCTTCCAAGACCCTTGGCGGGACCACTCCATCGCACAAGCCGCGACCCTAAGGACCCATGATACAGGCTCTAGGATGATGATGCTCTCCCAAGCCTCTTGGCATGGGTCCGACGCGACAGGGTAAGCAGGATGGGATGGTTAGTAGCTTGGCATCGGTCGAGATCGTACAAAACTGGCTTTGGTTCGCCACAGCTGCTGAGCTCTTTCCCTAATCGACTTTTCAGTGATCTTCTATTTCGCTCGTGTCCTCGACCTTCTCTCCGCATGAAGCTTCAAAGGCTTGTTGTAACCTTCCTAACCAGATCAGCTCCATCATGGTACTTACCCCGTACGTGAGGAGGATCGCGCAGTACCCGAGGAATGTCGCGCACTCCTTCAGCACGACCAAAGCTGCCCATTATCTGAGCAAAATCGGAGGCTGGATTGCTCCACCTCCAAACAAGTCAGAAGATGGGCGTGACCAGTGGCCATCCCGAGCAGCCTTCCTACTCGCTGCTATGGGAGGCTGCGCCGGCCAAGGAAATTTATTGCGATATCCCTCCGTGGTCTACAATAACTACGGACTTCAATGGTTTATTCCATACCTGATAGCGGTATTTGCCGTCGCGATTCCAGCTCTCATCCTTGAAATCTCAATCGGGCAAGCCTATCGGGGTGGAACGGCAATCGCATTCAACAATATAAACAAACGATTGAAAGGCGTGGGTCTTGGTCCAATCCTGGTCAGCTTTGTGGTTGTACAATATTTCACCGTCAATCTGGCATGGATCATGAACTATTTCCGCAATTCCTTCACCAGCCCGCTGCCATGGGAGGGCAGAATCGAGGAATTCTACATGGGCGATGTCGTGGCCAATATCGATCCCATTGTCGGCAATCTTACAGCCGGCAATGATGCTGTCGCCAACTATACTGTTTACCCTGGGGTTGCGCTCATCGGCGAGACCGTTGGCTGGAGCGCCTTTATTTGGTTTTTGATCTGGGTATCTATCTTCCGTGGGGTTGGGTTGACGGGTCGTGTTGTTTATTGGACAATGGGTCTGCCAATTGTCACAACTATCATTATCGTTGGTCGCGCCTGTTCACTCGAAAACGCGCGCGAGGGTATCAAACTTTTATGGGCCACATGGAGAAGCGACCAGCTAGCTTCCGGTACTGTCTGGCAGACGGCCGTTGGACAGGTTTTCTTCTCCACTGGTATTGGGTTTGGTTATTTCACTTCTTATGCGTCCTATAATTCGAAGCATTCAAATGCTGTGATGGATGCAATTCTCATCTGCGGGAGTAATATCCTCTTCGAGAACTTTGCTGCCTTTGCTGTGTTCGGTGTTGTGGGTTATCTCGGACGCTGGCCACAGGATGGCGAAAGATTAGGTGCCTTCGTGGTTGGTTTTTTGACACTGCCAGAGGCTGTGCTTCACATGCCTGGTGCGAATTGGTGGGCAATCCTGTTGTTTTTCACCCTGGTTGTCCTTGGTTTCAGCTCCGCCTTCGTCATGCTTGATGCTGCGGCAACTCTGGCAGTCGACGCAGGCATGAAACTTTCAAGACCGACAATTGTGACTGGCTTGACTATCATCTCTTTCCTCATGTGCTTGCCATACTGCACCCAGTTCGGATTCTACCTACTTGACGGAATAGACAGATGGATCAACAACGTCTGTTTGATCTTTGTTGTTTGGTCAGAACTCGTTGGAGCTACCACAGTCTATCGTTGGCATGATGTGGTGAACCAAACAGGACTTCCTGCTTTTGTTCTGTACAACTTTGGATATTTTGGTGGCCAAATCATTGGAGTTGCTGTTGCACATGGTGTATCAGATCCAGCAGCCGGTGCCGGTGCCGGTTTCGGGCTGTATATTGTATGCTCTATTCTTTCGGTCCTCATTGCTACCTCCCCTGCCATCAAGGCTGCCAGTTTCTGGGGCCGTAACCCAATTCTCAGTCGATTTTGGTATCTGGCATTCTATTCTGTGAGTCCTCCTTCTATCTCACATCCCTGTTATGTCATATGGACTGCGGTGACTAACATCAACAGGGTAATCAACTAAGGCGCGATCTCAACCTCGTGGTTGGTGGCAATGGAAACTGGAAGATCCCGACATTCTGGCCCGTTCTGCTTCGTTATGTTAGCGCACCTATCTTGGCGATTGTGTTCAGCTTTGCTTATCCAGAGTTCTATACCTTGCGATATGACCCGATGATGATATCTGGCTTTATTTTGGCGCACTTTTGTTTGCTCTTGATTTTGCTTGGTGTTGTCTTTCCGCGTTATTACGATATCTTTATCCCGTCTCATCGGAGAGCCGAAGGCACCGAAGCAACAATAGCCAACGAGCCCAAAGAGCAAGACTTTGCCCCAGAGACAGGTGTTTTGGATCATGAGTCTGGCATGCCCGCGCCGAGTTCGAAGGACAGCTCGGAGAGGATGCCTGCCGACCTTTCTGTGGCTCCCAAGATATAGAGTTAACACTTCTATTTCCGTTAGAATTGAGAAGAAATGTTTGCTCTCATCAATCGCCTTTTGTAGAAGACATCGCGATTATGGCATATCTTATTGATTCCCTGTCATCTTTCCAAGGTCGCATCTGCAAGATATTTCAGTCAATGACAAATCCTGGCGTTTGACCTATTGCATTTCAGTTCACTGATACTTCATTAGTATTCTAATGTTGTAGTCAAGTATTTGAATACTTAGTAATGTTGCGCCACTTCTATCTCTAGAGCCCTGGAGCTCTGTTGGTGAAGGTATCAGCGCAATCAACATTCAATCATGGCATACGCAGACTTGGAGGTATGAAACGTTTTATTGTCTAAGGTTCTTTCATTCTCTCTCTGCACAACCCGATAAAGGACTAAAAATCCCACTTGAGCAAATGGTGGTAGGTAAATATAGCACAAAGACACAACCTTGGAAGGTTTGTCTCTTTGTGGCTTTCCCTGAGAATAGCAACTTTCAAATTTCAACAAATACCTGATATCTGAATGTGATTTCTTACATATAAGTATAGTTATGGCATTCGCGGCGCTACTTCTAAAATTTGGTGGCTTTTTCCCTCTAACTCTTACTTACTGTTCGCCGTCTTAGCCTCACGGATGAACCTATCTCTAACCTGCCACTTTCTAAAGTTGTATCAACGGCTTAAATAGCAAGAACTGTCCACGCTTTTGTAATCTGCTTCGCATTTTAGTCTTCTACTAAAAATTCAATGGCAAAGTCAGCACGGAGAAAGTCGTCTCATGAGGCTACCTCGCCTCCATGCGCAGATCGTCGACCTATTCGTCAAGCCCATCAACAACCATATATTTCATCAACACCGCATCTAGAACTCAATGACAATTGTGGCCCAGGTTTCTGTCGCCCCGAGCCGACCGATCACATGGCTTACAGGTCAGACTATGGGCGTCTACCAAGATCTCACAGTGCAGGTAAGTCAATCCAAACTTTAGAAGTTCAATTTTTCCCACGCTGCTCGGGCTTTCCATGTCCTTGTTTGCCTTTCAACTCCCAAATTTCTACTCTCCACATCTTCCACCTTCCTCTCGTTTCTTCGACAAGATTCACCAGTTCGAATCCTGACACTCAACCTTACACATTAGAAAGATATCAGCGGGCTACCCAAAGACATGAGTTCCCTGTCCAAAGTCACTCGCTCCCGGTCCAAAAACACGAGCTCCCGGTCCAGAGAAATGAGCCCCCTGTCCAAAGATACATACTTCCTATCCGTCCATACGATCCTACAAGTATCGTTAATCCCAAGATGATAATGGGTCCTCCGGAGATACAAAAGACAAGTTTTGTGGGGCAATACGACACGGCCTCCTCTGCTTCAGAAAGACGAGCAGTACAGTCAAGTTCATCCACATCGAAAGCAGCAAGTACAATTCCACCTGAAACTCGCGTTGAACCCCAAACAGTAAATTTGCAAGATGAGCTGGTGTTGGACGCGGAAGAAACGTGGGAGGCTCCCAGCTTTTTCGAAGAGGCCTATGAAGCTATAATGCTTGCTCGAGCAGCAATAGATTCGGTTGAAGAAGAACTTAGAACACACGAAGAGGAATTCTGGAGTTACTCTGAATATTAGTTGGGTGGAAGTTGATACAATTAGATCACTGTACTCCATTCTCTTCACGCTATAGATGAGTCCTTGATGTTTCACCCATAAAGGCAGATTATATCAGTGTGGTGCTATCAAAATAAATTTCTAGGTGGCTGAAATACCCAACTGTCCATTCTTGATCTCTACTTTCTTTTCTCTCTTTTCGTTCCCCTCTAACTTCAGAGGTTTCTCGGTTTTACCATATTTTACGTGATCTTTTCTTCTATTCCCTCTCTTTGATGGCATCAATGTGAGCAGACCCCTATTGCAATGGACCTAATACCTGAATACTATAACCACCGATGGTCATTTGAGATTCCCAACTGACGATGTGGGTCTTGGTATCGATACATGGACATCCTACAGACTGTGGGTTGAAGGAATTCTTTGAACCCAGGGCTAGGGCTTTGATTTTGGCAATGCTCGCTTGGATTTGTTGAGTTCATGACCTTAAGGTCCACTACAACAAAGATTTTATAACAATTTGATTGTTATTACGAGTGTGTTAGAACATCTTTCATCTACCATGTAGCTTAGCTTGTAGGCCTTCTTTGTTGCCTCAAATCATGTCGCCATAAACCGGTTAAGTAGGTCAAAGGCTTTGTGTTGATTCATGTCATTATTCACATTTAAACTTACCATATATGTAATTTGAGTAAGCAACCTGAGAACCCGTGGACTTTAGAACCTTTAAGCTACTAAGCATCGAACGATACCGTTGCAACAAATAACAACTTTAGAACACTACATTATTTCATAATTTGAATGCAGGTTTCGGGAATCATTATCTTCACCATGCCAAATCAACCACCTAGCCCCCCAAAGCTCTTCACTGAATGCAACATCGGCACTAGTGAGATTGATTGTCAGACCACGGAATATCTATGGGCCAGCACAGTCGATCAACAACATGACTATGATTTATGGCATTATGATCCTACCATGGACACTGATGACTCTTTGCCCTTTATTGACACCTCTTTTCCCAGCCTCGAATACAGCCTTGATAATGATTTTGATCTCGATAACTGGCTTGACTTAGACCTTGCGCCTAGTGGTGATGTAACATGTACTCCTGGTCTCCCAGTGCCCTCTTCAATTTCCTCATCCCCCTCTAGCGCTTCTGTTTCAAGCTTAGAGTCTGCCAAACCATTTGGATTCAACCCCCATACTGACATGGACCTATATCCCGAGATTGACCTGGGTCCTGGTCTTGATATTGATCGCGAGATTGATGCAGCCCTTGCGTCTAGCGATGCTTTTGTGGAAGATCCCAAGCTTCCGGTCATCTCCTGCTTTTCGCCTGACACCATGGATTCTGACCTCCCCCTTTTCTCAGCGTCGGAAGGGGCCCTCAGAAAGTATCAGAACCTCTAATTCAAATTCCAGCTTCGCACTCGCCTAGCTTAGACACAACTAATATCTTGCCGAACAATCACGATGATGGCTCAATGGTACAATTTGACAACACTTAAAATTCAGTTGCTATCCTCCACTGCACACCAACAAGACACTAAAAAAAACATGAGAATTGAATTCCATTCCACCATCTAATCACCATCAGAACATATCCTCCAGCAACTTTAGAAGCACAGCAGCTTTTCATCTATGAAAAAGAAAACATAGGTAATCATAAAAATCATAAATCATAAATCCCCCATCTATCATCCCAGGTTTCTCAAAATTCAGAAACGAATTCCTACCTCTTCCCGCTCAACTCTCACAGCCCGATCAGGACTACTCCCTCCACTCCAGCTCCCACTTGAGCTCCCCGAAGAAGCCGAATCATCGCCCTTCCTTCCAGCCCCAATAGCAACCGGAATTCCCTGCACCACGCCGCCATGGTCATGCCCAGCCGGGTACATGCCGTCATTGAAGGAAAAATTGCGGCAAATAAGGTACGCGCGCATAGCGGCACTTTCACGAGCCAGCGTCTCGCTACTGCAAATTGTATCTGTTTGGTATTCGCGATTGTTGACGCGCACTATGCACGTGTAGCCGCCGGCATTGGGGAATGCATTGTAAGATGGTTCAGGCCAATGGCGGCGGCGGCAGAGGCCTGGATGATCCAATTAGCTTGTTTTTTCTCTCGATCTGGTTTCGGGTTCGGCTCTTTGTTTCAGGTGGGGATCTGGGAAGTGAGGCGACTGGGGAGGGGTGTTTGAAGGTACGTTGTGGACACTTTGTGGGACTCACTGGTTAGGTAGAGGATATAGTACATGTTGGTCTGGACTGCGAGGTTGGAGACGCTACGGATTGAGCAACAAATGGCGATGATTACTCGAGACGCATTGGACTGGCGTTCTGCGAGACGGGTTAGGGCTGAGACGGGTGCAGTTTGAGATGCGGATATGCCCAACGGCTCCGCGTTTGCGTGTGTTGTTCAATTATGGGGATGTTCTTTTTTTTTCGAGAGGGAGACTCAGGGCCCCGGGGTTATCTTGGAGAAGTGTGAAGGTAAAGGACTAAAAGTTAAAGAACAAATGCCATGTCTACAGAAACACATATATACCAATACCCCCGAGCCGAAAAGGAAATTAATTTCGGAGCAGCCATTGCCTCCATATACTATACAAACCAAGTTACATTCCAAGATCGGTACCGTGTAAACAGGTGGGGCTTCTGCATTGACATTCAAGTCATACTAGTACTGGGACAATTGCAATTGCGACAGCGCACAATGTTGTCAATGCAGACAGGCTGAAAGTCAAATCCGTGCGATGTTTGCCAACACATCGACGGCCACGGCTAAACGATTCGCTCTTCAGTGCGCATCTTTCAAAATCCAGCGCTGGGAAAGGGTCAGAGATGTTACAGATTGAGGTATACAAAATTCACCGCGGACTGGTACCAAAGAACACAGGTAACAGTAACGGATCCGTTTTTTCGGCGGGTTTGGCTGATGCGCTGGCAAGCCCATTACCAGTAGAATCAAACCGAGTTGAGACCAGGGTGAGGTGTCTCCTTTCTGCAATTCGCCGATCGAATAAACATTTCGGAGACTATGCAGTGTGAAATCCGAAGATGCTAAGCAGGATTGCCATCCCAGTTAGCTTCGCTCTGAATTCTATGCATTTGGTGCCCCGCAGACGTCAATTGCCGCGCAGTGGACGCCAAGAGGCCATGTTGTGCAGAACGCGTCTGAGTCAATGGAGCGGGGGCATTGGGCTTGTGGGTTTAGGGAGAGCTGGAGAGCCTAGGTTCAATTGAGGAATGCGAAAAAAGTTACCCAGACGCAGTGATGAGTTGGCAGTGGGGAAGGCGTTGGATTTATCTACATCCCTGTGACGGTGACCTTTCCCGTGTTGGGCCGCGTGCAGATCCGCAAACATCGAGGGGTAATTTTGGATCGGCATTGAGCTTT